CATGTTTTCTAATTCTCTTCTAATTAGCTCTATTTCTTATTGGCTCTCCAATCATATCTATTGCATGACTATCTCATATCGATCCTCTATTTTCTTATTGAGCTTCAATCTCTCTCTTAAAATATACTCTTCCAAATTCATTTAATAATTGATATATATAAATCAAAATATATTGCCAACTAAATCAAAGGGGGGTATGTTTAATCAAGTATATAAATTGATAATATCCTAAAAAATATTTTTGATTTAATTTTATATTTTCCAAATGGATCCAAATTAGAATGAAGATGTTTTCTCTGCCTTTGTTGATGAATACTAAAAAACCTTCTTTGAAATGCTATTCAGATTTGAAAGTGAGTTCGCTATTTATAATATTTATCAGGCAAGGCTGAACCCATAAAAGATGCATGGACAAGAGAAGATGGCCGAGGTCATGGACTGACATGTGTTATTTAAGTATATCCATCCTAATATACCTTTAGGACGGCAATTTCTTTGAAAAAGCTGGCGTTAATGTTTCAAGAATCATAATTCCATTGAGTCAAGGAATCTATCAATAAATGAAAGGAAGAAGGGTTCCTGGTAGCAATTGTATTATTCTTAACAATAATCATTTAGTGGACTAAATCGATATGAACAATCTTGCTAAATATGATACTTATGCTAATGGAGTGAGTCTAGTTATTCATCCAATTAATCCATTCTGCCCAACTGTTCATGCCAACTTCCGTACAATAAGAATCAAAGAACGAGAGACAGGTATATAGTTGTATATATTATTTTTAGGTAAATTGATAGATTCTTGGTTTGGTGGTGGCAGTGATCTCACTCCAATCTACTTATTTGATGAAGATGCCAAACTTTATCACTAGAATATTAGAGATGCCATAGTAGATGTGACCGGAGATGATAAATTCTATAGACAATACAAAAAGGAGTGTGATGAATACTTTGTAAATCATCATAGAAAGGAAGCCAGAGGAATCGGTGGAGTCTTCTATGATGATTTCAATTTGGAATCCTTTGAAAAGGGTTTGCAGTTCTAAAAAGGAGTTGCTTACGCTAACTTGAATAGTTATGAAGCCATCTTAAATAAGAGAAAGGATACTCCTTATAACGATTAGAATGTTCGATGGAGATCATTCAGAAGAGGTTTATTTAAGATTGAATCATAGGTCGTTATGCTGAATTTAATCTGATTCACGATAGAGGAACAAAATTTGGTTTGATGACTCCAGATGCCAGAATCGAGAGTATATTGATGTCATTGCCACTCACAGCCAGATGGGAATATAACTATCATCCAGAGGAAGGCACAGAGGAGGCAAGAATTGTTGGTGTATTGCTTAAACCAGTTGAATGGGTGTGAGATATATAAGAGTAAATTAATTTATGAAATAAATTGCTTTTCGTTTGAATCACATTTGTCAAGCTCAATTTGGATTGCGTACAAGAGCTGGCTCAATTATCAAAACATTCAATCCAGAGAAAAAGACCAGGGAGCAAATCAGATTGGAGATTGAAGATCCTTTCTAAGCAGAAAGATTGAGATAAATCTAATTAGAAGAGGATGCCAAAAATTTTAAGCAATACATTTACAATTTGAAACAAAATGACAGCAATCCAAATAATTTCATTAAAGTCAAAGTTAAGAATGTTGAAGTAGCAAAAACTGAAACAACAGAGAGTGATATTAGCAAACCTTTTATTGTCAAGAAAATACCAAAATAAGAGAAAATTTTAATTAGTGGAATAAGAAGGTATTGTTTATGACAATTGATTTAAATTAGAAAAGTACCTGCTTCTCTAAGAAGATTAATTCCTATTTGCAGACCTTTGATTAATATGCATCTTTATTAAGCTCAAGAGGCAATTGCTGATTCGGGAAGAAAAGCAGCTCAATTCTTAGCCAAAACATTTGTAATGGTCAGATCGCATGCTGTTTAAAGAGGGTATGATCCAGAAAGACTCTATGTCCATTCAATTTAAGTTGGCAGATATAAGAAATTCAGAAAGGCTAGATTTCATGCCAAGGCTAGAATCAATCCAGCTTTTAGAGAGACCAGTCAAATCAAAGTCATCTTAGAAGAAAGGCCTACTAAAGAGGTTTAATTTCTATTTTATTGTGTTTGTAGATGTTCAAAGATTTTGTGTAGGGTAAAACTCCTAGTGTTATCTCATATCTAATGAAGGATTAATTGGTTAGGGAAAAGGGTGATTATGCCAAAATTAGAAGATTCCAATTATTCCTGACTTCTAAAGGCAGACAACAATAAAAATTGATGTTAAAGAGAAGAGCATAAAAGGAAATGAAGGAGAAGGTTAAGTATATTCACTAAATTCTAGGGATTGTCATTCAAATACCTTCATCGTCAAATTGTTGAGTAAGAAGCTGAGCAATTGGCTGAAAATTATGATACAGGAAAGAGTGGATTGCATAGATTCAATTTAGAGGCTAGACAGACTCTGTTTAAAAAGAATGAGGAAATCAATAATTGAGTTTAAGAATATTTAATATAAAAATTATATAATAATAACTCATATAAAAAACAATGTAGCATTCATATGTGATATTGATAATGTTTATTTCAATCTTTATATTTAAATTAATTGCAATAAAATTTGATATAATTAATAATTTAATTAATTATGTAAAGCATTGAGAACTATTAATATGATAAAAAAGGATTTCTGGGAGCAGGCAGTTTTGGTAGTGTGTATAAGGCTAAAAATATAAAAACAGGTGAGATTGTGGCTTTGAAAAGTATTTAATTGATATACATTTTCAGTTTTGGATATGAAATTATTCTAAGATTAGTTTATGATCGATTCATTAAAAAATGAAATTAAAGTAATGTAAACCTTGACTTCGCCGAATGTGGTTAGAATGCTTGATGTATTTGGCAACAAACAACAAACATATATGGCCATAGAATTATGCGATTCAGATCTCAGATCTGTGATGCACAAAAAGGGTCACATTTAGGAACAATAAGCAATTGAATTACTAGCATAATTGATGAATGGGTTCAAGGACCTAGTATCTCATAACTACATCCATCGAGACATAAAACCTGAAAATTGTCTAGTCAAAAGTAATGTATACAAAGTGGCTGATTTTGGATTTGCTACTAAAATAGATATAACAGGAAGGCAATTGCTAAGAGAATGTGTTGGCACTCCCATCTATATGTCTCCTCAGATTTTAAATAAATAGTAATATTCAGCCAAAAGTGACATCTGGTCGATTGGAATGATGTATTATGAAATTCTTTTCGGTAAAACGGCATGGTCTTGCAGAGACATGTACAGTCTTCTAAAAAGCATCAAAACATAACCATTAAGATTTCCTTATGAAAGACCCATTAGTGAAAATTCTAAGGATTTCATCAAAAAGTGTTTAATGATCGAGGAAACTAATCGAATTGGTTGGAATGAAATTTTTACCCATCCACTTTTTACTATGAAACAATCTGGTCAATAGCAATAAAAATAAAATTATGAACTACCCTAACAATGTATTAAGATCTTAAGGAAGATGCAAGATGTTGTTACTGAGAATAATATAGATCCACATTTTATTTTTCAAAGATTTGATAAAGATAAAAATAACATTTTGGATGCCTAAGAATTTAAAACACTCATTTTGGCTGTTGATCCAAACACAACACCATATTAAATTTAAGCCTTATTCTCAAGAATTTGTGGTCAAGATCAAAAAGTTAATTATATTGAATTTCAAAAACTATTCACAGAATTTGATTTCTCTGATCTCAACGACAGGGCAGGCATTATTATTAAAGACATCTAAGCTGTAATCAAAGCTAATAACATTAATGTTACACAAATATTTAATAAATATGATAAAAACCATTAAGGAGATCTAGATTATTAAGAATTTTACAATTTGATCAAAGTTATTGTGCCAGGAATCAAGGATTATGAAATTTAGTTGATGTTTTCGAAGTTCGATCGAGATAACAATGGTGCTATCAGTTTTCCTGAATTTTCATATATTCTCAGTAAAGGTACTGGCCAAACATAAAAAGATGGCATTACTTAAAGGGCCTCTGGAGTATTAAAGTAATTGTAAAATACGGTGAGAATTAATAAATTAGATGTAGCCAAAATATTTCAACGTTTTGATAAGTCTGGCGATGGTGCTATTGATTAAGCAGAATTCTTTTTATTACTAAGAGTATTATAATAAATTATAATTTATAGGCAATCGATGGTAAAATAAGTAAAAACGAAGCAGCCAGCCTTTTCCATATTTTTGATAAGAACCATGATGATTAGATCTCTTTCGAAGAATTTAAATCATAGCTATGAAAATATTAAAATTCTAATCATTCAATAAATAAATTATTCAATTTATTAATTACATTAAGGACATTTATCGACTTTGGATTTACTGCAATAATAGCAAAAAGTGTGGTTACAAGGTTGTAATTTTGTAACCATTGTTTTTATGGCAGAATTACAAACAAAACATGATCCATTCTCATTTCCATTCTGCAAAGTACCCAAAAAGGATGTCATAAAGAATAATTATTTACAGTAATTCATCAAATAACTGCTCGAAAATAATAGAGATTAAAATAGTTTATTTATTACTCCCCATATTAGTGTTCTGTTTAATAATTCGAAATCTAATTCTCTTGTTTGATTTTCTTTTATTTATTTTATTTAAAATCCTATCAAGAATAATTCTAAACTATTGACCATCTATCCCTATGCTATAAATTTTAGAGAATATCCAAATCGTAATAGTTAAAATAAAAATTCTAATTTCTTTATTTTTTTGTAAATATTAGGGTATTTCTATTCCAAATGTAAAAGCACTCTTGCATATAAATATCTCCCCAATACAAGTATCAACAAATAAAGAATTTTTTCTCTTTTTCCTAATCCTTCTCCCAATTTTGTACAAAATTAGATATTTTGCAATTCCTGTCCTGGCAAAGGTTTATCTTTTGAAATCCTTTATCGAAAATATAAAAAATCAAATATTAAATCAACTTCTGGAATGTTAGTTTTGAATAATTCTTTTATCTGCTCAACAAAAATAGATTTAATTTCCGAATCAATTAAAAGTCCTTCTATTTAACATATACGTGAATTTAACATATAATAATATTTATAATATAACTATAATCGATATTTAAAATAACATCTAAAATCTAATATAATCAAGTCACTATCAGTCACTCAACTAAAAAAATAAATAAAAAATCTCTCAAAATTTCATCTCAAAAGCACCATCCGTCTTCTATTAAGATTTTCAAAAAAAAAGTTTACACCTCCAATCCAATCAGGCTTCCTCCAACTATAAAGGAACAAATTCTTAAAATTATTCAGAAGGAATTACCCAAAGTAGAATTATAAACTGATTCTGAAATTGCTCCCCATAAGATATTCTTTTTAATTAATTTATACCTACTAACTCAACGTCAAATAATAGGTTCATTTCACATTCTTTGCATTGCTTCTAACGCTGGTCATCCCTTTCAACACAGCCAAAAATTAGGAATATATTTAACCTAAAGGACAAACTTTCAATAAATCTACCCTTTTAATATTCTCACTGTTAAGGAGATAGATCTCATTAAAGCTGTAGGTCTAAAGACAAAAGAAAAACATACTGAATCTATATCCTTATATCAAGATGCTCAATAAGTTAGATCAAGTAAATTACAAATTCAGTTCACAAATCTAAAGAATATATTGTATTAGCATTCAACAAAAGGGATTGCCTCAAATAATAAGCTTATTAAGAATTAAATTCTATCTTATTTATTGCTTAATCTTTTACAGATCATTTCTTAATTAATTTTCAGAATAAATTATCAATATTAATTAGTTTAGAAACATTCTGCATCAATACCAAATAGGTTAGTGAATACCATCATTAAAATCTTTGCAATTTATTTTTTTTAAAAATGATAAAAATGAAGAAACATAATAATTCATTTCACCTTTCTGCAGTTATTTGAAAGATGATGATAAAATTATTTTTGAAGATGAATGTTTTTTCAGAATATTTCAAAATGTACCAATAAATCATGTCATATTTTCGGCTCTTTTCAATAACCACTTTTAGGATCTCATCATTTAAGTATCTAATCTGTGCTATATAATCGAATTGCTTTTTGCAATTTCAACTAATTGTTTGAAGGACTGAAAAAGCATATATATTTTAGGATTTTTTTGCCTCAATTATTCAAAAGGACTAAGAATATTATAATATTCTAGGTTTATTTTAGTGATTGATATTATATGATTTAAAGAACCAACTTATATTGAACAGAATTAAATTATAACAAAATGAAAATATTTATTTTGATTAGGTTTTTAGTGAATTAATATAAAACTGAGGATGGAGCTGATGAAGGAATTTAATTCATTTGATAATACGTTTTTAAGGAATAAAATAAAGGATCATAATAAATTCAATCTGTTTCTTTTTAAAAAGATAAAATTTAGCGCAAACTTATTCAAGGGAATATTTTATTATGTTCCTTTTTATTTCCTAAAATTGTAAAGCTAAATGCAGATATTTCAAATCTAATTCAATTCGCAATAATTGTAATAATTTTAATTAATTGTTTTAAAAGTATGATTTCATTTGATGATATATTAGAAAAAAAAATAAGGACCGGTTCTTACTAATTTAAAACGTTAGGAATAATTGGTTTAGTTGAATTTTGTGATGGCATCGAATATGCTTACATGTCTATTCTGGTCGCTATAATATAAAAAGAATGGGAATTAAATCAATAATAGATAGCATCTTTAGGGTCATCATTTCTTTTAGGTATGGTGATTGGAAATTGTATTTGTGCCTTTATAACTGATATAATTGGTCGTAAAACAACGTTTACAATTTTCACAGGACTATCAGTTTTTTTGATATACTTTACAAGTATTTGTACTTCATACAATTAAATGATTACGCTAAGGCTTATGTTTGGAATTGTTTTTGGAACAAGCTACCCATTAGGATATGTCTTTATTTCAGAAGTCACTGAACCAAGATATAGGGGTAGATTTGGATATTCTATGGGAGTGTTATTTGTGATTGGGAAGATATACTTAGCATTCTTATGTATATTCTATCTAAATGATTTTACATCAGGAAATTGGAGAGGATTGATTAGAGTGAATGGAATTCCAGTTGCAATCAGCTTTATTTTGTCGTTGTTTTTTTTAAAGGAAACGGTGAGATACTATTTAAATTCGAGAGAGTACAAAGTCGCATTTGACCTAATCGATTCAACAATACAAGAGAACTAAAGAGAACCTGAAATATTAACAGAAGAAGAGGTACTATATGTGTGAATTTTAACTTAGAAATAAGGGTTGATGAATTGGTAGGAAAAGTAAATATAAATAAATTAGGAGCAAGAATTGAATAAGTTCGGAATTCTATCATAAAACTATAAGTACATAACTATAAAGATATGGATTTTGTACATTTTAGCTAATTTACAAAATATGAGCATCTATTTGTTAATGCCGTTTTTGTTTGCAAACAATAACTCAAACTTGAGTTCTATGTTGTTCATGTTCATTTTAGAATTAATATTCGCATTGCTATTGTATGTTTTCATTGATGATCCTAATATTGGTGGTAGGAAGATGGTAATTGGCTATTCATCATTGATTTTGGTATTAGCTAATGCTAGTTTGTATATTTTCAGAGAACATATTCTGTTTTTTGGTTTGCTTCTAATAAAATTAGCATGCAGAGCACTGTTTTCCACGTTAGGTCTAGTTTGTTGTGAAAGTTATCCATTGCAATTGAGAGCATAAGGAACTGCAATAGCATTTGGAATTGGTAAAACAGCCTCAATCCCATCTCCATTTTTCTTATTTCCTTTATTTTATTTAGATCCATATTTACCATTTGCCTTGATGAGTGTGCTATCAATTATAATGATTATAACAAATTGTTTGATTGGAGAGGACAAGACAATGAAACCACTGGAATCACACAAAGAAGAATGACATATATACAATATCGATAATCAATATAAATTTATTGTTCTTTGAATATATTTTATATTTATAGCTGTAAATTAAAATTAATATTCATAATTATGAGTAAATTAATATAATTGGCATTCAAACCTCAGTATTTTGCCACAAGAGTGCAATCAATCAATAGCAAAGCCAAGGTATTCACTGCTATTGATTTTTATAATAATTTATTACTGAATACTCAAACAAATTAGAATGGAAGATATAAGTTTTAGACTAGTGATGTAGGACATTTTGTTAATATGGTTGAAAAGGATAACATTAAGGAGGCAATTGAAGTATTAAAGTGCTTAATTGATTAGGGATTTAATAATATATTAGGACATAATAATTAAGTGAATTGCGGTATTAAAGATAAATTTATGCTTAAATGTATTGAATTCGATCAAACAAAATATGTTTTGGATGCCTTGAAATTTCATTCAGCAATTAGATATTTCCCTCATCCTTCTGTGATAATCACATTGGCTAAAAAACTTGATAATGAAGGATTGATTGAATTATTCAAAATATTGAAAACAAGTCCCTTTTTGAGAGTTGATAGTGCCAATCTTTCGAGTTTGATCTAGGATGATCCAAAAATATCATATGAAGTTTATAGAGTGGCTTTGTAGAAGAATATAAAATTATAACCTAAAGATTTATATAGGATTGCACGATAGTTTTTATCTGGCAATAAAGTTAGAAAAGTGTATAATCATTATCCTTATTATGATTAGTGGTTTTATGACTTAATTTGCATAAGAAAATGGTAACGAAAATGACATCTATTCTTCATTAAGTGTTTTATTTACTCATGTCTATTTGACAAACAAACAATAAGCTATAGTTGAATTAGCCAAAATAATTGAACACAAGGATGGGTATATAATTTAAATATTGATTTTAGATTGACCATTTTGAAAGAGGAAGAGCAATATATCAAACCACTCTTAGAAATCTTATAAAAATAGGTGGAAAACGATGAAAAATGGAAACCAAGATTAGATGAATTAATATCAAAGTTGAGTTGATTTTATAGATCAATGAATATATATTTATAATATTGATCATCCTTGTTTTTAGATGGGTAAGAATAACTTGAATTCAGGTGGTAATTCTTCTTCACTGTAAAGACGATCACTAAAATAGATTCTTCTGATTCTGCAATTGGCATGAATTTGAACTCTACAAAATGAGATTGAAATGGATACCGGAGTGTTTCTATATAGTTTGTACCATATGCTCTTCTGGTGAAATCAGATAAGTTGAATTAGATTTGATTCCATCCCTCATCCAATCTCATAGGCATTGTACAAATGAAAGGTTTCACTCTCGTAGTTGACTACATTCTTTATACTAATTACTTAATAATTCGATGCTCTAAATCTTCTTCTGACATTCTTATCATCCAAAACCTACACTTCAAAAGTGAAATATTTTTTAAGCTAATCATTAATGCCAACAATATTACATTCTTAATAATCATGACTAAGAAAGGCAATTTAATTCCTAATGTTTCTTTAGGGTCAGCAGGAGCAGTTATGAAATTAGTACTCACATTCGTTCCCATTATTTCAAGTACTGATGATTAAATGTCTTGATCTGTGATACGTTTAATATGTCCATTCTTGACTTAAATAATGCAATTATAAATTACTTTGCTTATCCCAAATTTACAATGGCTTTGATCCTATTGAATATAATATCGAAAGAAATCCACTTTAGAATGAGTTCTTGAACATCAGTTATTTTTTATTTTATTAAACAAATAAATATCTCACTTAATCCACCTTATCAATCATTATTCATTTAATATACTATTCCCATAATTATATATATATATATATTACACTTCCAATCTAAATCAATTTATCTTTTATTGAAGATTATTAGATTTTCAAATTTTTTATTTGTATTCTAAATTTATTATTTGCCATTTAATCATTAATTAATTTTCAAAATACATCCTATATACTTCCTATCTAAGTTGGAACTTAAGGAAAAATAGGAGCGTATAGCTTTATCATGGATAAAACATATAGGTTTAAATTAGTGTTCTATAGTTTTGACTTATTAAATCAAGGCTTGACTTTAAGGGAACTTTGTGGAAGAAAGTTTTAACTTATCAAGAAATTTCAACAAATATATGTCGTCATCCTTTTACACGCTAGTAATCTATATGAATCCTATGATAATTCACCAAAAATACATTTAGAAATATCCATGATTTATTGTATGTTTTTTGAAGTTCTTTGGTTGGATGTATAATTTTCCTTTTAATCTTTCTAAATATATAAATTTAGATATTTTTAACTTGAAATTTTTAAGAAGTAATATTAAGATAACTTTTTATTGTGAACTATGAAATTTAAGAATTTATAAATATTAATCATATCATCTTTTTGTTAACAATTCATAAATTTTTTATTTCACTGATGGTTTTTCTAAGAATTCTTCAAAAATTCTTCTTTTAGAATATTCAGAAAAATCATTACAACAAGTTAAATCAATGTTGGTAGATGCATCACTCTATTCTGTAACACTTAAGAGGGCTTCATCAAAGCATCGCTCTAAATCTGATTCTTGGAACTCTTCAACTTAATTAATTTGCTACTTTAGCTTAGCATTTAATTCTTGCTCCTATTATATATGATATGAGCTTCTTTGAATTTATGGTAAAGGCATCAATCTAACTGATTATAACTGCTGCATTGATTTCGGTTATCTTCTTATTTAACTCTGGATTTACTACTCTTCTTCTCCTAAACTATTCAATTCCTCTTGTAATATTATATTGTGTTTGTCAGCATAAATCAACTATTCATCTAAGAATTTGATTTCACTCTGCAATTCATTGAAACTTTATCGAATATCACGATCAAATTTACCCAATTCTTTAATATTATCACTCAATTTTATGCTCCTCTCCAGATACAACTCTCTCTCCTTTGCTAGTTCCTCTCTATGTTTTTGAATTCTTTTCTCAATTTCAGTTTAACTCTCCTCATCTCTAATTTTAACTAATTGTCTTTAAACATTAAGCATCTCTTATTTATATAACTTCAATAATTCTTCTTCTCTTTTATTAAATAGTTATTATAATTGCTAATTAGCTTATTCTATCAATTCATATATCTATTAATTTGTTTCCTTTAAATCACTCTTTAGTTCTGATTTCTTAGACTCAATCATTTATTATAATTATATTTTTATTTTTTAATTATTTTATTCTGTATAAACATCAAAAAGGAATATAAATAATTACTAATTTTACTATTTTATAAAATATAACTGTGATTAGCAGAAATGAGGTCATGATAACAGATAAACTAATCTAAGAATCAATTAATTATCAATTGATATATTATTAATGGTTATGATGAAAATGCTAAAATTAATTCGCTTTATGGATTTATTTACATTGCATAGAATTGCAATATTCAAAAATAAAGTAGAATTGTTATAACATGTAAATTTATATGAAATTTATTATTATACATATATATTTCATGAAATCTTATTCATAGAGTAATAATCTACTTCATCATACATCTCTTCTGGAATTAGATCATATTTTTTGTCAGCTTAACTTCTGTAGTAAGATAATATTTCTGCATCATCCTCATTTAAGATATAATTATTTTCGAAAGATTTTTCTGATTTCGGAGTAAATACAATGTCACTTTCTTTTTACTAAAAAAGGTTGATTTTTATTCCTATTTAATGAGATTTCTAAAATTCATTTCTAAATTTCGACGATCTCATAACAAAATATAACCTAGATATCTCATACAATAAATTCAAATAACTGGACTTTTACCTCATCTAATTTGAAACTTTCTCATAAAATTTCCTATAATTTTTAGTATCTATTTTTATGTTATTTAAACTAGCGTTGACTATGTTCCCTCTCCAATTCTTTTGAATTCTTATCTTTTTAAATTCTGGGTAATAAAAATTTATTAGCTCATTTAATATCTTTTGATCTAAAAAATATTGATTTAACAAAATAATGAAGTATTTGATCATAAATAATATTGATACAATAGATCCAACATTTGCTAATAAATCACCTAAACGTGGATATTCTAATGTGGTTTTTTCTTGCGTTCCTATCATTCCAAGATAGACGATTGCAATAACATCATTTTCATATGTTTTTTAACAATATTCCAAAGAATTTGTTTAAGTTTGTAGCAATACGTCTACAATATATTCCTTGTATTGAGAGAAGCCAAATAAAATATAATTCTAGAGTTCAAATAAGGTTGTTTTAAAATAAGATTGCACTGTTTAGCAATATTGTTACCTCTATTTAAATAGTGAATTCCTAGTATCCGCGTTATTTTGATCCATCCATAGGGTTAATTGATGTTGTGTAAAATTCAAGCTAGATCGCATTGCTTGGCTATGCAAAGAATTGTTCTGTAAGTTCTGGCGATGCACATTTTTCACCAGGTTTTAAATATATTTCTGAACACAACACTATCTCAACTATCATTTCACCTGAAGTGTATATATAATCGTTGTCATAAGAAAACCCTAATTTCATATCTGGTACATAAGCTTCTCCAAAAGGTGCGGTGTAATGATTTGTTATTAATTAAGGCTCTGTCAATTAATTGTTATTAGTGTACACTATTAATGGCAATAATATATTATTTTGAAATGGGTCAATTTTACCTTCATAATCTTTCCAATAGTATATACTTATAACTTCTTCGCTCAAGTCTAACAAAGAATAGTCAGATACATAATTTTAACGGGATATTTTTGGGCTCATCTTATTAGTTTACCAGAGGTAACCAATCCAAAATACATAAGCTAAACTTACTGTTAATATTATAATCGTTATTATTCCCCCAAGTGTACTCTTGTATTTTGTTTATTGATGATCAATATTTTATACAAAAGGAACTCCAAATAAATCTGCCTTTTTTAGAATTTTCATAAATAAATATCTAAATATGAATGATAAGAGAATTGATATGCCTCATAAAAGATATATAGAGAAAATCACAAGGGGTATTGGTTTTTATTTAATCAAAATTATTGTGTTTGTAAAAAGTTAAAGCAAAAAACTTTCTCATTTGTCTCAAAATATTTTACAGATATTTATTGCTACAGACTATATTGTATATTGCTAAAATATAGATGTAGTATTATAAAAAGTTGTATTTAAAAACAAATGCAAAATATTATGAAATAAATAAATATAAAGGAAAACTGTTATCAAGAAAAAAGATTTTAAATTTAAAAGTTGTAAATTATTTTAATATACAATTTGTATATAATTTGGCCATTAAAGATTTAGTTTGTTTCTTTGAATAGAAAAAGTCAGTAAAAATATTAAGATTATTTATTAAATTATTGTTATCATAATTTTCTTATGTTTTGGGAATGTCTTTTTTTATAACATTTACTAGCATTTTGAATTTTATTTTATATATTAAATGGTTATTTCACTTTAAGAAATGGATTGCATAATTTTAGGTGAATTGAAATATCAAGTGCATAAAGATTTATTTTTCCATTGCTCCTTTATAAAATAAAGAAGTTTAATAAATATTGATAAATTCAATTAACTATCATTATAAGTATAAAGTTTTTCATAATATATGTATTATTTCAAAATAATGTAGATTAAAATTCACTAAGCAAACAGCAACTCTCCCACCCTATAGTTTCTTAATGTCAAGATCCTTTACTTTAAAAATAGAATTTTTGATAATTTAAGATCATTTAAAAATTTGATGCCTAATCTTAATTGTTCAAATACTACGACTATTAAATTAATTGTTGCGATTAACTCTATTGCAATTGAGATAAAGTCTTCTAAGTAACAGGATGTTCTTTTCATAGTGGTTTTTTCTTAAATTGAAAGACATTTTATTATCGGAAAAGACTATTATTCATATTTTAGCATGTGACATTCAAATTTTAAATCACAATTTAAATAAAATGAACCAAGACTTACTCGACTGTATCAATTTCCTTTTGAAGAAAGAAGATTATTAATTGAAGCCAAACACCTCGAAGGTCAATAAATTATGGTGGTTTTAATTCCTTAACATTTGGGCTGTTTGGAACATTTATTTAACAATAAGACTAAACTGCTCTCAGAGAAGTTTGGTTTTAAATAAAATTACAAGTAAACCATTTAATCATATTAAATTGATTAATTACCTCATCAAACAGACTTCCAACTTATATTTACCTTCTTTTCATATATAACAAATTAAATATGAAAAATTAACCATATTTTTGCCATATATAAATCCAATACATTGAAAATTCGAACAATAAATTTTATTTTATTTTAAAAACAAGCATTTAAATGACACCTACTCCAGTTCCTTCAAACAAGCCACTTCAAGAAAACCAACAACCATAATTCTAGCCAGCCCTCTTTAGATAACCCTAAACATACTAGCCTTTATAGACAGTAGCCCCTATCTAGTATTAACCTTACAATGCCCCTTTGGCATATAGTGTTGCCGCACCTGTTTAACCTGTTGTTTAATAGATTGTTGCTCCTCAACCAATATTGGCTCAATCTTACCTACCTTAACCTGTATAACAATCAGTTCATGTATTAATTTTTAAATGAAAATAGTAAACCATCAAGGGAGAATCAAGAATTGAATATATCCCTTATTAGAGAGCAATAACTGAGTACGAAGAATAAGAAGTTGTGCAATATGTTCCAAGGGAAAGAAAAGTGACTGAATATTACACTGTTGAATATCAAACTGAATACATTCCTTAGGTTTTCTAAGAGAAATATACAGGTATTTTTAATTCACACTATTTTAGAATATGTACCTGTTGACAGATATTAGGAAAGAGTTGAATACTATCCAGTTGAAAGATAAGTGGTACATTAATAAGTTGCCTAATAACCCGTTTAAGTTGCTTAATAACCAATTCAGGTTGTATAATAACCAGTTTAAATGTATTAATAACAAGTTCAGGTTGTTTAATAACCAATTTAAGTTGTTTAATAACCAGGTTAAGTGTATTAATAACCAGTTTAAACCGTTCCATTAGCATATGGCCAGTAATATGCTTCCCCTATCATTTCTTCCAGATTGATCCCAGGCTATCAACCTTAATAATATTTACCAGCTCCTTAAATAGTATAACCATAAGTTCCGCCCAAATATAATTTAAATAGCAATATCTGAGATAGGAATTTATTTAAAATTTAAATAAAATTAATTTAATATTTTCTTTAAGTAGATTTTAAGTCCCCCAGATTATATTAGAATATTACTATTATTAATAAAAATGCAATTGTATATTTTTTCAAAATCAAATTTCTGGCCAGAAAGGCTTGTTTGATGCAGTGTTCGTCCTTATTTCATCGTTTGTAATTAGAGATTCCATCTTTTGTAAAGTCTATGGAGCATCTGATTATTGTCCATCAATTTTGAAGACCATCCAAGTTAAATCTAATTTATCCATTTGAAGATTGATATCTAGGTTAATTAAGATAATACTTTAGGGTAATCTGAATTCAATTAAAGGGTAGTTTAATTCACTCAAATATACAGTTATATGAGGATCTGCATCAATCCATTGTTAGCTAACCACTGAATTCGTTAAAAGATCTAAAGCTTCATTCCTAGTCAGAAATCTTTTCACAAATATTGTATAGACTTATGGCTCTAATTGATAGATATCAAGCACTTCTATATGTTGATCGTTTTTAGAAAAAGTTGTCAATTACATTCCTCCACATGATTTAGATAGGGCTCCAGTTAAACAAGGGTGTTCTCCCACTTTAAACACACCATATAAATCAAGATTGAGATTCTTTGATGTCCATTCCAATAATATACGGACTGAATGTTTAGGTATGCTCTTTGTTAACCTAAATACATATTTGGTTTTTGGCACTCTTCTCTAGAGATCAAGAACAGAACATGATTTCTTAAACCCTTTACATATATTATATTATCAATACCTGATTTATAGACTAAAACTGTGTATGAGTATCCTTAACTCAAGTTGTTAACCACTACATTTCCTTGCTCATCTGTTTTTAGTTCATGCAAGTTGTTTTCTAATTGTCGTATAATTTGGCATGATTATGATAAGAATTTACCTTCATAGACTTCAACAAGCTAATATAATACTCAATTTTTACGGTGTCAGCAATAGGTGTAAAATCAGCAGAATTTTCAATTGTGATTTAAACATTGTAGAATTAAAATGCTTAATCTCCTACCTGTTACTGTTCCTTGCTTAAAGCTTACAACATTCTATTATGTTATTAAGGAATTTCATAATATTCAATAATGAAATCGAAATCTGCACTAAGTGGATTATCTGAACAATAATGGAGATTATTATTAAAGAATTTTTCAGCCTCCTCCAAATCTCCTTAAATAATAATGGCATCAAAGGGTTGAGTCAATGATGAGAATATGGCTTTGGTTATTTCATCATCTATGATTATTTTTAGTTTCTCATTGTTGAATTCTTTTAAAGCAACAAATTATCCATTAGTTCCAGATATGGCTAGAGTAATTCTAATTATTTTTATGGTTTTACCCCTTCAAATTTTCTGTGGATTTAAATGCGATCTTTTGGATCATAACTGAAGATATAGGTTCGCAACTTTATAGATTGTAAAACCCAACCAATTTTTCTTATTTGTCGAAATTCTTGTAGATGGGTGTTGGCAGAACTGTGATCTCATTCAACATGGCTTCCTATCTATATTATTCGCTATAAATAGATACTTGACAAGTGAATGCTGGACATTTACAGATAATTCAGGGGTAATGTTATACGCCACAACTACTAAGATTGCTAAGAGAACAAGGATGATGAAAACCATTGCATCTCCTACTACATGCATTCTAAATTTCTTGTATGATCCTTCAGATAACATTGCAGTGTTAAAAGATTATACAATTCCAACCATAATTATAAGGTTAAGCCATATGGTTAGACTATTGATTGGATTAAAGACATATTCTTTGACAGAATTACAACATTTCAAATTAATGCATCCCAATTTATTATTTTTTGCATTGCCTTCCCATTAATAGCTTTACACATCCTATTCACATGGAAGATATGGTGATAATTCTAAGTCAAAATACTTTTCTGAACACTCCAACTAATCATTTAAGCTCTTCTCCGAAATGGATTACATTGCAAACTTACAACCTTAGTTTGTTGAAAGTTCAACTTCCAATTCTTGTACTCTTCTAACAAGTAAACCATTAATACAACATGCTAAAATACAAATACTTAAGATAAGAAATGCAAGTGTCACAAAGTAAATTTTGATTCTTTTTAAATTGAACATAGCAACAATCAACGTTGTGATAAATAAAACAAATAAAACTAATTTGACTAGAGTTATTTCTACATTAGTTGTTGAGATTTAATAGAGTTATGAGTTTATTTATAGCATAACCTAAGATAGATTTCTAAAATAAAGTTACTTATTTAAGACTGAATGAGGCAAATATCAAAAATAAAAGATTTACAACAGATGTTCCATAAACAACTAATCTTTGGATACCGTATTCTCTAATGTTGAATTGTCGACTCACATTTGCCATGTATAATAATAGAAATATTTCAAGTATCTAGATTGGCAAAACTAATAAAAATTGATTGTAGGAATCGTATTCGATCAAACTCAACACAAGTCCACTCTCAATGGCACAAACCAATTAAGTAAATAGGGAATGAAGGTATGGTATGGTGTTATTATGATATCCATCTGGAGAATCCATGACTTCATTACCAATAGCTTTGGATGTAAGACTCCAGTACAGAGAAAATATGCATGTGAATAAAACTGCTATCTTAAATTAGAGGAAGTGATTACATTATTGATTCCTATTATCAAGAATTCAGTCAAGCCATTAAAGGCATACCAGATGAATCCTATAACAACACTACACAATGCTAATACAATGCACAATGGAGCTATTATTTTAAGTGATGCCAGACTCCTCATCTACACTTGAGGAGAATATACATAATGAAGTCCTGTGGGCACATTTTTGTTATTCATAACGATTATATAAAATATTAATTATCATTCAAAATATATATATTACTTTAAATTTTCTAATTGGTCTCTCAATAATTGGTAAGCATCCTTAGTGAATAACAATTCCAAGCAATAAGAAGTATGTATAAATTATTACATATGAAGATTTGAGTTGGCAGATTCAATAAATAGAGAAATTTAGAATATTGTAATTGATTTGAAGGTGTGTCATTATATGAGTGTCACCTAAGTATTTAAAACTATTATTAAATGTTAAGTTCATGATTATTTTTAATAAGATAATATAAATGATGCATTATAGATCCTTATTCCGATTTTCCCATTATCCTGTTCTCCAATCCTTATGCGATCGTGCTGATCCCAGTCTATTAGCCAATTTCGAGTTGATGAAACAAAGCAATGAGAGATTCCTGAATATCACCAACAAGGTGATCAATTATGGTGGGACCGTGGCTCATCAAAAATTGGCAGAAAGAAACAAAGTAGAAATCCTTATTGATGTTTAGTTTCCTGTCAGAGAAAGAATCACCAGATTACTGGATGTCGGATCTCCATTCTTGGAATTATCTCAATTAGCAGGATATGAATTATACGGAAAGGAAGAAGTGCCAAGTGGAGGTTAAGTATATTACAATAGTAGGAATCGTAACTGGCATAGGATTAATTAATAAGAGATTCTGTATGATAGTGGCAAATGATCCAACAATAAAGGGAGGCACCTATTATCCAATTACAGTGAAGAAGCATGTCAGAGCCTAGGAGATTGCTTGGGAAAATAAATTGCCATGTGTCTATTTGGTAGATTCTGGTGGTGCTAAGTAATTATACATCAATAATTAAGCTTGATGCGATAAGACGAAGTATTTCCAGACAGAGATCACTTTGGCAGAATTTTTTATAATCAAGCCAATATGTCTGCATAAGGCATTCCTTAAATCAGTATAGTGCTTGGTTCATGTACAGCTGGAGGTGCTTAGTAAGATCATGCATTTAAGTTTTAGTGTCCCTGCAATGAGCGATGAGAATGTCATTGTAAGTGGAAATGGAACCATCTTTTTAGGAGGTCCTCCTTTAGTGAAAGCAGCTACTGGTGAAGTGGTATCTGCAGAAGACTTAGGAGGAGCTAGAGTGCATAGCTTCATTAGTGGATTGACTGATCACTTTTGCACTTCTGAATTAGAAGCTTTATAAAAAGGTAGATCAATTATAAAGAATCTAACAACTAAATAGGTAGGTGATATTAGAGATGACTAACCACTCTATGATATCGAAGATCTAAACTATTTGATGAGCAGCGATCTCAAAAAGACTATGGATAGTCGTCATCTTATTGCACGCATTTTAGATGGATCAAGATTTATGGAGTTTAAGGAGAACTATGGTACTACACTTATTACAGGATTTGGGGAATTGTATGGCTAAGAGGTAGGAATTATTGCAAATAATGGAATCTTGTTCAGTGAATCAGCCTTAAAAGGAGCACACTTTGTGAACTTATGCTAATAAAGGGGAGTGCCTTTGATTTTCTTATAAAATATTACAGGATTCATGGTGGGTAGAAAATATGAGACAGAAGGCATTGCTAAACATGGAGCTAAAATGGTTAATGCTGTAGCTACTGCAACTGTTCCCAAATTGACTTTACTTTTTGGTGGAAGCTTTGGAGCTGGTAACTATGGTATGTGTGGAAGAGCTTATGGAGCCAAATTCTTATTCTCATGGCCTAGTAGTAGAATCTCTGTTATGGGTGGTGATTAGGTATTATCAATATATCGAATATATTAGGCAGCTGGAGTGTTAACATCTGTATAATAGTAAACCATTGTTAGAAATGGAGGAGAGTGGAATGAAAAGGTCGAGAAAGATTTAAAATAGAAATATTCCTAGAAATATGACAATGAATCTAGTGCATATTATGCGACTGCTCGATTATGGGATGACGGGATCATTTTACCAACTTAGACCAGATAAACATTAGGATTGGCACTTTTAACTAGTATGCAACATTATAAGTACGAAAGAACAGGTCATGGTGTTTTTAGAATGTGAATATATGGAATATTTAAAATAATTTATTAAATAGAACCTATTCAAACTTTATTCAGATTACTATCTTTGAAAATAAGTTGACCTTACTCACCAACTTCATCAAAACTAGCATCTAAATTTTTAATCTAAATATATATTGTAAGCTTATATATATATATGTGTAAATTAATTAAAATCCTTGTACTAAATTATTTTTATTTCTAATAAAATATAATTGCTTTAACTTAATATTCATTAATTTAAGAAAATGGCTAATGTTTAATTCTTATCATTACAGTATTATCCTATTTGCATGTGTAGGGAACTCAAATATTACTCCTCATTCATCATATTTCTAAGAAAATGTTGTGATCATCCAGTCCCGCCTTTTTATTTGAAACATGCTTTATCTGCTTCACTCAAGGTGATTCTTGAGTAATAAAGTTCACAATAAAGATGTTTAAAGATGAGCTAATTAATTAAAGAGAAACCAGATCATAATAAATTAAGAATTATCCAAAATAATAAAAAAATGAAACTAAATATGATCTAAAAATACCTATTTTATGTTTAAGGGCGTCATAATTTCTCATTTTAACATAAATTAAACAATTATTTTAAAAAATAGACAAAGTTCAAACCTCTATCTATGAATAATTTAAATTGGATATATAAATTAATTTCCAAGTACTTTACCCATTCTTTCAAAACTCAGTTATGGAATTTCATCAAAATTCTTTTAACTTGCAAACAAAGAGTGAGTCTGTAATAGCAAATAATATGTTATTATTTAAAAATAAAAGATTTAATTTCCGGTATAATTAATACTTTTAATAAAATTTGACTAATTTTCAGTATATCATATTTTTCTTTTGTTTTGAGAAGTATGAATCTGTAAAGATTTTTCTGGGCTTAAATATGAATTTTATTGATTTATTAATATTAAATGGGATGATTACAAGAAATATACAAAATCACATTTTAACTTGAGTATTTTTATTTATTAATATAATAAGAGACACTCCTTTTCTAATCTAAGTCCTATTTTATAGGTTAAATTAAGACTTGATTTTATAATTGAATAATAACACTGAATGTAATTCAATTTTAGTCTATCAAATATTTGTAGAATTAGAATGGCTATATTGCCATATCTGTGGATTCGTATTATAGAGAATAATACATAAGTTCTATAAATATTTATACACTTTAATGATTGAGTATTTTTAAATAAATAAATAAATAAAAAGAAATAAAATATAGTTTAAAGAATGAGCTTAAGAAGAATGAGAAGTGGAGGCGTGCATGCGGATTCCGAATAAGATTTTTTAAATGTATTCAAATGAGATTATAATTTAATTAGAAAATTGGTAAATTGGAAAAATAACAAAAAAAAAGAACTTATGTTGAAGAAACTGAAACCTTTGAGGGATTTATTATGAATTCTCAATTTACCTTTGACTGTTTTGGAGGAAATCAAATCTTAAAGACAATTTAACAATCTCATTTCATACTAATTATGATAGATGATTTCGCTTTAAGTCCAAAGAGACTATAAAATATGATCGAAAACAGTAAGCTCTTTTTGTTCATATATGTTAGTAGATAATTGCGAAACACTGACGCAAAGCACAAATGATGATTCATTCGTTTGGAGTTCTTAACCGATGAATTATGACTGCGTTGTACACAACTACACTGTAGGCTAAGTCAATCACTTGTTCAATATATGGTTAATTAATACACCCACTATGAATTCAACGTTTAAATGTACCCTTTACAGCTAACTATTTGTTTAGATTGCTATTTTCGATTTTTTGAAGCATTTATATGTGTAAATAACGAAGGAAGTGAAATTTTCAAAGGAATCTACAATGAAATGCGCACTTATAATGAGAAGGTTCAGCAATTTCATATAAAAGAAAATGATGAAGTAATCAAATTTGGAATAACTAGGTTTCCCCGGATCGCAAATTAATTAATAATTTTTAATAAATTATAAAAAGTTTAATTGATTCGACAACGAAATGACGAAAGCTTATATGATGATATATATCTTGTTTATTGTTTATGTTTAATATATAAAAATCCTTAAAATATACATATATAAAAAAAGAATTTCACCAAAAAATGAGTAATATTGTAATGATTATTAATTTAATTATTAAATAATATGGCTGATCAATCATAGGCTGAATATTTGAACTTAAAAGTTAAGTCTCAAGATGGAGAAGAGGTGTTCTTTAAAATCAAAAAATAAACTCAATTCAAGAAGTTGATGGATGCTTATTGCTCAAGACAGAATGTAAGTATGAACTAAATATTTTAGCTTCAAATCTAAAATGTGAGATTCCTTTTTGATGGAGAAAGAATTTTGGAGACACAAACTCCAGCTGATGTCTGAATATATGATATATATTAGATTGGAATGGAAACAGGAGATGAAATTGATGTGGTTATTGAGTAAGTCGGAGGTATGAAATGTGTATGAATAAACATACACATCCCTCATATATATCTTATGCATGTTTTCTTCATGTGCATAGTATTTGCAGTCTTTGCCGATTGTTATTTTGTGTATTAAGTACAATAATTTGTTATTAGTTAATGTGGTATTATCACAAATTAGATTATACTCATTATGAACTCAATCATAAATATTACTGTTTATTCTTTATCAAATGTACACACATCAATTAATCCTCACATTTTAATAAAACCTAATAGTAATGCTACATAGAACGTAGAGTACTATTTATATTCTTTTGAAGATATTAAAAATCAGGACTTCATAATTGTTTTCCCCTTCTTATTGGCATTGTTCTCTCATCACTGAAACAATTATTTTATTTTAAGATTCTAATATATTAACCATAAACATTCTGAATGATAAATTTCACTTTGCAATATATTCATGATATGCATGCAGTATTTTTGGATAAAACTTAATGGAAATAGCAATAATCAGTATAAATTATTATTTAAATTCAATTTAAATGAAAAGCATTATATATTTTTATTTTTAAGCCAAGATATCGTCAAGAATATTCAAACTATCAAAAGTTCATTTAATAAAATATCATGAATTAATCAAACTAGTGTTGTAATTTTATTTCGTTTAATAAAATGATGTAATATTCTGACAATATCATGATTTAATCAACCTTATAATCTGCTCTTACTATTATTTTGATTTATATTGGTTTATCAAAAATACATTTACAAAGTTAAATCAATATTTTTATTAAGGAAATCATAGAAATAATTTTGACCTATGTATTTACATAACTAACTTAGATAAAACCTTAGGCTTTTTCAGATAATATTCTAAAAGGTTCAGTTGATAGATAGCCAGAATACAAGAAGCTCATTAAGATAGCCAGATTACAAGAATCTCACATTAATATTGTTGAATAATTAATAAAATGAATATAGAATCATAGTATTAATAAGAATAAAAGATATTGAGAAAATTTGAAATGAATTCATTAATAAGTACTTTTAGAAATGTCAAGTCTAACATTTTCACTAATTTTAGCTACTATAAATTTATTATTAATAAGCAATATTTGATAGTTTTCGTGAATTTGACAGTAGTATTTGAGAACCTAGCTTGATCTTTTGGAGTTGAATTATAAAAAGAAAAATGCATGAGAACTGACTAATGTCACTTTTTGGGCATTGATTATTTATTATTTATAATAAATTCATAATTTAATTTAATGCAAACATAACCTGGAGTACTAGATTTATCAGCCTATAACTTACCTAAAAGTGATTCTCTTTCAATAAGAATACAAGAGAACTTCTCTCTTTATGGAGTGAGATATGCTTAGTTAGTTGTTGTGGCCATTGCAATCGGAGGGTACACTAAATATAGATTTTAGACTTACTAATTTTGCAGTTCTGCTTGCACTACTTCTAAGTTATTTAGGGTAATATTTTTTATTAAAATGAAGATGGGCATTTATAATGAAATAAAGTTCTATTTTAGATTTCCTACCTGATTTAGGATTTGTCAATACTCAAGACAAAAAAATGATACTTTTACTTCTATGTAAATGAATAGCATTAATCTTAGTTAATATTTTACTTATTTTGGGCGATTTCAGGTCCTCAAATATTGACTTATGTGGGTCTTGGATGTTTAATTGTAATTGTGCATGCATCATTATGGAAAAGTCCATCAACTTTACCTGGATAAGACATTTAATCAGAGTTCGATAAAGTGTTAATGTAAAATGATGTTGAATTAATTAATCATTGAAGTATATAGATCATAATATTATATCACTAATCATATTTCCATTTACAACTTTCCTATTTTTAAATATAAGCATAAGAAAAATCTGATAAATCAACTTAATTCAATTCTATTTCATTATCATAGTTCCTAACAGTACCATCTTTTCGACCAAAAATTAAATATTAATTAAATTATATAAACCAAATACTATTACATTCTATTGAGATAATATTTAAACCTTGAATTTAATTTCTGATAACATTTTAGGAGTACATAATTGGATACGACTTAATTAGTTTGTAAATAGTATTATTAAATTAATTTTATAAATAATTATCCATAAAGTTCAATAATTCAATTTATTCTTAATTATTATTTCTAATTTTTTCAATAAAGCAATATAATAACTATAGTAAAAGTACTATAATACACATTCATATCATTTTTAAATTGGGCAACTTCAAGCTATCGCTCTTCTTTAATTGCTTGATGGATTTTAATTTTACATAAACCAGCGCAATAAAATAAAAAATATTAAAACTGCTAATAAATAAATATCTTTATAATATCTGGCCTGCAAGAATATTCAAATAAGCACACAATACTTCCTATCCTCATGGAATTTTGTTTTCATTTTTACAGTTGCTGTTGTTTTTTAATTTCCAAAATAAATCTAATTGCAACATTTGACTTTAATTTTGTAAGAATATGCCTTTAGAATATACTTATAACATTAATATCATCTGAATTTCTGTTAAAAAATTGCAGCATTTTCAATAAATAATTTTAGTTGACTTAAAATTATTAACTGCTATTTGTGTTAAAATTAATATTTGTTTGAAATAAATAATTCCACTAGTAAATAATAAAATCTTCTTCTTTATTCCACACATTTTATTGCACAAAGAAATCATTATCTATATCTCTGTTAATTCCTCTAACAAATTGATTATAAATTTTATTCAATTTATTAATAATGTAATAGACAATTCCGAAATATACTAGCCATTAGTTTATTCTTATATGATAATTTAAGCACATCCTTTTTACAGGATTCTCTGATCCCTATCAGTACATCTGTAAGTTAAATTTCATGGATTAAGTGGTAATATACTTGCAGAAAGGTATCTTTGGGATAACAATTTCAATGATTCTCCCTGCCTACTGACTTCAACTATTTTGCCATTCAAATTCCTACTTAATCGTTCATCTTCTTTCCAGAGTTATTGATTTTATTTAAAATGCCTAAGATGAATTTTGATTTAATTTAAATTTGTAATTATAATATTAATATTATATATCATAACAACTCTTTTCTTCTTCTGCATTTCAATTTTGGCACGTCATTCAACCATTTCTAAGTTATGGACACTACAAAAACTAAATTAGTAGGACGAAGCTCTTTTTCTTTTGCTTATAATGATTAATGTTCTGCATAATCCAGACTTCCAAATAATTATTTTATATGAAAGAGTGTCAATTCAGCAAATAGAAATCCATATTTTAATTTTATTGCTTTCTATTCTTTCAACAATGCTAATCCAACTTAACATATTAAATCCTAGTTTTCTTTATCAATTCCTTCCACTACCCCCATATATTATCTTCTAATTTATGTTCTCCTCTCTTCTTATCTTAATTAAACCAATTCATTTTTAAGTATTCTATACTCATTTATTAATGGACTCAAAAACACAGTCTCAATTCCTTATTTTTCAGCTAGATCAACTTTTGGACAAGATTCAATAAATTCTAAATCATTATCAAAAGTAACTAAGTTAACAACTGGCTACCTTTCTGAATCTACTTTGATTCCTCCCGTGTACACGAATTTCACTTTTCTGTATTACTCATGAGGATAAAGACCTCCCTTTAAATGACATAAATTATCGGTTTTTAAGCTATCAGGATCAGGTTCAGGATTATAAAGTGGAGAAAATTTAGCATCTAAAGCAGGGAGTTACAAAGTAATAGGTTTGGCATCAACAGTTTACTTTAAAGCTTCATTAATTATATTTGCCTTTTCTAATTCATCCTCACTGAAATGAGGAGAAGCCTTGCCATTTTCATCATCTGATATTGTAATTACCACAGGATTAGGTTTTACTCTTTTTTAAGTTGGAAAATCTCCTCCACCATTCTCATTATTATTACTCCTATCGAATCCTCTATCAAATCCTCGATCTTGTCCTCTATCTCCACCACGACCACGTCCTCTACCTCGACCTCTTCCTCTTTCACCATTTCCATTCGATTAGTGATTATTGGAACCCCATCCATTGGATTGCTGTTAATCATTATTGCTGCTTCCCCAACCTCCTCCATTTTAAGCAGGTTGATCAGTTGTTGTAGAACCCCAACCACCATTTGAAGCTGGCTATTCAGTTGCAGTAGATCCCCAACCTCCACTTGCAGCAGGTTATTCAGTTGCTGTAGATCCCCATCCTCCTCCATTAGAGGCAGGTTACTCAGTTGCTGTAGATCCCCAACCTCCATTTTAAGCTGGTTGTTCAGTTGCTTTAGATGCTCCCCATCCTCCATTTTAAGCTGGTTGTTCAGTTGTCGTTGATCCCCAGCCTCCATTTTAAGCAGGTTATTCTGTTGCCGTAGATCCCCAGCCTCCATTTTAGGCAGGTTATTCGGTCGCTTTACTAGACCCCCAACCTCCATTTTAAGTAGGTTATTCTGGTGCTTTAGTAGACTCCAAACCTCCATTTGAAGCAGGCTATTCAGTTGTAGTGCTTCCCCATCCTCCATTTTAAGCTGGTTACTCAGTTGCTGTAGATCCCCAACCTCCACTAGAAGCTGGTTATTCAGTTGCTGTAGATCCCCATCCTCCACTTGATGCAGGCTATTCAGTTGCTGTAGATCCCCATCCTCCACTTGATGCAGGCTATTCAGTTGCTGTAGATCCCCATCCTCCACTTGATGCAGGCTATTCAGTTGCAGTAGATCCCCATCCTCCACCGGCTTAATCATTTGATGATCCTCCCCAGCCTCCACCGTTGCCTGAATTTTCATTATCTCTTCCTCCTCTAAATCCACCTCTTCTATCTCCTCTATCCCCTCTTCCTCTGAATCCTCCTCGATCTCCTCTATCTCCTCTTCCTCTAAAACCATCTCCTCTTCCTCTATATCCTTCTCCATCTCCTCTTCCTCGATATCCTTCTCCATCTCCTCTTCCTCTATATCCTTCACCATCTCCTCTTCCTCTATATCCTTCTCCTCCTCCTCTATCTCCTCTTCCTCTAAAACCATCTCCTCTACCTCTAAAACCTCCTCTGTCTCCACGATCTCCTCTTCCTCTGCCTCTACCTCTTTGTCCATCTCCAGATCCTCCTCCCCAGGAATTTCCATTTTATTAATCTGATGAACCTCCCCAGCCTCCACTTGATTAAGCTGGTTAATCACTGCTTCCCCATCCACCTGATGTTGTAGCTTATTCAGTTGTGGATCCCCATCCTCCTGACTAAGGTTAATCTTATGTTGCTGTTGTTGAACCCCAACCTCCTTATTATTGTGGTTATTCTGTTGTTGTTGATCCCCATCCTCCTGATTACTAAGGAGGCTATTCTGTTGTTGTTGATCCCCAACCTCCAGATTATTATGCTGGTTATTCTTAGGTAGAATTTCCCCATCCATTGGATTATTAAACTGGTTATTCAGTTGCTTACCCCCAAGCGCTATTTGATTATTTTGGTTATTCAGTTGTAGAACCCCATCCACCTTAAGTTTATTCTGCCTACTATGGCTGCTGTTCTGTTTTACTTCCCCAACCTTCTGATGCTTACTGAGCTGGTTATTGAGTAGAATTTCCCCATCCTCCAGATTGGGCTGGTTGTTCTGTTGTACTTCCCCATCCGCCAGATTAAGCAGGTTATTCATTTGTTGAAGTACTACCCCAACCACCTCCAGAATTATCCTTGTTTTCTGAATTTCCCCATTAATTACTATCTCCATTACTTCCCCAAGTATTACCTCCTCCATTATTATTATTAGAATTTCCACCCCAGCTTCCGCCATTATCTCTTCCTCCTCTGTATCCTCCTCGTCTCTCACCTCTATCTCCACCTCGATCACCTCTATCTCCTCTTCCTCTGAATCCACCTCTGTCACCTCTGTCTCCTCTTCCTCTAAATCCATCTCCTCTTCCTCTGTCTCCTCTATCTCCTCTGCCTCTAAAACCTCCTCCACGATCTCCTCTGAATCCATCTCCTCTTCCTCTACCTCTGGGTCGATCTGATTAAAATCCATTATCTGAATTTCCTCCTCCTCCCCAGGAATTTGATCCACCTCCCCATGATGATCCACCATTGTCTGCAGTTGAAGAGCTTCCAAATCCTGTGGTTCCAGATCCCCAAGCATTATCATTAGTTTCAGCTTTAGTTTCTCCCCAAGATGATTATTGCTATTATTTTTGATCTCCCCAACCTCCTGATTCTGCAGCTGTTCCATTCTAGCCATTGCTGTCCTTATTCTCCTTTATTTCATCGCGACCCTATTATGAGTCCTAAGTTTTTTTCACTTCATCTACTTGCCAACCGCCTGCACTTTATTCACCACCCCATACTGGAGTAGAATCAACTGGTTTAACTTCACCTTCTTCAAGGTTATCTGCAGTCTAACTCATATGAATATTTAATTAATTAGTAAGTGGACCAATTTTTAGATTGATTTATGCTAATTTTATGAAGTGAATAATTGGATTATTTTATAAAATGGCTTGTTTTAGATTTCTATTGAGATTAAATATACAATTTTATATTGTTTAAACGATAAATTTAATACAATAGCATCTTATTCATTAATATTTCTTATATTTATTATTGAAATTCCCAGATATAAATTAATCCTGAAATTAATTATCCTCTTCAAATTATATGGAAGCAGCACTACCAATTTGTTTCAATAGATCATCAATTACGTCTATATTATTTCGATAGTTTTTATTATGATCTACATAGTGTTCCATTTGTTGGATATGGTAGGTATTATTAGGCCAAATCTTAAAAGATAACCTCGATAAAAAAGTATTATTTACTTAATTTTTATTTCTCTTCACAGGCAGATGATAAGTGGAACCACAGTTGACCTGAAGAGCATCTAGTGGTTATGATTATAAGGGCAACAAACTGCTAACTACTTCTTTTTTAATTTTGAGGCTTTTTCATTTCTCACCTTATTTTATTCAATTAATGATTTATTATCACATGAATTACTTTGGAATAATCCTAATTATTTTAAAGCAGGATCATTCAAAAATAAACTCAAATAAGTTTATTACTATTAGATGGTTTGAAAGATTTTTAAAAACACAGTTATAAATTAATATTGGATAAACAGTATTTATACCTAATTGCTGAGAAATAATAAAGTAAAACTCTGAATTGAGTATTTTTTGAAGAACATATTTTTCATTTACTTTACCTAAATCATGGTGTAATAAAATCAAATAAATTGGTGAAAGTTGCAGAAAATAAGTCTTTTTCATCAATTAATTTTTTGATTTATAAATTTTGTAAACCAAGAAACTAAAAATATTTCAAAGATAGGATCAATTAATAACTAACTCTTAAAAATTGTGTTGAGTCATTGCTGAAATTTTAATTTTTTTATTTTTTGAAATGAAGTTGTTTTTATTAACAATTTATAGAAATTATTAAATGTACAAAGAAGGATCTGATAAGAATTAAATATAGATACTTTTATCAAATTAATGAATGATAAGCGAGATTAAAATTATGTTTTTAATATTAATTTGGTTACTCCTCAGTTTTATTAATTCAAAATTAATATGCAACACACCACCAAGGCAGTTAAAAATAGTGTAAGCATAACCAAAGCTATATAAACTATAGATAATATTCTTAATGCACCACAAGGTTCTCCTTTATAAATACCATACTTATTTCTTAAATCAATAAATATACCGATAGCAAAACAAAGAAAAGGACCCCTATTAAATAGGTTGATCCTGTTAAAAAGGAATAAACTTCCTAAGCCGATTTCATCTCCATTCGATCAATTACAAAGTAAAAGGAACTGTATTTATTAATATTTTTGTTTACAATTTTAATACAGCCAAAATCAATAAAGCTACCCCAAAATCTAATGCTTATTCTCTTAAGAATACACATTCATCATTTTCTTTTTCATTATTTTATCAAAAATACCATAAAAGGCTTTGTTAATAGACATTAATAAAAAGATTGTTCCAAAACTTAAATTTCCCAATCCCATATCTCTAAGTGAATCACGATATTTTATTTTTATTCTTTAATTCTATTCCTCATCCTCTATCATTTCTAATAAAAATAATAATATAAATAATGTTATATAAATATATATCTAATTAAAAAATAATTCTTAGAAGACTATAGAATTATTAAATTGTATTTATAAACAATATTCTTAGAGTTAAAATGAATTAAATGAAAAATAAGAAATAATTGATAAGCAATTTTAATTATTCATGCATTTAATAAAGACCTCCAAATAATCATAACTAGAATATTAGTTAATCAATTCATGAATAATTATGCAAAAGTTGAATATACAAATGATAGGCTTCATTTGCCTAACTTTGTTCTTAATACTTTATTTAATAGGTTTGTATTTATAATTTGATTTTCTATTCCCAGTGATTATTTTATCCTTATTATAATATTAATAAATTTAATAACAATTCACAATGGAACTATGACATAGTAATATGCTATAATAAAAATAAATAATTTAAATAAATATAATTAATATCTCTTATGAACTGATTATATAAGGTATTGTATTTTGTAAAAATTACATTATTAATAATAACAATTAAACAAAGAAGATAACCCTAACAATTTATAAAATTTCTATCCTCAATAAAATGAAAGAAAAGTAAAATTCGATCAAAAGGAAAATAAAAAAATAATCACCAAAAAAATTTCAAAATATAGATGATTAATTGAGTTCACCATTAATAACGAATGAGATACTATTAGAAAAATATCCAAGCTACTGCTCAAGCGAAATCTCAAGTCCTGATTCAGCAAGGGAAGAACCTGGTAGTATGTTAGAATTCTTACTTCATTTGGAGAATTCTAACTACTGTCCATTCATCTGAATATGTTGATAATATTAAGTTTTTTTTTATAATTATCTCTTTACGAAGGCAAAAAATTCTCTTCTGACACTGTTATACATAAAATCAAATGCGTTTTTATATTGAATGCTAATTATTAGATTAATTTGATATTAAAATTGCAAATACAGAAACATTTAATATATAGATAAAGATCAGGAATGTTTTGTTCGTGAATAGTAATTTTATGTGACTTCATTTCACATATCATCACTCAGATAATATATAATATTATGTAATTTACAGTACGTTAAATATTATGGATGTGATTCTTCATACTATATTTATAATACGTATTATTATAAAGTGTGTAAAAATATATAGAAGTCTAATAATCATATAAAGAGTGGAGAGTGTATTTCCTCTATGGTTAGGAGGAATTCTAGCATACTACCAGGAATAAATTTGGATGATTCAGGACTCGACAGTAAACTTGAACATTGACTTTAATGCTTAGATAATAAGTCCTCATTAGTAATTATTGGAGAACTTAAATTCTCCTTTTATAAGTGTTTTCTTATGAATAGTTTTCTTATCTTTTTGACTCTTTATGAGTTATTTTTTTCTTTCATTTTATGGATTTATTTAAAGATTTATTTTTTATATAATTTATTTTAATAATTAAAATTAAATGATAATATTTTTTATATTTGAATTTAAATATCCACTAAATCTTTCAGCATTAATTACAATAAATCATGCAGTGTAAATTAATCAAAAGCCATAATATATTGTGAAAGTAGAAAAATCTTATATAATATTTAACTGGACATGAAATTGCATTAGAAATGTGATTATAAATATGAATACTATTAAACATTAAAATTCATTATTTCCTTAAAAATTGTTATTGTTCCTTAGACAAATGCTTGGATAAGTGTTATAAATGTTCAAATGAAATTGATATGGGTTAAATGAGATTATGGCACTCAGTAATATCATTTTCAAACTCTGTTTCGATAGAATCTATATCTTAAAACTCATCATCTTCATCTAAAGCTATAGTTTTCTAAGGTTTAATAAAATTCTTACACATTATTATTGATTTGAAATCAGAAATTCAGTCATTTTTGCCTTGAGTGGAATAACCTTATCAATAAAAGGATCCACATAAAACAACTAATCAAAAAATGGTAATAAAGTGAATTAATAAATAACATTAATTTATAATTATAGTAAGGATTTCTATTATAAAATTGAAGCAAATCTCAGCCATTTACTGAATAATTATTGTATGCTTTCACTGTTGGATTAAAACCATTATAAAAGCTGATTCGAATGTTATAAATAAATTGCGCATAAAATAGTTGTTAAACCATTAATAGTAGAGGGTATTTCAGAGTGCATAATTTTTTAGAGAATTTTGCTAAGCAATTAGATTGTAATTTATCTATTCATATGTTTATTCCAGACAACAAACAATAAATCATGTACGTGTTCTGTGAGAGCCTCTAATTCTGGTTCTTTTTGAATATTTAATTGAATATCTAAAATTTAAATAACTGTATTTAAAGTTAGTTAATCAATTGAATTATACTATAAGAGTGTCTTTAAAAGCATAATTCCTTAAGGAGTAAATTCATTAAATACTAATAATTATTGAGCAATCTAAGGGATAAAATTAATTAATAATTGTGGTTAATGTTTTGCAATTATTGTATTAACTTTTAACCATATCAATCCATTGGTGGCTGAGAATGTTTATTAAACTGAAACTGGATCAATTGTGACAAGAATTTCCAAAAGTTCATAAAATATCTATCCCAACAATGAATCATGTGGATAGGTGGTCCAATAATGATAGATATTTTATAGAATTGGAAATTATAAGGTCTTACATAATTTTAACATCTATAAGACACTATCAAATAAAATATGTGCTGTATCTTAGTCAATTGAAGGGAATTGAATGTTGGATGAATCAACTAGGTATTTAAAACTTTGTTCATCCAAAGTAGTGTTTTTGCTTGCATGGGCACATAATTTTCCAAGATTAAATAAATTCACTAAACCAAGCTATGACTTTAACTATTGAACATGCAATTAAAATAGTTATGTAAATACTTCAACTTATCCTTATGTTAATAGATATAAGTTAGTTAAAGCAATTAATTTTTAAAGTTGAAAGACTTAGTTTTAATTATTGCTTTGTTATTTCAATATTTGATCAATTATTACAAAATTTTGATTTGGATTAAATAAATCTGATGAAAACTATGCAATGATCACATATTAACCAACCATTTCAACCTATTACTATAGATATTATAATAATAATTATTTTGCATTTTAAGATGTTTTTTTATTTGATAATTACTGTTCAAAGAACATTAAAACAGCTTATACAACTGTGGGATCATCTTCCATAATAAAATGATCCAAATTGATATTTTTAATTGGCATGCTTAATATTTATAATAAACTGTTGTAAATCGTACTATTGCATAATTATTAATTATTTAATTCCATTAACATTTATAAAGTATAAAATAACAGCACTTCCTAATTTGGTTCTTATTCATAGCATTCATCCAAAAAGTTAATTTCTATTATGATAATTTTATTGCTTACCTTCTAAATATTGAATGGAGTTGGTTAATCTATCCAAAAATTGTGTCATTTATGGTAGAATGACTTTTCTGATTTGCTTAGAATAAGACTTCATCTCTTTGAATATCAAATTTAAAGCTTTCATAATGTAAATCTAAGATTCTAATTAATCCTATTGTTATAAAACTTATGAGAATCGTTCCATCCATTAAATAAATGTTGAATCAAAGCATTATTTTAATTATTCTATATCTGTTTGTTCGCAATGAGAAAACATTTTAATGACCTAATAAACTAAATTATATGTTTTAGATGTAGGTGCTTGTTATGATAACATGTTCTAGAGAATTATTTCGCAATACGATATTAAATTCTATCCATCTAATTACTGATAGATATGAATTAAGGTGTTTATAATGTGGGGATTTAGAGCGTATAAATGTAAAAATTATGGTATCAATGATTGATATTCAGGATCTCTTCTCATCACTTCTGTAATTATTATTGTCTAACTTGAAATAAAAATTTACGATGATTTCTTAAACTGGAACTTATTGCTCTTGTTAAAGACCATCCACCAAAACCTTTAAGATGTCTGATTTTATTTATTGTTGCAAATGTTGCCAATTCAATAGGATTACATTCTTGAATAAAATTGCGATGTATTTTCTTTATTGTTGATTGATATCAAATATTAACTTTAATGAGTCTAGTATAAAATTAGGTGTATTCTTTAGATATTCGGATAGATATTGGTCTCCATGTCTTAAGATCTCCGGATTGTTAATGCACTATTCGTAAACTTATAAAATATTAGCCATAAATTAAATTATTCAATTCATTTTCTTAATTAAACAGCATCAACCATAATAGTAAATTACTTATTTCCGTCTATTGCTTTAAACTATTTAGCTCCGGAATCATATTTGAAAAATGTTTTCACCATCTCAGAAGTTAAAACCTGAGGGCATTTTCCTTATCCGAATATCAAATAAGGTTGTGAATCTACAGCATAGCCATACAAAGCTCTAAAGTCCTTAATATTTTTTATTTCTTACCGATCTACCATAAGTTTTGAATAAAATTATAAAATGTTCAGCTTCAACTCCATCTAATTTTTGTAGAATTGCTTCTCTCTCTCTTTTATTAGGCTCTCCAGCCAGACACACATAGGTTATCGCATTCTTTAAAATAGTTTTATTATTTTTTTTATTTTTTTCAACCGAAATTGATCTATCTATATCTGAACAAAAATGTGCAGTTTCTTTTTATCTTGCCATAGGAGATTTTCTATTCGCTGAAGCATTACGTTTTGATTATGGCATTGAAGTTGGAATAAATTATGGCTCTTTTTCTTATACCACATTTTTTTAATAAAATTATGGCGATTGATGCTAATAAAATTGATTTAATGAATTTTATTATTATTATTATTATTATTATTATTATTATTATTATTGTTATTATTATTATTATTATTATTATTATAATTTTTTTAATGAAGCACTAGGCATTAATGGAGATTAATCTCGTTTATTATTCTAACTACTTTATTATTACTATTATTCTTTATTTCTTTATTAACGAAGCTATTTTAACTCCTCCATTTCCTATAGTTTCTTTTTTTTTAATACTTCGAATTTTTTTTATTTCTCTTTATCATCTTAATCTTCAAAATTTATACTAAACTAATAAAATTTATTATTATGATCTTCTTCCTCTGAAAATATCTCTTCTTCTTCCTCAAGATAATTATTATTTTACTAACTTACCTAAAATTCTTCATTGTTGTTTTCATTTTAGACGTCCTAAGAAAGTTAATATTATTTATTGGCATTAGAATTAGTATACAGATAATTTTAATAGGACTATTACTTCTCGAATTCAGTTGATGGAGCTCTTTTTGATGTTTCACTGAATTTAGAGGTTTAATGAGATTATTAATAATTTGAATATTATTCTTAGAATTTAGACTAATTCTAATTAGAGACATTAGATTTCTCTTCCAAATCTTAATTTTTTGACTATTCTTGGATTTGATTATATTTGGATTAAATTTAACTAGTTGCATTGCTTTTTTATATTTAATCATATTAACTTTTTTGAGTCTATACCTTTGATTACTCAAAATTAGATTAATCAAATTTAGAAACTTGATCTGCCTGTTTATTTGCATATAAAGACTTTGCTATTTGAGATTGATCTTAAATTTTATAAGAGAATTCTTGATCAAGACTAGGCATCTAAGGATATTCAATCCTTTATTTTTCATATAATTTGGATTATTATTGCGATAACTCCAATAATTTCGATGACATTGATTATTGTGATTACTCAATTAAGGGTTCTTCGTTTGATTTGGCTTACTTGTAAGATTAATCGAATTTTAAGACAGTTTATTTGGAAGCATCCACTTATCTGCTGATTTCAAGTATTTTATTAGTTTCATTAGGACTGATCTTCAAATCGCTAAAAGATTCTGATGATTTGCTAACATCATTCAATTTGGAGGTTTCTGCATTTGCAAAATTAGTATCCAATCTATCGATTCGTAATTTAATTAAATTGTTATAAGCAGTCTAGTTATCTTATTAGTTAATTTTTAATGGCTTTTATTGGGTTTACATTGAGGATTCTTGCAATTCTTCTTCAATGACTTCTTAGATTTCTTCATCCTAGTCAAAATCTTAATTATACTGTTCATCATTGTCATCCTAATCCTATTAGAGCTAGTTAGAGGCGTGGTCTGGTTGCTGCCTTTTGAAATAATTTTTTGGTAAATTCTTAGTCTTCTCTTCATATTGGGCAATGAGAAAATCTAATTGTTTGTATTGTTAGTCTTTGGAATCAACGAAGGAATGATAATTGATTTGGAAATTGGGGTGCTCTTTTTGGAATTGCATTGATTATTCAAATTTCGAACTCTATTATTTCATTTTGGATTTATCCATTTGAACATCGAAACGGTCTGATTAAGCAGAGTTGTTAGAAATAAGACTCAAGGGTGTCGCATTGAGACGAGACTACTAAATGGATTGTTATTGAGTTAGAAATTCCCAAACTTATAATTTGATTTTGTTTCTCTCTTACTCCTATTGAAGAGTGATTTATGACTTTTCATCAGCGACCTTTTTAATTTGTTAATTCAAATAGTATTGTATTATTTTGTCTTGTTCTTGCGATTGAGTTAAATCCATTTTATATTATTAAAATTAATGAGTACCGATTCTGATGAATCTGAATTTTTGATATAATACTTCTCAAATCTAATCCTTGCTCCAGAAAGTCAAAAACCTCAACCCATTAACAATGAATACTCTTCCTAGATTTTATATGTTTTTGTTCATACAAATTAAAGATTCGATTACAAATCATGGGGTTAAGAGTATTTTGGGAAAGCAGTGAAAATTAGTATGTTTCGAAGAACTCAAAAATATACGATATTGAAATTGTTGAGTGACTAAGGTAACTGACATTTAAATTATTTAAGTTCTGTTCTAAAATTTTAGACATCAAGAGATGAATTGCTGTATCAAGCCAACGTTCCATATAAGTGCTACACTTTCGGTTCAAGTGCCATTCGACTATATAAATGAGTACACGGTTTAAGGGGATAAAACTATCTATTTATTAGGTAAATAATGTAAGTTGAAAGAAGATGATAAAATAGAATTTAAATCATATAAGGTGGATCTATTGATCAATAACACAGGTATTATTATAGTATTAGTATTTAGAGTAGATAATGAAGGTTATCTGCAGTATTTTGAATAGTAGAAGATAAGGTAAAATTTTGATAGGAATTTCGTATGATAAAGATTTAAATGGTTACGTCGTTAGCGGATGTTTTTGTTAGGAGAAGAAAGCCTATTAGGTGATGAACTCAATAATGAATAAATGTAAGGAGTTTGGTTGTGATTAATGGGTGAACATCAGATTGCATGAGTGTGGAGTGCTGCTTTAGGATCAATGCTATGTTGTGAACAATCTAAAAATGTAATTATAATAAGTAATTAGATTTGAGATCATCATTAATGAGGGCACGAATCAATTGATAACCATTACGCCTGGCAAATACTATATCAGAGAGAATGGATAATCAGTGCCTATAAAAATGAAATAACTATTTAATTATTGGAAAGATAAAATGATAACAGAGGAGGAGTTTGAGTAGTGTCTCAACTTTTATGATGAATTGATGAAGAAAAACAAGTTGATCTGAAGAAATTGATAAATTTGTGAATATATTAAATTATTTCTAAAAGTGTTTATAAATAATTAAATTTAAAAACGGATTAATGATGAAATACTTAGTCCTATCAGTTTGCGCATTGTCTGTATTGGGATTCATTAAACCCCAATATGACTCAGGTATTGATTAGAGCTTGCATTGGGCATAAACTCCCTATCATCCTTTACAACAAAGTGTTGAGTAATTCTTCCTAATATACATTGATTAGAGTGGGAAGAAGTTTCTAAACATTAGTCAAATTCAACAAGCCCTTCAAATCAACACCCACTGTAATATTGGCACCAATCAAATACGATTTTGGAGATACTTTGCCATAAGGTTTCGATATTCAATTGAGTGCTGTCAATACTGTTGGATTCACAATTACATATGTTGCATTGAGTCCGGCTACTATCTTCGGTTTTGATGTATCATGGGCAGCAATTTTGGATAGCAATATCTATACATACGAATTGCAAACAAACAATTTACCAGTTGTCAAATCAAATAAAGACGGAACCACTAGAGCATAACCATTAGAAGTGATATTCCCAGAAAATTGGTCACTCAAAAGTGCCCCAAATGTTGCCATCTTTATCTTGGGACTTAAAATGGTTGAAGCTTGGCCTAAAATTACAGTTAACATGGCAGTCATCACCAAAACATCAGCTTAATTCAAGGTGACTGTTGGACAAAAGGGAACCATCGAATTCCTTAGAGTCAATATGATTATCGGTGAAAAGGATACCTTGTTAGTTGGAACTATTACACACAAAACAAGTGGAGCTGCTGATCCTTTGAACGCTGTTGCTCCTGAATCAGAAAGAGTCAAGAAGTACGAAGAGAAGATCACTGATGAAATTTTCCTTAAAACACCAAGATATACATTGTACGGAATCAGTGGTTTATATTACAATTATGGTGCATTCTGCAGATTCTTAACTAAGAACTATTTACTTGTTAAAGATAAGTTATCTGTTGAAATCGGAACATGTAAATTTTGATCCATATATAAACCTAGGGTAGAATTCATAATTATTGGAAGGATAACTCAATTGGTTCATTTATGTTCCTAAACCGGATGCAGGTGTGTCTGATCCTGATTGTGCTTAAGTTTGGGAATCATGCAACTATCAAGGAGACTCATTTACTGTATGCAATAGAAAGATGTCTTTCCCCAAAGATGGATGGAACAAACCAGTATTGATTTCATATATTCTAGGTTAAAAGTTTCAAAGTTCCTGACGGAAAAGTCCTTAAAGTTTATAATGAAGAAAACCTTAAAGGATTATCAATCAGAATTGAAAAAGATTTACCATGCATGGAAGTGCCTAAATTCTCATTCTTACAACTTGTAGGAAGTTTGGGAGATGATAAATTTTGGGAAAGTGACTGAGTCGACAATATCATTAAAATTACATTTTATTCCAATATTATTTTAATATTAATTTACGATTATTTATCATCTTTTCGAAAATTTTCTTTCTTTCTAAAAATTTCAACTAAAATATTAATTGTTTTTTAAATTATATTTTTTTTTATTTATTTTTTTATAATTATAATTTTATTATTTCATAAAAATGTCACTTTATTTCGGGAGTTTAAATTTTATAACATCATGATTAGGACAGAATTTTACAGTTTTACGTATTTTTTGGTTGTTTATAATCAAAAATCAAAGTGACGAGAAAGCAGTATTTAAATTATGTTAAATTATTTAGGATTCACTTCATCTGGTGTTAGAGGAGATAGTATAGCTTCAAATTATCAGTCATCAAAAGGTAATGTTTCATCCTCCAGCTATTTTTCAAAAGCTTAGTCATATTCAATGAAAGGGAACTCAAGTTCAAGTGGAGGTGGAAAAGGCAAAGGAAAATGATTTATAATAATGTATTCCTTTGAATAATTGAAATTTTAAGTTGGTTCTTTTTCAAAATATTCCCCGAAATTTTGTGATAACCTGATATTATAAAATTTGGGATTAAATTATATTACTATATTATAATGAGAATTAATTGTAATTTATAATTATAAAGAAGTTTAAACCTAAAATATATATCAACGATGAGTGATTTCTAGAATCAAATGATATATTTTATTTAAAAGAAAAAATGATATATTTTAGGTTGCTAATAGATGAATAAGAAATAAAGCAATTTGTGAATAGATAAAATATTCAATTTTGAAATTTCAATGATTTATACACTATAGTGAATAATTTAGCTTAGCCTTTGATGTCGTCTACTTCTCGTGTTTTAATCGTTGGCTTATCTTCATTAGATTTTTTCAAGGATATCATGGTTTCATTTTTTGTGAGATCCATACTCTTCAGATGGAAACTAGACTTGGTAGTAAATGCTCTTGATCTGTGTATTGGAGAGGTTCTTTAATTGGTTTTTATTGGACTTGATTTTTGTGGAAATATTTTCTAATTGAGATATATTTAAGGGTTTCTATAATAATGGAATTTATTACTCTTGAATCTAATTTTATTCAACATATAATTTTTATCTCGTAACTTAGCCTTATTTCAATTAAAACCCATTTAAGGTAGCCATGCTTTTAATTTCATTGACATTCCTTGCAATTGATCTTTTTTTTAGATTCTTATAAAACATTTTCGCCAATTGAATTCTTTCCTGATGTTCATGTAAAACATATTTGAATACTGGTTGAGGATCTTATTCAGGTATTTAAAGAGATTGTTGTTTTTAAAGTTAGGCTTTCTTTTTTTCTTGAATAATAGAGAGAATTTCAGGTAGTGAATTTTGTCTTCTAATCATAAATATTAATAAAAAAAGTATATTTTCAATTAGACACTTCTTCTTCGAATTTGAATTAAGGATCTTAGTACAGGATAGTTTTTTTGTATTCGTTTCTTTTCTTCTTTTCTTAAGTAATCTTATGTTTATCATATCCAGAAATGGTGTCTCCTTATTTCTAAAACATCTCCTCTTCTTACAACTGATATCTTTCCAACTATTCTAGGATATTCGCAGATTCCATTGAAATTCTCTTCTATTTTTAAGCCCATTATTTCAGTTTGCTCCATCCAACAGATTATGATGGTGGAGGCAATTGCCCTTCATCTGGTAGAAGATTTAAATTTCTTATTGATTTTATTTTCTCGTCATCAGAACTATTGTCTTCTTCTAAGTAATGATTATACTAATTTTATACCATAGATTCCCAGCTTTCTTGCCTTCTCTGTTTTGATGACAGTTTTATAGATGATTTCTTTTTCTACATTTGGAATTTCCAAAAATAGACTCTTTAACTTCTGATACATCACCATGATCATTCCTTCAAACTTCACAAATAAAGGGAAAGTCCTTCTTGAAACATCATTTATCAAATTGTTATGCTTCTTAGCATACATAGGAGTCACAGGTGAGATTCTTTCTGCCAGCCTAGTAATAGCTTCTACAAACTCCAACAACTCCATTTTCAAAAATTTGGATTCTCTCAACTCATCTCTTTGAGTTTACATACTCTGAAGATATATCAAATAGAGTTCCTTTTCAGCTATATATTTTTGCAGTTCAAACTAATCCACAAATAGTTTAAAATCCGATAATGTTATATATTTATTTCCATGTTTCATAGTTTATTTACAGGCGTTTTCATATAGTATTACCAGAACAGGCATCTTAATTTTGATAGTATAGTCCATTAATTCAGTCCAATAACGGTTGTCTCTCCAATCTTAAGAGATTCCAAATTTTTACATAAATTTCAATACCTCATCCTATTCAAACAACATTTCCAAGGCCTCAGCCATATTAGTAGCTACTCCCGTTCTAATGTATTGTTCTTTAGCTAATCTTACTATGATTTCAACAAATTAAAATCTAACCAAGCATTTTTCTTAGATATGAATATAATTGGTTTGTTTCATCACTACATAACTAGATAAGAATGTTAATTATAGATCTAAAGAGTTCATCAATGATTTTTCAAGTATGCTTGTTTGAGAAATAAAATCCAAAAAGCTTTGTAAATTGATACAAGGAAGATCATAATTCAGTGTTTTAGCACAGAAATAATGATAACAACCAATAATGTATTTGTATATCTTCTTCATTTTATCTTTCAATTATTCAATTTCCTACTAATTCTGCAAGTGTTTAATCAATTTTCCACATTCAAAGTCGAATTCAAAGCAATCCAAAAGATGTCCCTCAGTATCTGGCTAAAAGTCTTTAAAAATTGAGTTTTCATAAGACCAAACTCGTTTTTTTGCTTTATTTAAATCAATGTCTATAATTGATTCTGATTCCCTTGGTCTGCATGTTATATTCGCCATGTAATGCCTAGATGAATCTATAATATCTCCACTCTATTCTGAATGAATATAATTCACTATTGATAACTACACAAGCACTGATGAACCATCTGCATATTATAACTCAAAGCCTCTTTTCCTTATTTCTTCATTGACATCAAGAGTGAGTGTCTTCTGATCCTTAGCAACAAACCTTACATCATAGACAGGATTGCTAAAAAAGTAATGGATCTTTTTATTTGGAGGACACATTCTCTAAAGATAATAGCTATTACCCTATTGATTCATTAAGATTGGCCTATATTATTCAAAATCGACATGCAAAAAAATTGGATGCTAATATTCGATTCCTGAATAATGAAATTTTATCTCCACCCAACCTTCGCAAATCCAACAATTTTCTTTAGTTTTTATATTTATGCAATTCACACTATTGATTCTCTTAAAAAGCTTGGGATCTGACTTATTCTCATCATACTGACACTCTTTAACCAAATAGGCTCTAGGATTTACATAAAAATTATGGGGATTGCCAGAAAAATGGAACCCAAATAATTGTTGATTATAAATAAGGGCCTTATGGATGGCCATAGCATCTTCATCATTAAATCTATTAAATGATAAGTCCAGATGAGTTAATTCTGGATGTGGCTTAATCAAAACACTATTATCTAATATAAATATTACTCAGACAAAGCAGAGATAAATTCTTAGTTTTGTCCTAATTTATTAAATGAAAGGTCTAAGACTTTTAAAAATTAATTCTTTATCAAACCCTTCATTATTGTCAACCCTCCAGCATTTTTAATCTAGTTGAAGTGCAAATACACTTCTTACAATGAAGTATTCTTTCATATAACTCATACAATACCTTTTTCAGTAATTAACCTAATGCGTCCATTGGTAAATCAGTAATCTAATTTTTAGAAAGCTTTAAAACTCGAATTGATTTGCTATCATTCAATGTTTTTAAAATAGTGAGGACAGCAATATCCTTAAGATTATTATCCTCCAAATTTAAATGCTGAATATTATAATTTCTAGAAGATATATAATTACAAATGCTCTGTATTCCTGATGTGCCAATTTTATTGTTACTGAAATCTAACTCTATTATAGAACTGGGAAGCCTCTATGTTAAAAGACAAGTTCGATTGTTGTTTAGCTTGTTATTTCTTAATTACAATCGCTTTAAATTATTAAAATGGGAGCTGCTGATCCCCTCAGCAAATAATTGTACGTATTTATCACTCCCAAATATATTATTGGCTACTAATTTTTCAGGAGAGTCTGTCAATAACTTTAATGTTCTTGGTATCAGTCTCTCTGTTTATATCTTTTCGCTCATTCTTCCGTATATATTTTTATCAACATGATAAAATTGCTCCATTTCCTTATAACGTTCTGACTTCAGATAATACCTTCTTAAACCCTATTCACTTGCATTAGAGAGATTAGGTTTAATCAGTTGTAAATGATTATCAAATACTAAATGCTGATTATCAATTAATAATGATCTTCCTTTATCTTATATTTATTCCAAAGAACATAGTTCTTAATCTTGCACCAATTTGTTAATTTCTTTTGCCTAAATTAACATACCATTTACCTCTTCATCATCTTCCTTATCCATTTGCTATGTTGGAAATCCAGGCATACTCTAATTTCTTTGATTCGACCTCCCCTTATTTGGTGAATGTTTTGAGTATCCTGTCTTTGTAATTCTGATAAGTGATTAAGTCTGATGACTTGGAATCAATTGTTTCATAATATATAATATTCTAAACAAACAAATAATTATATTGAATAACAAACTTTCTTACTAGAAATTCCTTATATTTGTCATAATAATTATACATAACGAATCTTAATTTTAGGAATCAAAGCTTGTTATTTTTATCCTATTCTAAATTATAATTTTTATTATTAGCATATTAAATAAAGTAACATTTTTTCTTAAAATCAATCATTTAATAAATATTAAAAAAGAAATCTGGATAAATCATATTAGGATTGAACAAATTTATTGATTTAATATTTATTCAGAAAGATTAAATGTAGTTGAAATTAAATAATAATTTTGAAACTTATAGTGTCCAAGAAATAAAGAGGTTCTATAGAAAATATGACTTGAAAAGAGATATTTTCTTTTATATATGGCGATACCTATTTTTAGATTTTTGTATAGCGATCTCTTAAAAAAGTTAGTAAAAATGAATATTTTATAGTGGTTCTGGAAAATATAATAAAAATAGAATATGAAAATTTACTGATGTACTTATGCTTGTGAATTTTTATATTAGGACTCATTAATCATTATTGAAAGATGAAATTATATCTATCTTCAAGACTTTTCGGATTGCATGTGATTTTTGAACTTTCATCTACTTATTTATAAATAGTTTTTAAAAGTCTATGAATATCTAAATCATCATTGATTTGTGTTTATTTTATAAAATCTGATTTTACAAACCTCTATCAAACAATTTTAAAAAAATAACCTTCTCTTGTAAATTGATGTTCGAAATCAAGAATTTAGCCAACATTAAGGTTCCTAGAATTAATTAAGACTAATTAATCTTTGTATTTTTGTAAAAGGTTTAATCTTTACTTCAAAAATGCTGATCATTTTTATTTGATCATCATTCATGAAATTAAAGCAACTTATATTATTAATGCAGCACCAAGTGTAAAAATCTTAAAATTCCAAATTATTCCATCTAATTTATTATCAAATATTAATATCTATTCAATTATTCACACTTTAATTATTCCAAAGTTAAATCTGAATATTTTTAAATATATTCAGCCTTTTTAAAATAAAATGTGTAAACTAAAATTTATTAACTTCAAAAATAATTAACCTCACCCCATCTCATGTTGATTTCATACATAAAATATTCAGACACGAAATGAAAATATAATTAATATTTGAAATTAGAAAAATAGTTGTTATATTTAAAATTACCAAAAGATAAAAATAGATTTTAGGTTAGTGAAGAAGAGAAAACAATTTAAAGTTGAAAAATGGCGTTCTTTATTATTATTTTCATCTTGAAATATCAAATAAATGAGGAAAAATGTAGAAGGGGGTTATAGAATAATTTCCAGTTTATTATAAACTAAAGAATTATAATAACAAACTTTAAAACAAGCAAAAAAGAAAACTTTCTATCATCTTATGTATTTCATCAACATAAAAAAATGAAGAAAGTGGTTGTAATTCTTATTTAAACTTTTGCCTTGAAGTCTTTCCAGCAAATCCTAATTTTTGTTTTGTAATTTGATCGATACACATTTTTGCGGTTGAGATATTAAATAATTATGATTTGATGGAAGCTTAAATTGAGATGGAATTAACCAAAAGGATGTAATTGATTCATCAAACAATTAAATCAACCTTTAAATGTTGCATTCACAATATTCTATTGATTTAAATAATATTCTTCAAATATTCAACTTATTGTGCTTATTAATTTAATCCTGTGTGTTTGGTGCACAGTTAGAACTTCTGAAGAAAATTTTATTTTTATTAATGAATTTTATATTCTAGTAAAACCTACAAATATATAGGTATAGATCTGTTTAATATTAAATATTTGATCCACAATACCACTTTGTGAGTTTTAAAAAAAATTTTTTAAATAATTTAAAATAATTTAGATTTTTAAAATTTTGATTTACCTGTCATTGATTTTATAATATAAAAAAAGATATAATAGGTAAAATTAAAAATAGTATAAAATATGAGCAAATTTTTGTTACTTTTCATTTTTATCTTGGCAACAACTTAAGCAATAACATTTGATTTAACTAGGCATTGTGCATGTGAAGAATTGAATGAAAGTGAATGCCACAGATTATACTAAGTTTGTAAATGGACAACTACTTGTGAAACAATTTTATCAATAGCATCTTTTTGCTCTAGTTTATAGGAATCAAGTTGCACTAAATTAGAATCATACTATTAATGTGTTTGGGAAAATAAAGCTTGTGTTGAGAAAACATATACATGCGATGACTTCAAAACAAATCCTGAATGTACCCACGAATTAGATTGTTGGTGGAATAAATCAGGAAAATGTGCTTCATTTACATCTTGTGTTGATTATGATGAAAGCAATTGCAATCGTTCTGGATGCGAATACATTTCAGGAGCATGCACTTAAATTACATGTTCTTCATTCTAATCTGATCAAGATTGCAAATACATGGATTCTTAACATTCTTTCTGTAGATGGACGGATGATAATAAATGTCAACCGTTATCTACAACGGCAACATGCACAGACTTAAGTAGCTATAAGTTCAAATGTGAAGACAATTTCGCGTGTAAATATGAATCAAATTAATGTTCGTTTAGAACATGTGCTGAAATTATAGGTAAGTACAATAATTGTAGAACTCTTCCTATTAGTGGAACCGAAAAGATATTATGTAGTTGGGATGGAACAACCTGTGCTGATGCAGAGGATGCAAGCGAATTAACAGAAAGTAATTGTTTTGAATGGTCTGCCTATAATTATAGATGGACATCTGATAATAAATGTGAAGCATGCGATACTTTGGTATCATTTGGTAATTCAACCAGTGCTGCTATCATTCCAGTATTTTTTGCAATTGCTTTTATTACCTGAAAATATAGATATGTTCAAATTTAAATAATTTTATTTTAGTTTCTCTTCTTTATTTGAGATTTATAACAAATAAATTTGGAAATCAATTAAGAATGTTGAATTTTGAAAAAGGAGTATTGAAATTGATTATGCACAACTAGAATAACTATTGGATTATGAATGAATATTACATTTAATGAACATGATGCTTCATTAAATCATTTAATAAATAAATTATATTATACACATATGGCTGAATCTGGAAGAGAAAATTGGGCTGTTGATGAATTACTCAAGGCAGAAGAGGAGGCAAATGCCATTATTAAGAATGCTTAAAAGGAGAGAGAAAAGAAAATTAAAGAGGCCAAGGTTGCAGCTGATTAAGAAATTGCCGTATTCCGTAGAGAAGAAGAAACTAGATACAACTAAGAAATTTTAAGAGTAAACTAAAAATTTAGACAAATAGCGTTTTGGATCAACAAAAGAAGAAGAGGAATTGGAGAGAAAGACCAAAGCTGAAATAGATAAGATTTATGCTGATTATGAAGCCAATAAGTTAGCTGTTGTTGACATGTTGATTAAAAGAGTTATTGAAGTTAAATTAGAAGTGCCTAGAGTGGTTAAGGGATAATTTGAATAGCCATAATAAACTATATGAGAGATGATGATGAATTCATAAAAAAATAAATAATATGTATTACATTGTTCTTTTACTTTCTCCAATATTAATTACGATTTGACAATATTATAATATCAAGTGTTCTATGAATCCCTGTCTTAGAATGTTTGATTACTTAATTTAGAATTATTCATAAAAAAAATTAATGAGAGAGATATTTGCAAATTCTAATAATATTAACACAATTTTCATAGTTAAATAGAGTGATGCCAAGAGTTAATTCGATCAAGGAAGGAAATATTAAGTTCCTGGGATAAAGGAGATATTATTCTAATTCAGATTTTATTTTATGAAAGGGATTTTGAAATATTTTGTTTATAATTTATGGCATAGTCTTTTACAATCTTATAAAATTCCTTTAAACATTTTGGACAGGGACATTACAAAGAGTCAATGGAGTAATCTACTATTTAAGTATAGGGAATTACAGAAATTTAAGCAATTAAAAGAGCAATCTGATCAAAATCAATCTATGGTGCAAATAAATGAAAATATCATTCTTTGTGAATACAATATCACCAAAGATGCTAATGCTTGCATAAATAAACTAGATGAAATAATTGATGAAATTAAAAAGCCTTCTCCCTAGAAAAGTAAGTATTTAGAAAATTAAATATTATTAGAGAAGAAACAAGAAGACGATAGCATTTTATAATTCAACAAAGCAATTATGTTCTTTTTGAGTGGAAAGGTCAGATAGGCTCACAACCTATTGAAATATTTGAAAGACAACTATAACTTGGACATTTACTTAAATATCAAGGTGCATTTGCTCTTAGTTGAAACATCATTTTAATTATAAGAATTTTTGTATGCAAGCGAATTGTATAAGAAACTATCATCGGAAGATACTTTAAAATCCTTACAAAATAAAATTACCAAGTCCAATTAAGTGGACGATTAATAATAATAATCATAGTCAATCTATACATCATTGTTGTTAGGTTCTGATCTGCCTTATCCAGATGCACATCCAAACACTTTTAGCAAAGAGGAATTTTTATTCATATTAAACGTGATTAAATTTCGATTTTACATCGTTTCAAATACTAAGGATTGGAATAAAAAATTAAATAGTTTAGAATAAGCCTTTAAAACTTATATGCGTTAATTAGATCAATAATCAGGCATGTAATAAGATTAAGCAGTCTAATTTTCAGCAGAGACCCAACCCTATCTGAATTTGCATTCATAAATGATGTTCTAATAATTGAAGGCATAAAGACAAGTCGCTTTGAATGAAAATGTTGGACAATGCATCAAGATGATCAACCCATGTGCAGAAAAATAAAATCAATAAAATTAAGATTTTATCTAGAGTAAACAATCCTTATATTTGACTTAAATATATAATAATTTGGGCTGTGTACATGCAAAATTGGGTAAGTATGCCTTGGCTGCAGTCTACTTCCATAAAGCCATTACCCAAACGAGATAAGTGTTATAATCACCTAATCTTTATGAAAGCGTAATTTAAACAAATGTCAAATAAAGATAATTTGCCATCTATCAAAATTTAGCTGATGCCTTGTTCATGGATTAGAAATATTAGAAAGCGTTAAACATTTATAATCAATTGCAGGAAGCTTGTAATCAAAGTGCAAAATTTTGGTACAATAGAGGTGTTTGTTATATACAATTGTATCATGAATTTAATCCTGATAAGAATGAAATTTATGAAATATCAGAAGAACATTCTTAAATCAATACCTAAGAGGAGGGAAAGAAGATTATACTTTAAAGCAGAGAAATTTATAGTGATGCTGATGAAGAATATTAAGATTAATTCTATAAGATTGATTAAAAGAGTGAAGAAAATAAGTTAGTACAACCAAAAGTAATCAAAGAACTTTTAAACAATGCTATTAAGTATGATAAATAAAATATATTAAAGATCTTTCCGTAATGCTATTATATTATCGAAGAAAGAAAAGAGGGAAGAAACTATTTAGATAGATTAGGAGTAATTATTAATTGCAGGTTCGTAGTTATTTGAATCCTCAATCGTCTTTTTAACATACGCCTACCTTTGCAGAGGAGATTATAACTTAGCCTTGCAATAAGGAAAGGAGGCATTAGAATACAATCTGTCTGATAGTAATAAATACACTATAATACAATATGTACTGGAAGCCTATATTTCTACTTCAAAAATTAAAGAAGCTACAAGCTATCTTAATAGTAATGGAGTGGCTAATTTCCTAAATAAATTCATTAATTGCAATTTGTAAGTTCAGTGTAGGAATGTAATTGGAATACAAACCACTTGTTTTTCAAGTTAAAGTCCCAAGGCCATAAGTCATTTTAATTAAGCTGCTTTACATTTACATAATAATCATTTACCTCAAGCTTGGAACTCTATTTAATCTTTGATGAGTTGCTGCGATATCACGATTAACTAAATTAATCAAGTTATTCCAGTGCCCTTTCTAAATTTATTAATATGGTATTATTTGAAATCAGGTACCTATATTATACATATTTCTTTGTAGATTAAGCGTAATTAGCCATACATTTAATAAAGAGAAGAAGATTGTTAACAGGATAAATGGGAAAAAATAAAATATCTCTGTTAAATATTACAAAATGATATAGATATAAATAATAGTTATTTTATATATTCTTACTTTCTTTTTTTGGATTACTTGGGTTTATATCAATCATATCAAAATAGAATTTTAATTCAAATTAATTGATTTTTAGGATTTTTTAGGTACAATTAAACATATACTATAATAATTTACATATCTAATAAAATAGAAATCAAATATATTTATTAAATTATGAAATCAAGCCAACCTTTTTGAAATATATCTTAATAATTTTATATTTTAAAACATTCAAGAATGAATGAGAATGATCTTATATAGATATTTCTCTGGTAACTGCAAAATAATTTGAAATTTCTTGAAAAATACTTCCTCCCAGGTCTCCCAAGGCGAACAAAATTTCTAATGGAAAGTCCGAAATCTAAATGGATTTTTTTCCATATGTAATATATTATTGCAAATTGAAAGTAAGTAATATATCAAAATCTTATGGAATTATTGCTTGTACTAACAAAAAATAAGAGAATAAATCTTTACAATAGATGAAATAGATGACATATTAAAATGCTTTTGAAGCATATAGCTTTTATTCAGAAATATAATAGAAATCTCAAAATGAATAGGTTTGAATAAGAAATTCCGTGATAACCTTCGATTTAAGAAGGTTTTTAGCTAATGGATAGGAACAAGGACAAGGATTTTAATAGGATGACAAATATATATGTTGGGATTATTAAAATGATTAAATATTAATAATTTATGAGCAAACTTGATAATCTAAAAGTAATATGTCTTTTTATATGAAATCAGAACCTCCAAATTTAGCAGCTTAAAGAGGTAAATCCAGAGCACGGTGATTAGACAGCTGCAGTAAAGTTTACCTCGAATCGTATTAATGCTCTTGAAAAATTTGTTAGAGATTCCTTACATTAAGATAAGGAATACTTTGCAGGAGAGGTAATCAAGTTAATGACTTTAGAAAACTACTCTTTAAAATATTATTGAGACTCTTACAACAGAGAGTAATAGACTCTAATAACATTTACATGTGAACAGAGAATCAAAATAATAAGTAATATTAGTGAATATATCTGTTAGATTGAAGCGGACCTAAAAATATCTCAAGAGGAGATTGCTAGATTACATGCGATAGTTCCATAACATGATGAAAAACAACTTCAAAATGAGATTTAAGAGACCAAGAAAACTATTGTAAAGCTGAACAAAATGAGATAAGATGAAGCCAATGGATTGAATATCAACGATTTAAGTAAATGCTAATTCGAATTTATAGAGTAATTGAACATCAAGAACAAAGATAAGGAGAGTCCTGTCAATGAATTGTGGATTTGGTCTTTGGTTGTGATTTACAAAGAACCAGCCTCAAGTTATTATTGGAACAATTTCAAAGTATATTTATATTTGAAATATCTTTTTAGGAATAAGTGCTTGAGAAAGCTGAAGGCTCTTAAGATTTCAAGGAAAGATTAGGAAGAGTTAAAGCCGTTGACATGAAAAAAGATGAATATGAGAGAACACAAAATTTATTGAAATAAAGGGAATAGATTTTAGCAGCTGACATTTTGACACCAGCAATCAAAACCTAAATCACCAATTTCTTTAAGATTGTAGACTTGATGATAGAAGTAGAGAAACATTCCAAATCGATCCATAATAATGAAAAATTATTGCAATAAGTTTTATTTAACAATTTATTATAGCTTGCAACTGAAAAACAATAACTACAATCAGAGACCAGCAAAAACTAGGACAAGGCCTAAATTTTGAAGGATAGAATCGCCTTTTTGGATACTATACACAAAGGTTATTAATTTATGTATGATGCAATGACCAAAAAAATACACAGCTATCAACAAGCTCAAATTTTAAATGATAAATTCACAGAGTAAATAGAGTAAAGCTTCAGCAATTTAGATTTCTCTAAAAGTTACAATCAAGTAAAATTGTTAATCTATTCTTAGTAATATGTCCCATAAATAGTACAAACAATTCAACATGAGAACATCGAGGTTTAAGATAATCAATAAATGAAAGTTTAATAAGTTGAAGTAGAAGTATAGCAATAACAAAATCAAGAACATCAAAAGGTTATTGAAGTGAAATAAACTCCTGAGGAATAATAGATTGACTTGTAATTACAAATTTGCTATTTATTTTATTAGATAACAACCACCAACTGAAATTGTCCAAACAAAGACTGGAGGTTGCGAAGCTTGCAGTATTTTTTGAGAGAAGTGAAAATCGATAATAAATATCATAATAAAATTATATCACAAATAATATATTTTAATGAAATCTATATTCCCAAACCAGGAGTTAACATCTTTGAACTATTATTATTCTCAATAATAGAACACTTAGCCATATTATTATTAAATTTAACTTACAATAAAAATAAGAGTAGTTCATTATAATCAAATTTTTGTTAAATTTAATCACTTAATAAGATTTCGGATGAATTACTAGAAGTTATCAAAGATTCTTTCATAAGGTGTTAATCAAGTTCTAAATGCGTGTATTAGATTATTTCTAGCCACATTAACTAAGAAGGGTTTTATTACAAATATGGTAGAGCTGACATTAAATAAAACTTGGATGAATAATCTTAATTTTTAACACCAAGAAGGTCCAAAATTCATAGAAATGTAAAAGATTATAATTATTAACAATATAATTAATATATGTAAATACCGTCTACAGAGTAAATATAAATTAAATTGCATATAGGAGCGCTGTGAGTCAAGATCACAATATCTCTAAGTGGAGGAGCTATGGTCTGCTTGAGACTGATGGAGGATCGTCTTCTTTTTCATTCCAACAAAAAAAGAAAAAGCCTATTCAAAAATCAAACACTATGCATAATCTCAATCAAAGAGTCAAAACGTAACCTTAGGAGAATAATGATCTCAAAAATAGTTAAAGCGAATCCAAACACAGATTTAGTTAAAGAACCCAGTAAAGCATTCCAAGCAGAAGTTCCATAAACAAATAGCCTCTTGATGATGATATATAATTTGACATGTTTTCTGTTAACCCTGGGTCAAATATTTTAAATTTGGGTTAATAAACTATTCCTATTGTCTTGTAATTGAGAACAAAAACTATAGAAGAATTAGATTAGATTGGCGTAGATTTAGTAAAATATTCTTCAATATAAGTTTTGTTTAATCGACATTAGCAATAGCATGTAAGGATAAAAAATTGAATATGTGAAATAAATCTTACACTCAATACTTTCTAATTTGAGAGAATAGGATCGATTATGTTTGATTAGTTTTAACAATGAAGGCAAGCTGTTAACAGGTTTATAAAAAGTCACATAGGAAACTCAAGAATATTTCGCATTTGTTATTGACGATTTATAATGCATTGGGACGACTCAATTGTGGAAAGGTACTGAAGTGGCATTCGATGTCATTAATTAAAGAAAAAATAAGAATAATTGGGCAAGAATTCTCATTTTCTCGGATGGTTAGGATGAAATAGCACTCACTAAAATTAGAAAGCAATTAGAATATAATTATGACATCTTCACTATTGATTCATTTGGTTTCAGTAATTCAAATGCAAACAAAAGATTGTCACTGATCACTAATCTAAGATTTGGAAAACATTATATAATAAATAGTGAATAATAGGTTTTTAATAGTTTGGAGGAAACCTTTGCCAATTTCCCATTCAATCAATGGGACGATATAACTATAACAATTTCAACTAATTTATAAAATATTCCATTTGAAAAGATCATGATTTCTGAAATACACAGTGAGGGATGGGTAGAATTGTAACATTAACATTAATATCAAATTACAATTCCCAATTTAGAAATTGGTGAATCCTTCTTATTTCCAATCGAATTGGCCTTCTACAAATTTAATGATAATATATTGGACAAGGCTAAACCGGTCTCTTTGTTAAAGGGAAAAATAGAAATGCAAAATAGCATAACAGGCAAAAGGATGATTAAAAATGTTGAACTTGATGCCATCTTTCTTTATGAAAATGACTCTAATACTTTAGATTTTAACACATATTTTAATTGCAAATAATCACCCTTAGTTATTTGGGTTTGCGATAAATAATAGACCTGTAATTATGTAAATTTATAATAGAATTCAATCGAAAATCATACTTTGAATTGATTTGTGAGAACTTATAACTAAAATGGCAATTACAATAATAAAGAATTAAATAGCTTTATGATGAAGAACCATCATGAATTCTAAAAATTACAAATGAGTTTTGTTTATATTACATTTATGCATTGATACAAATAAGTAATTTGTTTAAATTAATCAGAAATTTAATTTTTGATATTGTAAACACATATATTTATTAACATCACATTAAACGAACAGTTAAATGGGTTCCAATATGAATAATATCAAAATTATTTTATAGACACCAACATTTAACCCACTTAACAAATTCATCAAAATCTTATTCCTTCAATGTTCTGGCTTTTTGACTTGATTCTCCAAAGTTGTAAAATGTGATTCTCTCTACATCTTTCAAAATTGAATCATGTATTTCGACACAATCTTGGCTGAATAGACACAATTCAAGATAATTAACATTGTCTTGATGATGAAATTCTACTTCCCCATATTCAAATTTAACTTAATCAACCCCTTAAACTTAATCTGAAGCTATATCAATTATTTTAAATTCAGTTCCTTCTAAAACTACCAATTCTCTCAATAATTATTAATTTTAAAGTTACATTTTCATACCCAATTTTTCATTACACTAGTATATCTTAACACTTTAAGAATAATAGTTTAAGATTTTCTTTAATAAGTCCTAAATTGTTTATTCTCTCAGCTTTTTAAACCCTAAAGTGTAAAAGTCAGTTTGAAAAGTTAGGTTGTTTTTTGGTATGGAGATCGTAAATTAAGGCCCTTTTTTTTAATTAGAATAAATTTATTATAGGCTTTCTTTTTTAATTTTTTACTTAAATTCATAGGCCTCCTCCTTTTAGAAAGTGAAAAATATCCCTTTTTAGTGGCTGCTTTTCTTCTTACTCGTTTATACCTTGATATAATTAGGTTGAATCTAAAAGTCATTGTTTATCTCATCAAATTTTGGTGTAGAGCACTTACTATAGTTCTCCTTATTTTCTATGTCTTCTTGATATTTTTCTTCATAATTGATTTGGTTATAGCTTATGTTGTAGCAGTTTGCCTAACAGATCTGAAAATTTTATTGGCCCAATATTTAATGGACATTTTGCTAATTGTCCAAAAATATTGGCTATTAGGGAATTTATTATTATTAATAGCATTAGACCTATTGAGGCTCTTATTTGATTTCCTAAAGCTGTTGGATTTGTTATTGTTATTATTATTGTTATTGTTCTAGTTCTTAGATTGCCTTTTCTTTTCTAAAATTCAATTAGAGTTCTTTTAGGGAAATAGCAATTAATTATTTGGTATTATTGTAACTTACAATGAAACCCTCAATCTTGGTTATAGATGGCATTATTGGATAAATTATTGCATTCATAGTCTTAATCAATTTACTTTTAGATTTATTATTAATTTTAATTGCATTTCGGTTAATTATATTCATAAAATACTCCTTTTAAATGGATAATAAGTGAACTTTTTAATAAAATTTATAGCAATCTAAAAAGTATGTGTAACTAAGTTAACATCATTTTAATTTAATTACATAAAAGTCTTTTTTGTTTTAAAAACCTTTTTGGTATTCAAAATAAGAATTACTAATTAAAAGAATTGGTTTTGTTAGAATAGAAGATTTATGATACTGTTAAATAACGAAATGTAATATTTAATTATAATTTTTTTTATTAATTTAATAAATTTAGATGAGCAACAGTAATAAAAAAGTCCAAGATTTATCAGGTACTAATGACAACTTATGATTCAACAATATTATCCTTATATTAGTCAATTATTTTAGATTCTTATTATAGATTTTAAGCCACCTAAACATACTTAGATTGAGAATCAATTAGAAATTCATAGGTATCAATTATCAAAATAAAAAGAACTCTGAAAGGAAATGTTCAACGTCGTTATAAGAATGATGAGTTTGAACATAAAATAAATTAAAAAGTATCGCTTCCCAGTCTACCTAATTTTAAAAAAGCAGATTTATAAAGTGATCAGAGTATTGAATTTTATCAAATTAGAATTGCTGAATCTTTCAAATGGAACTAAGCCTCACAATAGATTGCCAAAACTGGAAGCAAAAAGCGAAGTGCCTAAACAATTAAAGTAAATATAGATGATGAAATAATACAATTAGATTGGAAGATGCAATCATTCATTATAATAGTGTGACTCCAGAAAGAAGATAGTAGAGTCCTGAGAGACAATTGTCACTAAATAAAAAAAGATTAATGGCGAAAACATGGAATGGAGGACAATATGCCTTTAAAACAAAAGCTGGATGTTTAGCTAATAAAACGTCAAAAACTAATCAAGATTCTGGAATAGTTTTACCCAATTGTTTGGAGAAGTAAATTAATTCAAAATGAGTAAGTTTAGGTTATAGTATGTTTGGAGTTTGTGATGGTCATGGCTCAAATGGGCATCTAGTATCTCAATTTATAAGATAAGCACTACCTAAGCATCTCGAATAGTACTTAGTTAAAGACGACAACAAAAACAAAGTAATTTAAAAAGCATTCGAATAAACTAATAAAGAAATATGGGATTCTGAGACTGATACATCTTTATCAGGATCTACAACAGTCTCAGTGATTATCAAAAAAGACTAACTTTGGACAGCCAACGTTGGAGATTCTCGAGCCATTATTTGTAGGAATCAAGAAGGGAATTGGAAGGCAATATAAATTACTAGAGATCACAAACCAAATGTGGAAGATGAAAAATAAAGAATTATTTAAGCAGGAGGAAGAGTGGAGAGTCAAAAAGGTTAGTTCTAAATTTATCTTAGATTATTATGGAAATTCAGTAGGTCCTGAAAGAGTTTGGTTATCATATATAGATGCTCCAGGATTGGCCATGACCAGAAGTTTAGGTGATAAAATAGGTGCTTAAGCTGGAGTCTCAGCAGATCCAGAAATATTTGAATTCACACTCACATAATATGATTAATGCATTATCATTGCATCTGATGGAGTTTGGGAATATCTTTCAAATGAAGATGTAATGAATGTAGTTACTCCATACATTGAAAAAGAAAACATTGATTTAGCTGCAGATAGATTGATGGCTGAATCTATTAATGCCTGGAAGAGACATAGTTTATCCAGAGATGACATTACTTGCATAGTTGTTTACTTAAAGAGTTGAATAATTATTTCAATAATCCCAAAAAATAGTGTTTTTTATCATTTCTGAATATTATGCCATTTTCTTTTCGCAAAATCTGAACATCTCATATTCTAAGGCTTATTTACAACTAATTCTCAGTGTTGGATTTACTTCTAATAGTCGATTCATCAGTTTTATTAATTATGTATCACCATTCACTTACTACCCAATTTTTGGAATCTTCCCAAATAATAACTCATGCATTAACACACCAATGCTATAACAATCAACTTTATTATCGTATTTTTTGTTCATAGTTATCTCTGGTGCCATATATCCTGGTGTTCCACAATATTGTTATGCACTAGTAGCTTTGATGCAGATTCCTAAATCGGCTAGTTTAATAACTTCTCCTTATAATAATATATTCTCTGGTTTGATATCTCTGTGAATGATTCCATATTAATGGAGATAATTAACTCCTTTCAACACCTGATAGATTATATCAATTATTTATTTTTCAGTTAATTTTTTCTCTTTTCTATAATTGAATAAAGTAATATCACCCAATTCTAAAACTAAAGCAATCTAATATAATACTAATGAATACTTATTTATCATCGTTTATAACCCCATAACATTTGAGAATATTTGGATGTTGAATGCAACTCTGAATGCAAATCTCAGTTTTTATTAGTCCTTGAATACCCTTGCTAGTGATCACCGATTTCTAAATGATTTTCAAGGCTGTCAACATACCAGTTGTAGTATCACTATTTTTAGAATTAAAGCTTATACATCACTGAATAAACATCACTAATGTTCCCTCTTCCCAAATACTTAATCTTTTTGAATCTATTCAAACTGGACTTATCATTCTTTGACATCTACATAAATCCCTTAGGTTGGTTGAAAGTCGGACTCTTAATTGGAGTATTGACTCCAACTGAAGATTATCTCCTTTCATTTGAACACACCGAAACATTCCTGACTGGCTTTTGTATCTCAATTTATAACTTTTAGTCTTTGATTGATTACTATTTACTATGGGTTAATTGAGTCAAAGGATTTTATTTTTTTGACGTAGATATTAATTGTTTGATCTCCTCAATCTTTTTTCTGTTTTTTTCTAAATTTTACTCATATTAGAAGCATATTTTCGGTTAAACCTTAGCATTCTCAAAACATTCCTTATTAACAATAGACATTAAAGCAATACTCATAATATTTTACTCACTATTCTTGTCTTGTTAAAGTTGAGACAAATGTACAGATTTTAAACTGAGTATTTATGGCTCATTATTAAAAAAGGGTTACTCATAATTTAATTAATTGTTTTAATTAAATAATTGATCAATAGTATTTTATTTCGATTATTAATCTATTTAAACTATTTTAGAAGCTTTAATAATGCTTACAGATTCAATTTCTTAAGATGAATTACGTTGATCAAATTAGTCTATAGTATTCAAATAAAAATTTAAGATATTTGGTTTTCTTTGGCCAACGTCCCTTGCAAGTTATGAAAACTTAACTGAAAACAAGGATGCTTCAATTTAATTTTTATTTTCTTATTCTGATTCCTTTTTTATAGTAGATACTAAAATTCCTACTCTTGAGATCTTGTCTGCTTTAGTTTACCTCTCTAATATTTTTAATGAATGATTATATTTAGTTGATTCAAGATCAAACTTTGGTAATTTTTAGAGAGCTGAACTATGGATAGTCTACTCCTATTTGAGATTACTAAAATTCAATTTGATTTCTTTCGATACTTCATCATTTTGATCCTGCTTCATAGAGTGAAATTGGAATATATTGTTATTACTGTGTAATAAGACTGATTGTTATAATTTCACATCCTCTTTTAAAATGGAGAAATCTTGAAATACTAATTCTGAATTTATGTTAGTTTAGTCTTTTTCCATTAAGTAATATTTGGGGACATTTTTTTTTTAGAGTATTTCTTTCAACGAACAAATTTCATATTCATTAATACTTTTGACAGCCATACTATTTGATTTTGATAAAGTTGCATTACAAAAGGTTTGTTTGAAATTGAATCCTTGCTCTTGGTTGGGAAACTAGCGATTAATCTTGAGGGACTCGTCTATTTTAATTGGACTAGATTTGTTGATAGTTTGCAGATTTAGTTTAATGAACAATTCATTTGCTCTTTTTTAAGGGGAACTCAAGACCAAGCAATCTGAAAAACTCAATAGCTTTGATATTTTTAAACTTGATGGAATAGAAGATGGGTCGATGCAAAGGGGAGTTATTTATTAAGTTGGTTTGAAATTGCAATTTAATCGAATTCTGGGTTTAGGCTTTACTTTATTTTAAAAGCTGATTGGCTCTTACTTCTTGAGTGGTTTTAGACTGATCATAAGGTAATTGCAATTTCGTTTATCATCTAAGTCCCAAATGCGAATTCCAATCTTGTTAGTTTAAAAATTGGAGTAGGATCTGGTTGGAAGTTTCTTGTCTGTATTTTCATTGTTACTCAAGGCTCGTTTGAGGTTGTCTTGAAGGATGTTTAATTTGTCCCTTAATCTTTCAGGTAAGACATCTGTCATAATTATTAAAATTATAATATCAATTATGGTCTAACCATTTTTATATGTCTGCTGTAAGAGTATGTATGTTTATTCTGGGATCTAATTAAACTGTTCACATGCAATTATTCGAGCGATTCATTGTGCAGATATTCCACCGTTAATAATTTAGGATCGGTTGTTCGATAGTAATGTTTGACTTCTGGCACATAGTCGTACTCTGGCTTTCGTACTCGACGTAAGGAACCCTGAGTGAATCTCTTGTTTAATTCAAAGAATGAATTGGGAGTTGAATTCATAATTAATGTAATAAATTGAGAGGTGTCAATTTTATAATGTGAAAAAGAATCGACCCTGCAATATGGAGGTGTACAAACCTGGCGGCTAATATTGCGTATTCCACGGGTAACAGGAAATAGACTGGATTGAATGCCCATTGGACCCGTCTCACAAAGTCAAAAAGGTTAAGATGGACAAACATCTCAAAATCTGTAATAAGAAGAAGTTGGAGGAGGAATTGAAGTAGAATCCTTTCTTCAAAGAGAAGATCAATCTTGAAGAGGATGCTCAATAGAAAAAAGTGAAATTGCAAGCAATCTCCAAGGAATAGCTGGGTGAATTAATTGAAATGATACCTGAGGCCTTCAAAAAGGCTATTGCCTTATATCAAGAATATTTGGGTAAAATAGGAGAATAAACAGAAAATTGTTACTCTTACATTTTAGATGAAAATATAGAAGAGGCCCAATAAAAGATTTCAGACAAAGAAAAAGATCTACAATAAGTGGAATTATTGACCTAAATAATGGACCAATATAATCTCATCAATAAAGATATGGCTTACATTGAATATGGAGCTGGCAAAGGGAGGTTTTCACATCAAATTGCAGAGAAGCTTAAGGAAAAAGACAACTCTATGGCTACTCATGTTTTAATTGAAAGGGAACCGAGGAAGTTAAAATATGACAGATTTCATAGAGATAACAAATTTTTCATAAGGTGTAAGATGGATATCAGGGATTTTAATTTAAAAATTTTAGAGTAGCAATTAAAAGATCAAGGTTATGATAAGGAAATTAAATATGTGGGAGTGTGTAAACACATGTGTGGAGGTGCCACTGATTTGACTCTTAATTCACTATTAACTTAAGAGAGATTTCCTGTGGGAATGACTATAGCCACTTGTTGCCATCATTTGTGTGATAAGAACACATACAAAGTATATATGTAATAATGATCAAATTAGAATTTGCCTTTTATGAATCAAATCAATGTGCCTGAACATCTAATTGAATTGTTATTTTAAACTAGTAGTTGGTATGTGAGTGGGCCAATAAATTTATAGAAGAAAATCAAGAATGAAGAGGAAATCAACACAAATCAAAGAAAGACTTTAGGGAAAATGGCAAAAAGAATCATTGATATTGGCAGAGTATTATACGTACATTAAATAACAGAATTAAAAGTAGTTCTAAGGAAGTATTGCGAATAGTAATTGTCACCTGAAAATTTTATTATTTTATTATATAAATGAATATCAATATCAAATTTATTATGGTCTTGCTGAATTTGGCTAATAAAATGGATATGCTGATGTTGAATTAGGAGCTACCGATTGTGGAGGCGATGTTTATTATGAGTTATAATTTTACAAGGTAGAGGACACCCTTTGTCTTTTATTAATAATGTTTTATATTGGTTAATTTGAATTAGTTATGGCAAAGGTGGGTGTGTTTTAGGAATGTAATTGGGAATCTGCATTCAGTTGCATCGATTAATTTTATTATGAAATGCTTTAAGAAACATAAGTTTGAGATATTGGTGGATTTAATACCATTTTTAATTGTTAACAGCTTTACATTACTCTTGGTGTTGTATTAGGAGAAATAACTAATGGACCCTACATTTAGGAGCTTTGATCCTTTGGTTTAACTGACTCAATAGTGGGAATATTTTGTTTTGTTATTTAAGGACATAGTTTGATGTCTGAATAAAACGGTTAAGCATTTTCTTCCAAGCTCTTAAATGGGTTAATGAAACTCTAATCTCAGAAAAATAATTACTTTAATATCTATCCATGATTGTCTTTCAGAAGGGTTGTCAAGAAGCATTTTTTAGATTAAACCATTTAAGAGTTCAGAATATTTACATTTTGTCTATTGAAGACTCAAATATATTTGATTTTTGTCTAGTTCTTAATTGGGAGTATAGAATTTAGTATATCTACTCAGAGTTGTTAGACACAATAACACTATTCCAAATGCATAAACATCACTCTTGAAACCGTTCACTGATGGAAATGGAATTCCTCTTTGTAATTACTCTATCTGTTCTGGAGATAAAATGGCAGTTGAATTCTTGAGTGCCTAATCATAAGATGAGTCAATTTGAAATATATGATTAACTTCCTATTATTATAATTTAGATTACAAATATTTTGATGCCATCATCTAACGCATAGATAGTGTTAGGGTTGATGTTACCAATGGTTTTAAAGTGAGATTACAAATATTCTGCACAATCAACAAATTAGAATATAATATCCCATATGGCTTATTCAGAAAACTTATTGGCTCTTACTCATAATAATAGGAATCGTACTTTTTATCAATTATCTGTTCTAAAGTGCAAATTCCTGGATAATCATAATAGACTTTGTATAATGCTTAGTCTCCACTACATGTTCCTGAACATTTCTCTAAAGCCAAGGCTCTTAATAAGCTTGGATGCTTAAATTTAGTTTTTTACAGGAAATACTCTTTATCAGGAACATATGTCAGTTTACCTAATTAATTTTGAATAATCATGTGTACTAAAGATTTTAACTTTTTTGTCTGGGATATATTAATAAATATCGATATTTCCAAGAACAGCATGCTTAGAGTTGGTTTCATACAAGTCGAATGAATGTTTTAATTGTTCGCTCCAATTCACTGTCATATTATTACCCATATAACAAAATAAATTAATTAAATCAAATGTATCGTTTATAGGTATTAATTAATCCAGGAGTATTCTCTTGATCTTCCTAATTACCCAATACAGCCTAGACTGCCTTCTTGATCTAATTTCTTTTGACAATCTCATTCTTCATTCTTTTCATTTGTTCCCCCTGGAAAGCCACCACAACAACAGTAATATTATCCAAAGTTCTCCTATTGATACTTTCCTTCAAGACTTATTCTACTCCAATACTACAGCCCTGATGTATATTAGGATTAGTATCCAATTCTTTAGTCATGATATCAACAACTTCATTCGATGACATTTTATCAAATATTCCATCGCCTAAATTAGATATCAAAATATTACTTGCAAGTACAATATATTGATGATCGTCTTGAATTTTAAAGCTTCTTAGTTCTGGTTCTGCCACTACAACATTTGGTTTTCCTCCAAACCTTTCTAATTTAGCCTCAATATCTCCAAAAGTTCTACTCACTGATAATCTTCCAGGTAAAACTCGAAGAGGTCCAACAAATACTTATTAATCATCTTATTATTATTAAGTTCTTAAATTAATAATTAAATTGATTACTGATATATCTTTCCACCTGCCTTCTATATTCTTAGTTTTTCAAGTTCATCACATGGTTTGTGATCTCGTGACAATGGCAATGCTGATTTATTATTACCTCCACATAACACTGCTCTGCTGTCTCCAACATTTGCGACATAACAAACATCGCCTACTAATAAAGCCACTATTGCACAAGATCCACTTCTTTCAGCTATTCCTTTGTTGAATTGAGATATTGCGAATTCTTGGAAATACTATTCTGCTGCTGCGAAACCCTTTCTTAATGCTTCATATGGATTCCAAGGAAAATCTAATTCTTTTATTACAAATTGATGTAAATTATCTCTTAAGAAGTCTGCACATGCAGCTCCTCCATGGCCATCATAAACACCAAAAAAGGAACATCTAGGCCAAGTCTCATGTTATCTATTTTATGGTTTAACGATATTCAATATTATAGATACTCTATCCTCATTATAATCTCTTACGATCCCTTAGTTTGTGTTTGCAGCATATGCTCTAATTATACCATTTTCATTGCTAGAACATCGAGTAGGTTCATAATTTGGTAATTTACTATTTCTTGTTAGTACTAAACCTTCTTAACTAAAATAAGCTGGTTGAGCAACGGCTTTCAATTTTTGAGTAGGACTCTAATCAAGATGTTTTTCAGAGTAACGATATTTGTTATTCTCCATAGATCGATTAATGTTTTCTGCTTAAAAAGGTCGCTTAAATGGCATCTTTGGAGAATGGGAAGGAAGATTAACACTATAGGCAGGATCTCGATTATCTCTTACTTTCAAAGCATCCCAGAAGTACTTTTAGTTTTTGTACATTGATTTGAAATTTAACTACTAATTTTTATTAATATTGTTTCATTTAATTTTAAATATTTATGCTAAGCCCTATCTGAATTAATTTATATTGTATTCCAATAAAAATGGTCTTTCCAAGTTCTCTGATTTCAAGATACTTATTAACGAAATGCCCCTAAAAAGATATTCTAACAATATTACTCATTCACTGTCTAATAAATTAAGATAGATCCATCTGATAACTTTATTTAGCTTTGGCCAGCATCATCCAATTTTCCATATATGCACGTCACATCTATGAAAACATCAATCATTTCAGAACAAAGCTAAAAGTTAGTGCTATGAAAATGTTAGGAATCACTAGCCAAGTATAATTTTGAGTAGATTTCGAATAAAAAGGATTTCTCTATCCTGCATGCTAGATTGAATGAATCTAATAATGTTTATATAGATTATGAATATGGCAATATTCTTTGGATTACCTTACTAAAATGTTCCAAATATGAGTGATCGAAGATGGAAGTGACATGAAAATCAACCTTAATTTAATTCATGCCATTCTTGGATAGTTCATCTGAAATGTCTTTTTGGATTTATTAGAGCAATTCTTAAATTCATTCTTCATAATTACCATTCTTTTTGTTGTCTTCGATGTCAGGATCTACTTTGTGAATAAAGCAATGACATTCACAGTGAGGGGATCTTTATTTAACCGTTTGGATGGCCTGTCTCAAATATTAGACGGCCTCATTAAATGGTTCTGCCTATAGAAATACATATAGAACACTTTATTACTTAGGAATCGATAACGTAGATCATCAGACTGCAAGTTTCCATGGCTGCGATTTCAGGTGGCTGTGGATCATTCAAATCATAATGACCAGAAAACTCATAAATCTTAAAATGAATGTGGGATCCTAAGTTGACTGCCACTGATTCCATTCTATTTGTTGGGTCCAATTGGAATGTTCTGAAGATTTCAAGCTTTTGGAATATCACTCTGATCATAGAGGTTTTTCCAGATTTGGTCAGTCCAAACATACAGATGTCGTTGTTCATTAAATATATTTAAATAAATGTAATTTTTGGTAAAATCTTCACGTCGTGTTGGATTTTTCGGTTTTGCTACAGCTACAGCAACACATAAAGATATTGCAGGAAAGAATTTCTTGAAATTCTAAAGCAAATACGCTGAATATGTTACTCAATTCAATTAAAAGCTGTAAGCTATGTCTTTGTAAACTTTGATAGTGAAGCAATTGAAAAAGAGAATAAGGCTCCAAATGTCGCACCCCAAGGCAAAGCATTCGAACACCCATACAACAATCCACACAACCCTGTAAATATGAGTGGTGTAAGTGCTAATTCCTAAGTTAGATCAAATCATCTGAATTGTTTTACAACTTTATTGGACCAGAATAAGTCTCCCCACATTATGAAAATTTCCTCGTGGCTAGAAAATACCTCCTTCTTACATATGGGGGTTTGATTGTTATTGGATTTGCTGCAGGCACTACTAATCTTCATTGGATTGCTAAATCATCATTCTTGCCATTCCTATTCTGGATGCAAATTATGTACTTCTACTTGGAAGGTCGTAAATCATTCATGAAACCATTGCTTGCTAGATTTTATAGAAGAGTTGCTGGAAATGAGTGTTTCTAACTTGATCAATATTACCATGAAAACATGCAACTCAAAATCAGAACACTCCTTGAAGCAGCCAAAGGATAAATTGAATATGGTTAATTACATAAGGAATTTAAGGATGTTAAAGCAGAATTAATTAACACAGTATGTGTTTATCAAATATAATTAAGTTCCTCATGAATGAATAATTAAATCTCCAAAGACATGTTGCAGAGAGATCTTCAAATATTCTTAAATAAGCATAATAAGCTGAATAAGTACGTAGATTCACTAATTTAAGATCAATCAAAATAGACTTCTTTCAGATATCATTGAAGCTGCTCAAGAGTCACTTGAAACCAATCTTAAGAACAATCTTCCAGAAATTCAAAAGGCCTTATTCAAATCTGCTCTTAGAGGATTAGCTTAAGGAAAGATGACTTATGAAAATGATCCCTTAATTGATATGATTCTCAAGACCATCACAGAACATGTCAGCAAAATCTAGAACCTTTCACCAGCTGAGTAACTATATATTTAATAATCCTTTTAGATAGAAGAAATTGATCTCACTCAGCAAAGACTAATTGGCTGCCATCCAAGCTAATGATAAAAAGTATTTATACTTTATTATAAATTCAGAGCAAAGGAAGATTTCTTAAGAGCTGAACCAAAGATTGATTAAACCCTTAAGAACTACGATAATGTTAAGAGACAACTAGCCTCTTGGGGATAATGAATATGAATATTAATACATTGTTAAATCAAATCAAATACAATAGATTATATACTAATTAATAACGCAAAAAAATTTAACTATCAATGATCAGGGATTGCCAAAAGTTTATATATACACCTTATCATTTATAAACACTTTTATATATTTCTAAAATATATATAGAATGATACTTTAAGAATCTCTGATTTTCCGAATTTGACGATTAATGCAAAGAATAGTAAAATCTGAATGCTGGAATAGACTATATATTCCAATATAAAACTGCTCATATAAGCAGCTCCCCACAAAGTAGCTTCTAACATTGATTGATATTTAGCAACACTGCCAAATATAATAAATAAAAAGAATAAAACGCTTAAGATTGCTAAATTAAACCCTGTGTAATTGAGGCACATTTTTTCTGACTTCAGAAAAACTTGCAGTAGCCTTCTGTAAATTAAGCCAAATAGGGTCTACAAGATTGAAAGTGCTATTATTGTATTCAAATTAATGATCTACATTCATATAATAGATTTACTTGTCCAAAAAATGTCAAAATACTTATTTCTCCTAATAAAGAAACATATAACATTATAGATCTATAAACTCTAGAACAATCTTTATCATACAAATAATACAGACTAAGTACTTTATGATTGATCTAAATCAATAAGAAAATATATTACTTCAAAATAGGTTAGTAAGGCTTTCCAGAAAGTTATACTTTAAGTAGTATATTTCTTATACAAAGATTCTTCATCATTTGATTGCTATTTTCTAAATGTTGAATGTGATTCTGAAGGAGCACCTTTGGCATTTGGACTATTTTCAGTTTTTGATTTGGGAGATGTTTCTCCTTCAGTTTCTTCAATGATTCTTCCCGAGCAAACATTTGTGGTTATACCAATACTTTTCTTGCTTGCCAACATTTTGTTGTAATACTCGAACTGAGGTCGCTTTAAGGTCTTATCATCATTAGTGATTTAACTGTCATTGGTGCTAAAAATAGTTTTCTTTTGAGTATCCCTTCTGATCACTATTCTATCAACAGGTTGTATTCTCTTTTCAGAATCTATATCCCCTACATTTATGATGCCTCCTGCCTTCTCAGCTACGAGGTCCCAATCAACCGGAGCTACTTTGGTGGAATTATATAGGAATTCTTCATTCTTCTGCTAATCAATTCTAAATCCATAAAAGAGGAACCACAAAAACAGAATTGTGTATATTATCACTATGTAAGTAAATATGATGGACTGGTATTCACATTTAAGCATCTTATGTATAGTATCCAGAGAGAAGAATTAAACAGCTTCATCAAGTATTTGTTGAGTCGCTTGCAAAATTGTGGTTGATGAAATATATTAGCATTAGCAAATAGTTTTCTTATCTTCATGAATAGTTTTACAAGCATCTAGACTCCAAGCATCTTCCACTTTAGTTACACATTCTACAATCAGATTTTCATCATTATTTTCAAATTCATATCTGATAGCCTAGGATGTGCTTATATTTAAAATTAATGTTTAACTAGAAAGTTTTTTAATTTCAGGTTAATATAAAGAGTAATTGCTTTAAATCTCAGGATAGTTCATAAAATAATCATCATGAATAAATGGGTTTGTCTCATAGTTAACCATTTTATATGAGTAGGTATCCGATTATAATTGCTATTAATTATCCTTTTGTCCAATACTTTATGGTTCAGTTAAAGAACTGCTTATTAAGTTCTACAATACTTTTTAAGTAGCTTTTTAAGTAGAAAGATTAAATGAATTTGTGGTTATGGTTTATAAATTTCCATTGATTATTTAATTTTGCAATTAAATTTCAGTGATGATATTGATTGAATCCATAATCAAATGGTTATTCGTTCTCTTACTTTCATTATCAGAATCGCTAATTAAGATTCTTGTTTGCTATTGATATACTCTATTTAATTCAAACATTTCATCTAGATACTTTGCGATTTCTACTGTTTCTTCCAATAAACTTAGTTTTTTAAATTCTTGCACTGTGTGTTCGTACTTGTTATAATCAGTATTTTGCAAAGTGCCCATCAACAGTTATATTTCAGTGAGCCTTTCCTTCTATTATAATAACTCTTAGTTTATATCACTCAATCCCAAATTCTTATGAAATATAGCCAAGTTTTTTAAGGTCATCAATTATTTTTGAGCAATGCATTTGCAATTAGAGAAATAAAATATTTATTCCTATAATATTTACTAAACTTTTATTGAGTTAGTTTTCCCTTCAAATAATAAACTTGCAGTGTAGATTAAGGTTTCACTTATAGATACTGGATTAACAACTAATTATTCAAAAAATCCTTATTCATATAAAAACTCAAATGACTTTGTGTAGTTGCTGATTCCATTTAGATTGTCTTTTACTTAAACCATCAATTAAATATTTCCATTGCCTGTCAATTTAGTATGAAATAAGTTGCTGTATTAGTAATCAAACAAAATGATGCCTTTCTATATTTTATTAATAGAATAATCAAAATTTAGATCGGAGATATTTAAATATAGAACCAATCTATACTACAAAGGAAAATTATCATCCTAACAATTATTTATTAGAATCGAGAAATCAGATAAGCTAGATGCATTCTATGAATCAAATTCTATTCTGCATTGCAAAGGGGGTATATTAATGTTTAAAGGTATTGTAACCTGAGATGGCAGAAAGTAATCAGGATTGTAAATGTTAATCTTTAAAGTCATATGTTTTGTTAATTCCTCGACTCTAAAATAATGCCAAAGACTTATTTACAACTCTAAATAATCAAACCTAAAGTGCTTTATCAATAAGTCTGAATTTGCCAATATGGCAGTATATAATAACATATCAGGATTTTGGACTATTTCAAGATATTTAAATTTAAAAAGTAGTTAATCATAGTAGTTTATGTATCCATCATTAATATCTGGATATGATTCATATTGTATTTTTGGACACTGGATTCAACAACAGTTATTGTAATCTATTATTGTAAATCTTGATAGCGAGCTACGAACAAATAAATAGAAAAAGGAATCAAAGTATTAGGCTAGATTGTCAGAGTTGAAGAATCAGGTAGAATCAGTAGGCTTTGATTTTAGGTTAAACATTCAGAATTTGAAGTAAGATCAAAACAATCCCAATTAAATACTTGATTTTGCTATGCTGCATTCAGCATTTTTCCAAATATGTTTAATTATTACGAATAGCCTAAGAAGTTTGATTAAGTCGCTAGTTCTAACTCAGGTTATTCACTTGAAATGTAAATCTAAAAATTCTATTCTAAATCTATAGTTTCTTAATTACTCACTTGGATATTTAACTAATAGAGACCAGTATTCAATAGATACGGTTCTATCGTATAGTTATAATAGTCTCCAACTACAATTTCAACTTCCTTTTTAAGAGTGCCAATCATGGTTGATATATTAAATTTGGTGTCATTTGAAAGAACATCGGAGCAATGAGAGACTTATATAGAGATTTAAATAAATTAAGAAGTCAAATATTCGTTTCTTTGGGTTTAAACATTCAAAATTAGCTTTGTTGACAATTATTTTATTGTGATAAAACTACTTCCTTAAATTCCTAAGAAATTTTAGTATTCTAATTCTAATAAAATATCATTTTCCATTTCTAATAAGTCATTTGTAAATTCAAAGAAGATATGTTGATTTTGATTTTGATTCTTAAACTAACTTTTTAATTTATCAAGAAATTCAATAATTTTAGGATCTTGTTTAGTGACTCTAACCAACCTCCAATCAATAAAAGTTATTTGATTATTCCCAAAATTTTATGTTTTGATTTAATAGATTACATCTGGAGTATGAGCACAAGCTGACAACAGAACTGAGTTTTTAGAAAATACTATTATAGGAGCCTCTATATCTGAGTTACTAGTTAAGATATTATTCAAAAATTAAGATAAGGTATTTTGGCAATCTTCAAATTTAATGATATTCTTCTTAAAATTGATGGATGATCCAAAATAAATTGTTGCATTTGAACCCAAGAGCACCTGAATTTATTAAGAATTAACAAAGCAACTAGGATTCATTCCTAAATTTTAAAGGGTTGATTATTCAAAAAATGCGGAACAATCAGGCGACATTCGTTTAATTTTCTTTCCAAAATTGATAATCAATTTTTTGGAATTATAATTCATTTTCACATCTAAATTAACAACATCACAATCTAATTAAATTATTTTATACCTGTGCACCAAATAGAACTATCATTCGAACCAGAGTCATTAAGGCAATTACATAAGGGGGGATTTTATCTATTTCCTGAACAAGTTAAACAATTATCTCTAGAGGTTTCACAAGTAGAACATCGAAAGTTACATGGTTAACAAGACTTATGAATGTTTTCGTAGTAACCTACAAAGATTAATAATATTATTTACCTATTTAACAAACACAAAAAGGAGCATTTATCCTAGCATCTGTACAAGTCAAGCATTGTTATGTATCACTACAAGTTTAGCAATTGTATTAACAATCTTAACAAGTATTATTTTAAATAAATTAATTCGACAAACATGTTTGGCATTCATTATTGGTATTCAAAATTTAACCTGTCGAGCATGATAAACATTCAGATTTACTACTTCCAAAACAAGCGATACATTTTGGATCGCATTTAGAGCATATTCCATTTTGATAATAAAAACCAGTATTACAATTCATGCAATTAGGCAATATTATTAAGTTAGAACCTAGTTTACATTGAGTACAACTAGTCGCATCAAGACATGTTTCACATTCTTGTTTGCACTTTTAACATTGTTAATCGACATTGTCATCATAATAACCTGTTTAGCAGGAACAATCATTATTTCTAAAATTAGAAGAATCACAAAGTCCACATTTGTTATGAATTAATTAATACGGACTCTTACATGTAGTGCATTAAGTATTTGAACAGACATCGCAATTATTGTCACAATAATCAATCAAAATATAGATGTTACTTAGAGCTAAACTGGCTTAAAATGAAGAAACAGACAATGTAGCTTAAAATGTTAATTAAGCTGAATTTGATGTATGATCAACACTAAGATTAATGTTTTCAATATAATCCTTAGCGCCTAAATAAAATAGATTATTAATTGCCTTGGCTGGTTAATAAGACACTTAATAAATTGTGTTGCCATCTAATTTTATCATAAATTGTTGATTTGTCCAATTATCAATAAACCAAGCTGTTAAATATATTCTTATTTTATTGTGTGCAGGAAGCCCATTAAATTCAGTAGTAAATTATCCATTACTCCAAACACCATAGCCTCCTAATAAATATTAGTTATTGTAAGTTGAGAATATCTATCCTGTTAATTTTGAGAATGCAGGATTAAATGTGAAAGTAAATGCGTTAATTTAACTTAATAGATCAATATCTAAACTATCAAAATACTTTCCGATATATTGAGATCCAAATGCTGATTGCTCTGAATAGTCTACACAAACACTACTTTGTAGAGTGCTACTTTTAGGACATGCAGTAACACATTAACCCATATGTAGAATATATCCACTTTCACAAGTATTGCATTTTTACCCTACACAATTTTAACAATTTAAAGAGCAATTTAATTAACATTCTTAATTCTGAGTTTTATAATATTAGGGGCAAGTTTAAACACATTAATAATTGTAGGCAGAATATCCAATTTAACAAAGACACTTTCCATTTTATGTTGTGCCGTTAGGACATGTTAAGCAATCATTGTTGTTTGGGCCAGTGCATGTTAAACAAGTAAAATGACATAACTAAGGAGAGAGGACAACATTTTTAACTAATAATTTCTCACATACTGTATATAATGATAATAGGCTGCATTGGAAACTAGATTTAATCTCCAATTACAGATTAGCATTTGAATGACTTATGCTCTTCCTTAATGTAGTTAATTGTTAATTATACAAAAATATTCTATGTTTATTGAAATATTTACAAAAATGCATTTGTCTTACAATAATCATTCGGGGTATTGAAATTGGAAGTAGTTATTGAGGAATCAGTATAAATTATTTACGAATCTATTATAATGTTTACAAAATTCGAAATTCCTGACCAATATTCTCTGTATAAAATATCTAAAGAAACTTATAATGAATAATGAGGCTAGAGATTTGTAAATGTTTTTTTAATGTTTCTGTCGACCTATCCCATAAAAGGCCCCATCAATACTCCAATGTCGCAAGAAAATTATGAGGTAAATGGACTAGAATCTTGTTTTTACCAATTTACATTTAAAGTACCGGTGCCTTCCATAAGATCTGTAGTTGGAAATCCATTCGTAATCTTTATCAACAAACATAATAAGTGGAACATTTATTTTAAATATTATTTAATATCAGATTTATCAACAAATAAGAAATGGAGCTGAGATTTAATTTTTTCTCAAAGAATTTTAATATGATATACGTAATAATTCTTAATTAAATAGAGTAATTAAGAACTGAATATGATCTTTAAATTTCACAATAGGCTTTAGTTCATTATATCATTGATTTAATTCGATTATGAATTTTTAGAAATTTCTTTATTTATTAACATCAGTAATAAAATTTCACCGAAATCCCACCAAATAGTTAGGAAAAGTTTCGTACTTGGACAAAACTATTCAAATACTCATTCAAGTTAGAAGATGGAGTGAATTCAAAACAAATTATTTGTTAATTATTTTAATTTTAAGTTTAACCAATTTGGAATCAAATTAGCATCAATGTCCTTCTCTTTATCTAAATAATTGATTATTTATTTCGTACTTCTAAATTTTTGATGTAATAATGAGATTTGTAAATCAATTTTTAATATTTAAACTTTTTCTTCTCTTTCATAGTATTAAAAATCTTCTTGCGATTTCTTTTCATTTGAGACTTAATCAACATCAGCCTTATGTCATAAGAACTTTCATTTATATCTATTTTATTTATTACATAATTAACAAATTAGATAAAATAATTTAATACTACAGAAGATCATCATCTAATTAGAAATTACTCTTATCAATTATAATAAGTTAACAACACTCTAAATAAGAAATGAAATTTAGGTAAAATCTATTTTTAAGTCATCGTTCTTATTTGACTTTGATAAGAATCAATAAAATTCTAAAAATAATTTATTGGAACTTTCATTTTAAGAGATCTATTTCTATATATTATAATTAATGTATAACTACTACATATAGAAAAATTAAATAAATAATTTTAAATATAAGTATTAGGCATTTCTTATTACGTAATTCCTTTTCAAATTAATTTATCAAGAAATTAGATAACAAGCCAAAGAAGAAAGAATAATCGACACATTCCCTAACAAAAACAATAATTTAAAGGAAAAAAAAGAATTATCAATTAGTTCAAATGAAAAAAAAATAGAGCTCTAATTTCACTAAAAAATATTTAACAATATTAATTTTTATCTAAGATTTTTATTCATTCTCAATTCACTAAAGCTCATCTTGAATTTTGGATGATTATTTGGATTTTCTTTAGTCTATATATATTTGGCTTCATACTAAATTTTTATTTTCTTACTTTGAGTATTAGTAAGTAAATGCTTAGGGTTTTTTGTATAAAAAATATGAAATTCTTTGAATTATATAAATTTTTCTTATAATAAATATTGAATTTTTGCCAATCAAATACTGTGATTAGTCAAAAGCAATTAAATTATATAAGAATCACGCTGGTTATAGAATACCATTAGATTTCTTATTTTAAAGTAATTTCTATACATCATAAGATCAATGAGTCATTTTAATGTGTTTAGCAGTAACTTACATTGTTGCTATTACTATTACTATAATTTTATATAATTTTTTGAAAGAGCAGGGTTAGAAAATTGAATTTGAGTGTTAAATAAAAAATTGAGGATAAAAAATGTTTTTCCAGATTCCAATTTATTAACTAATTTAAAACGATGCTGTTGGGGAATGTGATGTTTCAATATTTATCATTAACTAAATGGCTGATGTGATTTAGTTCTAAATTATAAAATGTTGTTTTGAAATAAGAATTAATTTTAAAACAAATAAATGTATTGTTGAACATTTTTAGTCTCATTTACTCGTAAACACAAATTAATTTAATTGAGTTTGTAATAGTATTAATTATTGTTTATATTAATTATTATTTATGTTATACATTTTTGGAAACTTACTCATATCTCATTAAATCACATGTATTGTGCTCACATTTTATCAACTCAATGATTCGAGATTAATTAATACTATACTGTTAAGCTTTCAGTTCTTGATGCTGGCTATTCATTTTATATAAAAAGTTAAATAAATTTAGAACGAAAAAATTTAGATAAGTGTGAAAGTGTGCATAAAAATTAGTTTATTATTATTAATTTTTTAAAGGAAACAAAGTTTAGTTTAAAGTTTTCTAGCTGGCTCATATATGCAATATTTATTGAGAAAACAATCAATTTTTTTAAAATTGATTGATGCTTTGATATGTATGTTTTACTTCATAATGTGGGGAGAGTCGAATGAGAATACTGTAACTGGTACTTTGCTATCACTTTTTATGGTGTTAAATATTTGCATGAAATATTACATATAAAATAAAAAAGAGAAGGAAAGCCAGGGATAGGTATCGACTTCAAGGTTACCTTCTCCTGAACTATTAAAAAATCAAACTTCACCAAATTATTCGAGAAAAGTAAGTGGATAAAAATATTAGTCGGAACCATCATTAGATCTTTAAATTAATGATTTTGGATGCATGGATTAGTACTAAAAAATATTCAATATGTTTCCGGATGGTATCATAATGGTAAATATGAAAAAGCAGGTTATTTTCATAAATAAACATTTGAAAAAGATGATGGGAGGGATGAATAAGAAGGCAGCCTTTTACAATCTTCTACAAATGAAAAATGTTCAATAATAAATTAATGAATTAGAAAAACTGAACTCATTGTTTCAAGAACAATAAATAGTTTTAAATGAATAAGAATTTGATAATAAAACTTATTTTAAAAAAAGCACTTTTGATGAATCTCGATTTGATGATCAATCCGAATTAAAGTCATCCTATTCGTTTTAATAATTTGAAAATGTGAAAAAGTTACTTGATCATCTAATTGAAAATCGGCAGGAGAAAAATGGAGTTGTAAAAATGTTGTGCTAATTTCCTTAGAATGAGAAATCTCTTTTCTAAGTCAGTTTTAAGAGGTTTGACAACAAACAACCTGAGTTTATATTACTGATTGTAAGAGATATGACTTCAATGAATCTTGTGACATTTCTATAAAGAGTAATCACAGATAAATCTAATTTCTTAAGTACAGTAGTACATGAATTTAGAACTCCACTTTAATCAATAAAGCTGATGGTCTAATAAATTTAACCAATGTGTAGTGAAGAAATGGTTTAAAAGTATTTATTGCCTATGCTAAGTTAATTAGATTGCTTTACCAATTTAATCCAAGATTTGTTGGACGTGTCAGTATTAAATGTAGGGAAATTCAAATTAGATATTAAACAATTAAATCTTCATCATTTGATAACAGAGACCTACAATATTATGGTTGTTTAGGCATATGCTAAGAACAATGATTTAGTTATCAATCTTAAGGGAATCCCAGAGAAAATCTACTCTGATCCATATAAGATAAGATAAATCTTAATTAATTTGCTGGGTAATGCTGTTAAATTCACTTATAATGGAATTATCACAATTTCAGGCAAATCGATGAATAAATCAGTAGAAATAACAGTTTCTGATACAGGATTAGGCATAACTGCTGATAACTAAAATAAGCTATTTACGGCTTTTGGTAAATTAGATGATCCAACCAATTCTAATCCATAAGGAATTGGATTGGGATTGATGATAAGTAATGTATTGGCGAGAAAGTTATCTTATGACTAAAAAGGATTATCTGCTGTGTCAGAGGGAGAAGGCAAAGGGTCTAAGTTTTCATTTTAGGTTTATGATCACTCCTTCAATGATGATAAACAAAAGTATTAATAAGAATCAGTGGTTCGTCAATAAAGAGAATATTTTCAAGCCCCATTAAATCAGATAAAACAATGTGACAGTTTTAGAATGAGCGGATTAGAATTAAGTTAATATTCTAGATGTTAATGTCCTGAAATCTTAATTGTTGATGACCAGCCTTTTATCCTATAAATGCTTAAAATACAATTAGAATCATAAGGTTATCGAGTTAATTTGGCATTTAGTGGATTTGAATGTATTAGAAAAATAGAGTAGTTTTAACATGGACCCAGTTGTGCTTGCAAAAATTACAAAATTGTGATTCTTGACATAGATCTACCAAACTTAAATGGCATCGAAACTTGCAAAAGGCTGATCAGCATGGGATACAATGGTTATATATTGGGACACAGTGGCTATTCAGGTGGTTAAGAAGAGGAAGATTGTTTGAAAGCTGGCATGGTTGGATACTTCGTTAAACCTTTAGACATAGCCAAATTGCAATCATGGTTAGAATAAAATAGAATTATGCTTTGATTAATTTATTGTATATTAACACGCTCACTAAAAATATAATTCATGATAGTTAGAAACAATATGGTTCTTAGGTTGATCATCGCTTAAAAATTATTTTGTAACTTCTTTTTATTATCTCTAAAATTAAATATTTTTGCAATGCCCAAAGAATATAATCATTGAATAATTAATAATATGAAGAATTATTAATGTTACAAAAGTAAAAAAATATCAAACTGAGGATTTTCTACCAGTAGTTCTTAATGTGATATTATTCTTCATAATAGAGGAAGTTCGAGAAGATTTCATAGTAGATCTCATTGTCATAGCTTCAGCCGTTTTAACTAAAGGACCTCTTTAGGTTAAACATACACTCATTTTCTAATATTCCTTATTTCCACTATGATCCCTCTCAGTGTTTCTTTAGGATATTTCTTAAGATGCCTATCTGATCAAATCAGTAATGGATCTATTTTTTTATTTTACTTATAGTTGTCTACTTGTTTGAGTTTTTCTCAACCTACATTATGTAAATTTCAGGTAGCAATTAAAACAAACAAGTAATTCTTTGTTTAAGAAGGCTGAATTTTCTTTCATTTCTGCAAATTCCTAAATATAATAGTAATATATACAGTGTATGACATAGAGGGGAAAAGCTTCTTGATGATGTCTGGTATTAATTTAGTAGTGTTTGCTATGTAGTTTTCTGGATTATCTTCAGTTTGCTAATGGTCAGCTCTTTTAACACCAGTTGAATAGGGTTTTATATCCATCCTATAATGTTCTCCTTGTGTAATCAATAGTTTATATTTGATGGGGTGCAAGTCTTCAGTTTAACAAAATTGCTGGCAAGATAAACATTGGACATCCATTATCAATTTAATAGGTTTCTGTTTATTTGTCGTGATGGTATTCTTGACATTTTCAGGTCTGAGTAATTGCCCAAATTGAATAGGATAAGGACATTCATCATTAGATCTTAGGGACGTGCAATATAGGATGTTGATTCTTTACAGATAATCAAGTTTGCAATAGAGAACTGCCCTGTTAACTCTAAATTTCTCATAAGTCACAACGCAAATTCTTGTGGTGATATAATTAATAAGTCTTCGAATTTGCGTTGTTATTACTTTAGACTTAACAGGGTAGGCTTTGGAATAAGATTCGGGACTATTAAATGTTGAGCATTTTTCTTAAACATCAAATTTATTGGAGGTTAGTTCAATGTTGTTGACTCTTTAACTTAAGAGGAGGAGATTTTAGCTCCATATAGCTTGGATGACATTTTCTTTGGGGAGAGCAGGTTTAGTAAATTTCTACAAAATTCCATTTCTGTGAATATTCGGATTGTGTATGAATGTCTTGAATTGCTGTTGGTTTAGATAGAGAATTGAGGTTCTGCAATCAATATTGAGTTAATCTTAGAGGAATTCTCCTCTGGTTTCTTGGGTATTATAAAAATCTCTTCTGGGTTTACAACTGATGAAATATGCACACACATCATTCTCACAATCTTTAAGGAATGCAGTTTCTATATTTGGCAGAGTCCTATTTTCGAGTTTTTTTACAAGTATTTCATTGTTATGAGTGAAGTACCAGGCCTAGATTAATTTAAATATGGGAAACCTGAATGACTCCCAATCTGTAGATGAGAGTGTCTGGGAGATGGAATTCGACTTTGTTTTATTTGATGGAGTCATTTTGAAGCCAGAGATAATAATAAAATGTTTCAATAGCTCCTTCTTATATACGCATAAATGTTAAAATTAAATTTATGTTTGATTCTGCTGTTCCTGGATTGAGGGCTAAAAGAATTCAGGTATTCATTTGCTGCTTTATGCAATACGCTATGTTACATTCATGTAGATCAACATGGAGTTTCACAAGTGGTATTTTGGCAAAACAAGATGATCACGAACATGATGATGAAAAAATTGATGACTTCGACAAAAAGTACTTGGGCTATATAAATTTTTCGTTCCTTTTTGTGTATGGATCGTCGATGCTTTTGTATATTTAGTAATTTACATAGTCTTGGTCAAATTGGAGATAGAATAGGTCCAAAACTATTTATGTTATGCGGAACATTTTCTACAGGAATCATATAATTCATGATAGCTGCCTTGTTGCCAATTGAGAAACATAATCGATGGCTATTGCTTGTTCTTTAAATATTGAATGGTATTTCTTAAGCTCCCGCTTGGCCAGGATTGATGGCTATAATGAACAATTGGCAGAGTAAACCAAATAAAGTCATAGTGATGGGGTATTTCGCAGCTTGCACAAACGTGGGTAATATCTTGGGAGACCTGTTTGCTGCCCTCCTAATTGAATAACTAGGCATGAGTGTTATGGCTCCTATTTATGTATCTGCAATTGGTGTTTTAATAATGTCAATTATCAACATCTATATGATTGAAGCTAGTTCAGCCAAAGAATACATAGCTTAATTTAAAAATCCATTGACAAAATCATTAGTTTATAAATAGGCTCATGACGAATACATGAGCAGAGCTGCATCAGTAGTTTCCGTCTCAGAATAATCATTTGTCACAGATTTAAGCTAAACTCTCTTGACTGTGGATAGAGACTCTCAATTGAATCCCCACATCCCTCCCAAGCCAAAGAAGAACAAGAAAGACAGCATCAACATGATTTCAGCTTGGAAATTGCCAAATGTTGCTTTATACGCTTTCGCATTCGGTTGTATAAAGGCTGTCTTCTACATCCTTGCATTCTGGCTACCTTCATATCTGAGGGGGGAAAACCTGGAAGGAGTTGCTTGGATCACCCAAATGATTGAATGGGGTACGATCCCAGGGGGTATCTTGATATGGTAATTATACTGTGATTATTCTAGTTATGCAGGAGTCCATTGGAATCTAAGGGCTAGTCTTATTGTGCCTTCATTGTGGGTTGGAACAGTAGTTATGGTCAGCATAAACTTTTTATCGAAATTGGAACAGCCTTATGCTCTCTACTATATTTTAGTATTTTTGACAGGCTTGATGATTGGAGGTGTGTATAATAATGTGTCAGGTGCCATTGTGATTGAACTGAGTAATATGAAAGAATTGAAAGGTACGATGATAATTTATAAATAAAAGGAAACAAGAAATCTACGGCTACGGTTACTTCAGTCGTCATGGGATATGGTGCAGTGTTTGCAGCAATAAATCAATTGATTGTACCATATTTAGAATCGATTCTTTTTTTATATTGCAGTCTCAATGCAATTGTGGCCGGCTGCTTCCTCATTCCCTTAATTATAAACGAATACAAAAGATATAAGGAACAGAAATTAAAAGTTGGCGATGCAAAGTGATATAAATTAAAATGTTAATTAAATTCAAAAGAATATTTGTATTCACATTAGCCTTCCTTCAATATGTGTGTCTACATTGTTGTAGATCCACATGGAGTTATGTGTCTGGGAGAATGGCATAACCAGGACCTGACAATTACTTTAGCAGTCAGTATTTGGGATACATCAATTTCGCCTTTTTAATGAGCTACGGCTTGTCAGTTTCAGCGTTATATATAATTGCAAATATGTAGGATAGGACAATTGGGAGATAGAATGAATTTAAAATTTTTTGTATTAATCGGAGCATTTTCAACATGCCTAATATTTTGTAGTATCGGATTCTTTCTCCACTATGAGTACAAGCATCCCTACTTGTTCATGATCCTATAGATTCTCAACGGCATTTCACAATCAACCGAATGGTCAGGTCTCTTGGGTACTATTGTATTCTATATTTTATAATTATTTAGCGATCTTAAACAATTGGTATACGGGATAAAATAAAATCTTAATCTTGGGATATTTCTCAGCCTCCCCATGTGTTGGAAACATCCTAGGAGATCTCTATTCAGGTTCATTGATCGGAAAACATGACTTGCCATACTATGCTCCAATATACATGGCAGGATTCTCCTTGTTTACCATTTCCATAATCAACCTTTTTGCTCTACAACGAGCCCCACTTCCCAATGAAACTGAAGAATTGATTGAACACCAAGAATCCATGTCAATCTCTTTAGAACCAATACTGCAAATTTAAAAAGAGAATAGCAGTGATTCTGGAGAGTATTCATTACCAAGTTCGCATTTCCACAAAGAATCAGAACAACTATCATTATCGTATGTCGATGCTTGGTTTGTACCCAATGTGGCTCTTTATGCTTTTGCTTTTGGATGCATTAAATCTGTATACTACATCCTTGGATTTTGGTTGCCTGAGTATTTAAACAGAAATAAAGTGCCGGATGTTGCCTGGATTACAGCTATGACTGATATTGGTGCTGCTCCAGGAGGAATAATTATTTGGTATCAATAATAACTACATAGCCTAATAGGATATTATTCTAATAAAAGAGCCATAATACAAGTGCCAAGTCTATGGATAGGAACTATTGTTATGATCATCATTAATTATGCTGATGATTTGGCTCTTTTTGGTTACTTAATTCTTGTGTTCATTATTGGATTTCTGATTGGAGGGACATATAATAACATTGCTGCCTTGATAACTGTCGAACTGAGTAATCAAGATCAACTGAAACGTAAGCATCTATAGCATTACTTAGATAATAAAAAAGCTACAGCAACCATTGTGTCACTTATTATCGGTTATGCATCTGCATTTTCAGCTATTAATCAATTGATTGTCCCTCTTGTTAATGATGCCTTATTTCTATATTGCGGCATCATGTCAGTGATTGGTGGAATATTCTTGTCTCCTTTATTGATAAAAGAAATCAAAGGTAAATGAATAATTGAGACTTTTATATATATTACAATATCAATCATTCTATCCTTTTATACTTCTCCTAAGATCTACCTCTCTAATCTAATGAACTTTACGTTCTTGTCTCTAAAAATATATGAATTTAATTCTTACTTAAAGTGATATTATACTTATTTTACTCATCTGCTATATTTTTGAATGGAGAGTCTACTCCAAAGTAAGTCTTCAAATTTGTTCTATTGCTCAAAGGAGCAGTAGTCTTTAAAAATAGTAGTTCTTCATGGAGAGCTTTATTGGTTTGCTGAAGATTTCCAATCTGCACTTGTAATTAAGTGATCAATGATTTTTATTGTTAGTTTTCATACTATTAATTTTAATACCCTTAATAACTCTCAGATTATTGAAACTATTTAATACTCTCATCCTTCTGTTTAAGTTATTATCCACATTACTATAATTAATTGTAATAATCAGTTAATTATTACTAAATAATAGACATATCTGAGTGCAACTTCTCCTTTTCTAAATTTATGTTTTACTTTTCTTTTAATAACATTTATTTCTCTTTGGAATTTAAATCTCTGGTTTTAGTTAGTTCACCAGTTAATCTAATTTTATCTTTTTCGAGAATATCTATCCTTTTTTACAAGGATTCAAGGCTTTTTCCTTAAGATAAAGAAGAATGATGAGTCCTTTCCTTTAATAGAGATTCGTACTTTTCTATTTCTTTCATGTGCTCTTAATTCTTTAGATTTAGTGTCTTAGTTAACTATTCTAATTAAACCAATCTGTCTTCAAGTAATTTGGTCAATTTGATATTGCTTTCGGATAATTATTTAATCTTTTGATTCTCATTTATTATTTTGATGCCTGATTTTTCCAAAAAATTCTCTTAATACTTAAACTCCAAATTTTAATTTTCTTTATTTTCAACCTTAATCTTCAACATCTCATTTTCATTTTATAGCTAAGCAATTAGATTTGACTATTTTGTTAATTGATTTTAATATTAAGTAGTTTTAATAGAGAATTCCTTCTTTAATGTGTTGAATCTCAATTGTGTATTTTGTAGTTCTTCTTCGAGAGATTTAATTTATTGTAAATTGACCATTTCCCCTGTGATTTCACAACTCTTTCTGCGTCCATTCTTGACTGTCTTCTAACCATTTTAAGACATCCTCTCAAAATCGTTCTTAATCAGACTTAATTCCTTCATCAAGGATTCATTTTATTTATGAAGTTTCTCGTTCTCACTTGCAAGTCCTACGAAATGATTTGAATCCCTCCTTCCTTCTATACTCTACTAAGATGATGTTCTCTTCATCTAACAGTTAATAAAATAATGAAAATTTTAATTATTTATGTGGCATCAATAGCGGTATTCTATTTTGTTGATAAATCGTTGGATCTCTAATTTATCGAATCAGACAAGCTAAATCGATAATGCGAAACCAAAATCGACAATAATAACTAAAGCAAATAATGTTGTGGCTATATTTGGGAATCCAATGAAACTATGGTCACATTTTATTTTCGCTCAAAAACACCCTTACAACACATACCTGATATCGTAATTTATTACTAATAATTCCCTGCTGAGTAATAACTTAATATTACTGAGCTAATTTTGGTTGACGCAAACAATACATTTCCCATAGTCAATGAAAATTAAGCAGGAATTGAGGAGTTAAGTAAGCATCACTTAAAAGCCTTACCTTATTCCTTTAAATCAGGTGACTCAGATGGAAACGAAAATTATATAATGACGCCTGAATTAATCACAGTTTCTGCATATGTTATTTTTGTCAAGGGCTTGGACATAGAATTAGAGGCTTATTTCAAAAATAATTTAAAATATTTAGAAGATTCCTTTGTTACCTTCTTGTGCTTTGTCATTTTGGCTTTGGCAATCAAAATGATAAATGAGGATGAAGAAAATCTACTGCCTTTAGGAAAATATATAAAAGAAAATCAACACCACATGCTTTTGATAATAATTCTAATTGCACAACCTCTTAGACCCTTGTGTTTCTTTCCAGAATTCGAAGCCGTAGAATGGCTAATCGGATAAACCTGTTATGCTGTAGGTGAATTTCTATTTTTGAGGTATTTCTTGCAAGTTCTCTCCTTCCTAAAAGGTTAGGATAACAATACAAATAAAGGTAGAAATACTTTAATAACAATCTTTGTCATTATTCCTATTAGCATTGATAGATGGCTAATTGCCTTTGATAGTTAATCATTTGTAATAAAGGACTTAGAAAATCAAGTCGATAACATTCATACCATTATGATTGTGTGTTGGCTATGTTTCTTGGTCTACTCGGGTATATTTGCTTATGAGGTGATGATTAGTTTACATTCAAATTTAATTAGTAAAGCTAACTTATTATTTGTTAGGACTTGACCTATTTGTAATTGCCATCATCTTCTTTATAATATATTCCTTCCAAAAGAGTTAATTTTACTTGTATTATGAAAGATTTGATCATCACTTGTTCAATCCAATAAATATGTTGATGATGGTTTCTTATGTGGCTATTTTGCTGGTAATCGATTTAAGGAAAGAGAGCGAAAAGAGCAATGAATTATAACCTATAAGACATCGAATCACCTAAGATGAAGAACATGGAGATAACCTTGATTTCACAATTGCTGAGTATTACAAAGAGAAAGCTAATGATGATCAAGCATTAATTTGATCGAATTCAACATTAAAATTGTATGTATATATTCAATTTAAAAATTACTTGTGTTTTAACTAATTGTCTAAAATAATAAATATATTAATTATGCTGCTTCTAAGCAAAATATCTAGATTATGCTTAATCCCTACATACGGCTGCAAATTTGTACTTAAGAAAGACTGGAAGCTCATAAAGGATAATACTAATTGGGCAGCTTATATGGATGATCTAAATATCAATTCAGAGACCTTTTATCACTCAAGCAGCAAAGACTTGCTTAAGGCAGTCAGAGAAAACCCTGATAATGATTTTTATGCAAAATCAATAGGACAACTTCTTTATCATATGGGAAAAGATGGGGAATGCGATGAAGTAGTAATTAAAAAGATAGAAAAATGTCTTTACAAATTCAAAGGCGAATTTCCATCAAGATTAGCATTTGGAGCACTCTATGGATTTATATCCCTTTCAATTGATAATCAATACTTACACAATTTCTTCGATGCAGAATTTCGTATGCATCCAAAATCCAAGAGAAAATGGTATGAAGCACTTGAATTAATTCGAGGCTTGTGGCAAGAATAAAAATTTGCAAAGAAAATATCTATTTGATTTGATGAAATCCCAATGTCACAATATCCTTGTTAAAGAATACAAGAAAAGTCTAAAATATCAACCAGGCTAGTAATTTAGAATATTGAAGGCCTGCATAAGTGCCAAATATTTTGAACCTGACTTGTTTGATCCTGTAGTGAAAGACATAGTTAGATAGCAAAAAATATCTAGATTGCCAGACTTGATTAAATTGTTGGATATTCTTATCAAACTCCAAACTGAAGGCGATTTCCCAAGATCAATCCAAGCAGAAATTGATCATCTTATTAATAGATTGAAAACTACACCCAAATTTTCTTGGCTATACAATGTCGATGAAAGACGTTATAGAACTATGGAAGAATTAAAATCAATCAGAGAAAATGCACCCCAATAATTCATAGGAAGTTATCTTTACTAACCAGAAAAGTTAGAATAATATTTGAAATTAAAGGCTTTGGGAAATGATGCAGAGGTTTAAAGAGAAAAGAGATTGATTTAAGAGAAATAATTAGATGATTTATTGTATGATGAATTTATGCTCAATAAGGTGGAATAATAGAGAAATAGAGAACAATTAAAGAAGGAATAGAGAAAAGGTATGAAGGATGAGGATGGCGAAGATGATGATGCAGAAATCGATAAGGAATTAACAGAACAGGAAAAGAAGGATTGTAACTTATTCATATATAATATATAATAGTACTTACTGACTTTTAGAAGAAGCACTTTGAATCTTTAGATATGGATACTGTTAATCCAAATGATCTTCCCAAAGAATGGTTTACGGATAACAACCAGTCGTAGGATAATGAATTTGATGAAATGGATGAAAGAATTCAATTAGCTGCCCAAGAAAAGTCTCAGCAAACCAAGAATAAGGAGTTTAAGAAGAGGAAGGGGAGAAGTGGCAAAGGAGATATTTTTGATGCAATAGAGTGAATTTTATCATGTAAAATAAAATAACTAACTAATTATTTAAATTTCAATGAGTACAGCCAGATTCAAAAAAACAGAGGTCAGAATACAGGAGATGCAAAATGAGATTGATGCTCTCATGACTTAACTCTAATCCAACTCAAAGAATATATCCTCTGCCTAATCAGAGCATTTGCAGATGCTTGTCGAGGATTTACATTCAACTAATTTTCAAACTTAAGAACTCTCAAAGGAATCAGATTAATTAACAGATGCATTATATTCTCAATCAGATCATGATGTGATCTTAACATAAGCATAAATGAAAAAAATATAGGTTTCCTTAAATCAATCCATGTCAACCACCAAATAAGTAAATATATTATTTTTGATAAATTAGAATCTCCAAAATGTAGAGAGAGAAATAGATTAAATAGAGAAGGCCTTGCAAGCCAATTAAGAATCAAACAAGGTCTATTCAGAAAGTCTAAATAAGTTTAGAGAAAATCTAAAGATGTGTGACTCTCAAGTTGTCAAAGTGCTTGATCAAAACGCATACAATAATTGGAACAAAATTAAGTAATTCTTTGATGTAGATATAATTCAAACTTCTGTTCCATTAGGCCTTATTATGAAACTATAATTAAGCATCCTTAAATTAACAGAAGCCTGTAATTCAAATTAAGTTAAAGTCAAGCAGTAAATTAATGAAGATCTAACAGCTCTATTGATTGAGATCAATTCATAAAGTGCCTTATTTTAACACATTAACTTACTTGAATAATATATCTTGGGAGTTTTAAAATCAAATAACAAGGTTAATTTATATTTATTCATTTAAAAATGCTTGAATTCCATGCATTATAACTTTTGCTAAATAGCATAACTATTTAATCAGCACAACATCTCATATAAGATATAGCAATCAATTTCATAAGAAATAGGCACTAAGAACTAGTCTTTAAAGTCGTTGCAAATCAAGAAATCATAATTTATGATAGAGATGGAAAAATTCAAAAAATAAAGTAAAGAACTCACAAGCTAACTTGCACAATTAGATAAGCAACTTGAAAAATAAATAGAGGCTGAAACACAGCATCTTTTAGCAATGTACTTGAGAGACAAGGAATAGAGTATATCTGAAATAAAAAAGAAATATGGTAAGAAATATTTTGATAACATGTTGGCAGATGTCAAGCAGGAGTTTAAGAAGATCTGTCTAAATTAATAAGTGTTATACGCCAGCAGTATCGAATAAGCTTTCTTAAGGGTAGATGTGATAAATACTTAGTTAATCAATAATAAAACTAAAGCATAGCAATTAATTTAATAATATTCATAATAAAAATTTAAAAAAGCTAGTAGTGTTATTATTTAATTAAATGGAATTGACAAAAGGGAATATTTATTGGAATTACAATAATGTAAGATATCACTTTTATAAATTGAAAATAAAGTAGAGAGAAAACTCATTATATAAGATTTAGATGAATTATTATTACAGATTTAATATTAAGTAAATGACATCAAATTAAGAATCTAAGCAAGCAATGTACCTCAGAAAATTAGAAGTGATTCAATTGATACTTAGAGGAAAACTAATAGAACGATTGAACACCATAGGTCATAATCATAAACTCCTATTCAATCACCTCAAATGCCTGTTCCTCAAATTACACTTTAATTATTGAATATCAATTTGCCAATCAATAATCCTAAAGAAATATTCGATTCCAGTGAAGATCCAATTAAAACGAATAATAGCCAATTGCATTTGAGCTTTTGTGAGAATTAGAGCAACAAAAGCAAAGATCAAGAGAAGTTAAGTAAGACGATTTAAGTTCAATTTAATTCAAGCAGTAGGATTACTCAATAATCCAATAATATTGACAGTCTAACTAATTCCAGAAACGATGAGAACTAGAATAATTAGAATAATTACTAAAACTAACATTAATCTAACCCGTAAAAAAAGCCACAACTAAAGGAAGTAAAAAATATTATGAATAATTCTGAATAAATTCAAAATAGTTTGAAATCGAGTAGAACTAAGAAAGACATATAATAAAAATAGATTAATGAACTTAATCCCAAAAACAAATTGAATATTTTGATTTATCTAAAAACATAAGATTCAGATATTGCTTATGATCCTATTTTGAATTATGATCATGATCCCTATATATTTGGATACAGGCTTTTCAGGATTGATAATTAACTAAATGTAATGTATTTGAAAGTATCAATAGATTTATAAATCTTAAGAGGAAAAAATTAATCTAGAAAATTTTGAGAATTTAAATGATCTTATAAATCAATTCAATATAAAGCATACTTAATTAGAAAATGTTAAAGAAATTGAAATTGTAAATATAAATCAATAATATTTTAGAATAATTGCAGTTTGACAGCTTTGAAATTTTAAAATATCTATGAGTCTACACTCAGACATGCCTGTGTAGACAGTTTAGCTCTTAGACATTTGAGAGTTCGCTTTTTTCCATTTGTTTTTGTCGGACAACAACCCCAAGTGGGATTGGCTATAAATAAAGATGATCTATAGTCCTTATAGAAGCTATTCTCAAAATGATGATGCCTATATTAAATCTCCAAAATTAATTATAAAATTTAAATATCAAAAAAACAAAAGTTATTAATTAAATCATTTGTAATAATTTTTATAAAGAAATTTTGGTGATAATTTGTTAGGAAAGCTTTCCTTAACGGATTTTCCTAATTCAGGAGTCCTGGATTACTTTTTCATAGCTCTCTCTTGTTTAATTTAAGAGAATTCTGAGATCAATTTATCAAGCATAGCTTAATTAGTTTCTTATTTCATAGAAGCCCTACTTGGATGAAGCTATTTCTTAAAGAATTTAGTGGCTAATATGTTTGGACTTTATAATTATTCAGCAGGTTCAGTGCGCCTCTATTTAGAATTTGAATTCTCCATCCATTCCTCAATGGACTCTTCTGTGATTTTGAAGGTTTGAGCAGTTTTTTTTTCTGAATTATCAAAACTTTTGACCTCCTTACTATTAGGTTAACTTTGATGTCTCTTTTCCTTCTCAGTACTTTTAGAGGTTTTTTACTCAGAACTTGACCTCGTGCTTTCATGATTTCTTTTTTTATTTTGATAGTCCTTTTCAGTTAATTTACTAATTTCTTTTAAAAAGGAATCAAGGGAACTTATCTTACCTTCGTAATGAAGATAGGCCACCTTATTATCTTAGATATCCTTGAGGAATTGACTGCAATTTGAAAAGTTTGCTGCTATACCCTCCCATAATCTGATTAAATGGTAGAGTACCCATTTAGACAATTTTATCATAATGATTTCTGATGTCACTAATGTAGGTAGCCAATTGATGTTCAATCTATTTGGATTACACTTTTAATTGATTGGTCATCTAAACTCCAGACCATAGAGATTATGATAAGGCACAAAGCAATTGAGATTTGCACTTTCAAGAATAGATGTAGAAATTTACCATTTGTAATTATTTTTCGATTCCTCCGAAAGTCTTGACAACTTAAGTATATTGGTCATTATAAAACTTTTTGAGATTGGCTTCTGTTGATAATAAATTGGAATGAACATTGTCTATTTCACTTTTTGTTTATAATAATTGCTCAATGAATGAATCAGTTTGTTTTTTCTTGACATTGTCTATGGATTATAAAGTAAATTACCCTCTTCAATATTTTCAATTTTATGCCCTTGTTGAGCTAATTAAACTGCACATTTGGTGCATAATTTTTCATTGGGACCAGTGTCATTAAGTAATAAGTATTTAGCCTATGGATAACGATGAGATGAATACTTTTTTTTAAGGATGATGTGGACACATGGGCTGGAAGCCATTGCAATTAAATTCTTCACTCTCCTTAAATTTTTAGCTAAATAGATTAGTACTCTAATGTATGGGAGTGTCGATACCATTCCAGAGTTGTATAGAGGACATATATATCTAATCGTCTCTTTTCATTTGAATTTTAATTAATAATTGTTATGATAAATCATTTAGGTAATCTCTCGGGGTTGTCAGCAATGATGTACATCATGGAACTGATAGCAAAGACATTGGAATCCATCTCATCGGGATTTAAAATATTCATTGTGTCTCCGGCAGAATGATGATACTTGAAGTAGTAATCATCATTGGGATCTTTGTAGATATTTCTCATCAATGGAACTCCTTTATCACCTAATGGTTTTGTATCGACTCCAGAACTAACATAAGCAACTCATATCTACCCATCGTTCTCATTGACAACTGACAAATCAGGAATGTAGTTCATGATCAATTGTCTGACCATTCTACTTGTTTATAGTTTTCCTGAAAAACCAAATCCTATGGCTGTCTTTTGACCAAGGTCATTCTCAAGAGCAACTACATGATCCTCATCACCATGATATTTAGCATAGTGTTGATTTCCATTATTAGGAAGTCCCATTTCTTCACCACTCCAAGCAATCCATCTCAAAGTTCTCAGAGGTCTGATTCCTAGATCAGCCACCACCTTAAGGGCTTCTAAAGTAACCAGAGTTCCTGCACCATCATCCATAGCTCCTGTTTAACTTCCGGTATCCCATGAATCAAAATGACCCCCCATCAAAATAATCTAATTGGGATATTTTGAACCTTTGATCTCAGCAATGATGTTATGACTTTCAGAAGGCTTCATTTCAGAATTTAATTCTAAATCTACTGTAATCTTCTGTCCTCTGTCTTACATTCTTTGGAGCATCTCTGCGTCTTCAACTGTAATAGCAGCGCCAGGGATCTTAGGAACAGTTCCAGATTATCTCACATTTCCTGTATGTGGACTGTATATTGAGAACGAAGCAACACTTCTCAATAGTACAGCAATAGCTCCATAGGCAGATGCTCTGTCAAGTCCTTGTTGTCTATATAGCTTCAAGTTACTGTAAGATGTCCATGGCACATTATAGCATACAATTTTTCCTAGAATTTGTATGTTGAATTACCTTAAAGTTTATTAGCCTTACCCTTCTCATCCAACTCACTCCAGTTTCTAACCACAACCACTTCTCCATCCTTTATATTGCCTGGAACAATTAAGCCAAGTCCAATCATTCCCAATTTTTGAGGTCTTTTTCTTGGACTCTTTAAGATTAATTACTCGCTCCCTCTCACCCATGTTGATATTTCATCCAATTTTTCCAATTTAACCTCCACCAAACCATTTTTAGTTGAATCCCAATTTTGTATTTAATTATAAAGATAATCAACAGCTAATGCCATACTAGGTTATGCCCACATTCTAGGACCAAATGTGTCAACAATATAGGCTAATTTATCATAAGCCTTATGCTTGTTGGACCCACTATTGATGGCTTGTCTAATGTCATCAACATTTTTTTTGATAGCATCATTTACACAATATGCTATTGTCATGAGAAGAGCAAGAATTAATTTCATTTAAATAATTATTTAACTTGCAAAGCTGAAATCATACTTCCCAATTTAGGCTATTCTTCTATGTATTGGCTTTAAAATGAATTCATTCGAGACCTTATCTTCTGAAGTTGGACTTTGTTGGAACTGTGACTTAGAAGTTTTGAGGGCTGCGGTTACAATTCAACAAAGGACTAATCCTTAAAAAATTAACTATGTTGATGTATCAATTGAGGAGTCTCTAATTTTGGTTTGATTCCTCCATATCCAACAGATTAGTGTTTACACGAAGACTCTTTCCTGGAAGTGATTTTTATCCTATTTGGTCTTGGAATAATCAAATCTTATTCTGCTTCTGAATCACTTCCACTATCATATTTCAGTGCCTTGCTCATCTCTCTATTGATATTCAATTCTGGCGAGTCCACTTATTCATTGTAAAGATCGAGGGCATGCAATATATTTTAAGCAAGAGCATGGTAATCTTCTAAGCCAAAGGCTCGTCCCATTTACCCGTAGATGCTTGTTTCTATTGTCATTGAATTTGCTATATTCAATCTCTTCCATAATGCCACTCTGGCCGTACCAACTCTATCAGGACTAACACCATATGAACAATCCCTCTATTAAATATTAAGGTACTTTGAATGAGAAAATTTCATTATGATGAGCGAGAATCTTTCCGAATTATCTTATTCTCATGTATTCTGAGACACTCTTGCCATGTAAACAGCCATAAAGGAATTGATTGAACTTTTTTGAGTGACCATGTAGATCTATCATAAATGCGATATTAGAATATTTTGAAATTGATTTATAAACATAATGGACCTCAGGTTCTGTTTTTTATTTTGGATTGTCCCATTTTCTACAATTTATATTCACATTACCTATTTAAATCGATGCCATTAAAATTACAACGAGAATTACCCAGAAACACTCCATCTGGATTTACCATTGGATATATTATGAATCTAAACTTTTGCATACATGAGTGTCCTTTGCATAAAATACGTAAGATTTCTTGACAAATAAATGATCCAGCAGTTTCACTTGGGTGTTGTCTAGCCAAAATCACCACGATTTATTATCCATTCTACTTTGGAGTCTTGATCTACCAAATCGGTAATCCTAAGGTTGTTATACATACGGATTTCCTTTGTAATGGACATTGATCAATAAATCTTTAGAGTTTCTTTATTGGATATGGTCGAGTTAATGCAAAAAATACTATTTTTTCAGTTTATTTGAATTCATAAGTGAATTCTAATGTGTACAAGGAGAAGTTTTATTAAAGTTAAGCTATGCCAGCGTCTTCGTGATGATAAAATGGATGATTGATGTTTGTTCTATAATAGTACATCTCATTGGTTTTACCTACGGACCATTTTTCATTATCATACACATAAACATGATTGCAATCTTTAAAGAGTGTATTTTAACGACGATTATTTAAGATCCTTATTTTGAGTCTTCCTTCATTGTGCATCTTGACGCCAAAATAAAACCATTAAGTGCAACCTTAAGTATTCGTATCACTTGAAAGTAGAACATTCAATACTCCTTTTTCTTCTTGACAACATCCATGAATATTGCTATTCTCAAATGAACCATAAACTACAAGTTCTTCAGATTCAAAAAATGGCATGGGTGAATGAACATATTGCTGTTATTTGTATTGAGCAAGAATATTCTTACGCGAGTTGTGATTGATGATACATGATTTCAATTTCTTCTCAAAAAGCTACATAAAATCAATGTATTAATGTCCCATGTCCTTATTGTTTTTGAGTAATTTTTGGAGAGATTTCATTTTATAATAAATATTTTTATAATACGCTCATAATAATGAATACATATCTGGATAAAGAGGCACACGACGTTTTATCCATTCAGCACTAGTACTCATCAATCCAGTATTAGGTAATGAATCCTATTCTTGTCTATGAGGTGGCGAAACCACATGAATCTCAATTTAATGAGGATGTTCGATCAAATATTACTTATAGTATCTCTTAACCTCTTCAATATCGATAGTGTCTAGCAAATTCAAAGCTTACTCCCTCCTGTCGAAAAGATTCTAATGTCGTTAAATTTCACCCCAAAATCTTCCAACTTCTCTTCCCAAAGAGAAATCCTTCTCTAAAAGTGATACTCTAATAGATTATTTGTATTCTTCAAATTACTCCTTTGTTAAATCGTCTATACCAAATGTCTTTATGAATTCTCTAATTTTACATAATTGATTTTTAATACCTAATTCTAGCCTAGAGATATTTTGGACACTTCACACTACTCTAAATTAAAAATTAGAAACCAGTTATACCTCTGACATCACTAGAAGCAGAGAATACAACATATCCTAATTACTCTGTAGTTCTTAATTGAGAAAAAAACGGAGTCTTAATTATATTGGAAAGTAAATCAACAATCAATTGATTTCTTACTGTTCCACTTTCTAATTAAAAATACAAAATCACACTAGAATTAGTTTCAGTTTCGGAATTTAAGTATCTTGTGTAGTTGTATATGATTTTTTCAGGGATATTAATCGATCTTACTTACAATATTTCCTCTTTCTGTAAAGTGAGTGATTTTTTAAACTATTCCTCCGATTATTTCACTATTGAAATCGCATTACTTTCTGATACATTACCCATAATAAGCCATTCGAATCTACATTTATCCATCAAGTGGTTCTAAAAGTAAATCAAATCATCAAACTATATAAGTTTGATTGTCTGTAATAAATCCTCAGGATCAAATGACCCACAATCTCTTAAGAGCAACATTGATAGATTTCTTGCCTAAGAATAAGGAGGAGAATGAGAAAAGTTCTCCAAATCACAAACAAGCTTAGCCAATTAAGTATCATAATTGTCTCTATAATTTTCAACTCTAAAATCTAAGACCTTTCTCAACATATCTGGTAAGAACTTGTTAATTGAATCACTAAATCCAGCTAATGAATATTCAATACCATTAGTTACTAAGCTAACTGATGGAGACAAGGAAGCAACTTCTGCTTCATAAAATAACTCCCTTAAATGAATTGTGAGCAAACTTTGCCAAAGGGCTCCAAGAACTTCATTTTATATTGATTTTCCCATTGAATCCAAATATTGTCTCATTTTTATGAATGTTTTTGGAACATTGAATTTATTGTCTTATTTGAAATAGACTGTAGATTGTGGAGACTCGTAAATTATTGTTGGATACTATTAACTATTAGGATTGGCCAACAAATCTGTTTAATTTGGAAGATATATATTTAAATTTGGTAGATGGAAATTTTGATTTCGAGCTTGTAAATTTTCGAATTACAAATCTGAAATTTCATATTCAGTCCCAAAGTATTTTTCAAAATTTCCCAATTTCCCTTAAAATTACTGACTTTGTAAAAATACATTCAAATTATTTCGTTTTAACTGATTAATAGTGTTATTAATAAGATTAGAGTCGAAATTTTCCATCAAATACGGAGCTTTTAGGATATCTGTAATTGGGTATTGATGTAATCTTGATGCTAATGCCCCAACAAAATCAAAAGGGTTTTGCTTTTCAAGATAATCAAATTATAAGGACTTGATTTATTTAACCTCATTAAAAATCTATGCATTGGCTTACAAAATATTTAAATAATTGAAAACTAATTCAATGATATGTTAATATTAAGCTAACCCCTTTTTGGTCAATTTGATACTGACATATAATTCTGAGAATTTATATGCTTCATCTTATGTTCCACATGAAAGTTCATAGGCTAGATTTTCTTTGATTAAATAACTTAAGAGAGATCCTTCTCCTTCGTGGCCAATAAGGTGAGCAATATATTTCCCTGGGCAATTGCGGAAATGGGGTTATAAATAATCTATAACCCACATTAAATCTAAATGATCTTCATCATTTATGGGTACTACTTTAATTAATTTATTTTGGATAATTTGAGAACCTTGAATTGCTATGTCTGGTCTATTGTAATTTTTATTTGGTATATCACTAAACATATCACTTGCCCAATTCTCTAATTATTCAACTGATTGCTTTCCATAAATGACTAATTTCATCAAATTACTAGAATAATAACGAGAATGAAAATCTACAAGTTATTGTCTACTAACTTAGCCAAGAGTATCTAAATTCCCAATCATAAACTAGGAATATGAGGAATTTTGTGGGGCCAACAATTTACTTACTTAAAATTTTCTCCAAAAGTCATTTTGTAAATTCATATTAAATTCTGAATGAACAGCCTACATTTCCCTTTGAATGCATGATTCTTTAAAAAGAGGATGCTTGAAGAATTAGGAAAACCTATCTAAAGCTCCTCCTAATTAATCATTGGCCACAGTAAAGAAATAATTAGTATTGGTTGTAGATGTATAAGCATTAGTCATTCCTGAATGCTTAGATATAAAATGTTGATATTCAGATTCATCGGGATATTTAGTTGTACCCATAAATAGCATATGCTCACAAAAATGAGCCAAACCTTAAGCATTCTTAGGATCTTAAAATGCTCCAACTTAAACATTGAGAGCAGCAGCAGATTTCTCAGCATCCTTGTCCTCAATAAGTAGACATTGCAACTTGTTTGGTAAATTTAAATGTTTATATATGCGTTTGTCAACCTTTGATAATTTGATCATTATTATTTTAATAATGAACGATTGGGAATCGAATTACTCTTAAAGTCTAGCCAGTACCTTTGGTCCATGGTATCCAAGCACAACAAAGAACAAAATGATGAAAGCTCAACATACTTAAACCCTATCATTAGAACCTTTGGGTTAAAAATTTAATAGAACAATCCAAAGCAAAACATCGGTACCAAAAAGGCGAGCTATTTCGGTACAACGTAGATTACCAACATTTCCGACCATGGATACAACAACAAAAGTGCAAAAATAAAGAACTCTACCAGAACCAGTTTTCCTCAATTTGACCCAAGAGGCACTGTTTGTTAGAAGCAATAAGAATGTGCAGGGTATTTTAAAGAAATTGTAATACTATCGATTCAATGAACGTCATTTGATTTCATGATAATAGTTTTTATTTCAATTTGCAAACTCTACCTTACTATTCCTACTCTTCAGTTATAATCCTTTATTCAGGATACTTATTCCCTGTTTCAGATAATCACATAAAGTTCTATGAATATCTCCATCCTCAATCACAAAATCAAGCATCTCTTCGATTATATCTGTCAATCCAATTATCGCTATAATTTATTTTACCCTTCAACGATTAAATTTGATATCTGTAATTTAATTAAATAGAATTACATTCATTTTTCTAATTTCTTCTCTGAATCGTATATGAAAAAACAAAGATTTCCTTTCATGTTGGAAGAGCATTACCATTTCCAACATGGTTTTATCCTTTGGAAATATCAATGGTTCCTTATATCTGTTATAAAGAGGATATCGATCTACCATAATCTTATGCATTCAATTTTAAAATAGATTTAGCTTTTATGTATGGTTCTGATTATTTAATTCACTACTTTATTCTTAATATTATGAATTTTTGAGAATCTTTTAATTCTGATCTTATTTTTCATATCAGAATTATATCTTTCCTCTCAATTTAACATAAAGACTTTCTTTAGGTCTTTACAAATCTTTATTACTGTTAGTTTTCTCATCTCCATCATAGATTCAATTATTTACATATAAATAAACAAAAATATTCCATTGTTAAAATTAGATAATTTTTATTCTTTTATTTGATATATATATATTAAGATTGCCATTCATTAAGAAATAAATCAAGATCTTTATTAGAAACTAAACTACTTAGAAGTCGAATGTATTAAAACATATATCAATTCTACCAGTAGAAGAAAATAATATTCAAATTACTTTAAGATTTTTTAAATTTAGTAAAAAATAAGTTTAAATAAATGTCTAATCAAACCTTTTGTTATATTATTTTCTGAAAATGAGATAATGAATATGAAAAGAAAAACTGTTAATCCATAATAAGAAGAAATCAGTATCAAATCTAAATTATAATAAAAATTATTCATATATAATTTAGTATTAGTTCAAATAGATATATAGATCATATTAAATAAAATCTCGAATCTTTTGGCAAATTTTATCTATATTTTAATTTAACAGCTTCTTGTGAATGTTTTTTTAATGCCAATAAAGAATAGAATGCATTATTCATATAACTCTTGGAGGTCAAAGCCTTCTTAGATTTCTGTTCCTATGTGGTTTTGATTTAAGCCATCAGCCTTTCTGCTAAGTCTTTTTTTTCAAGTTCATTTTAACTATCATGCCCAATATTGTTAATGTTTGTGTTTGTAAGCAATTAAGATATCAAATTCTACCTCCTCTTATTCATCATAAATAGTCTAAAAGGAAATTTAACCCCATCCTCAGAAACTTGTTCTCTGTCAATTAAATATTGATTATTATTAGATTTCTTTGGAGCAACTATTCCAGGATCTGTAATCAATCTTTAAGTTGAATTCACAGAGTTTTCTAAATCACTATGATATGTTTTTACTCTTTTTCTAACCATTTGTTTAACAACATTTAAATTTGTATTATTGCGTAACGATGACACTTTCTCTGTTAATTCATCTGCCAAAATCATATTCTATTATTTTGTGTAATTATGTGATGGCAATAGAAAATCGCCTAAAATTTCTGTGTTTTAGTTTGCAACACTAGACTCATTTTCATTGTTAATTTTATGATTAGCAAATGTTGTTTATTGTCGAAGTAATATTGGTAAATTTGCAGAAGGCTATTTTGATGAACATGATTTATTTAAGGAATTGGATCTGGTGTGATATTGAAGATGGTTTTGATTTGGATTTTTGGTTAATTACATAATAAAATTAATATATAAGTCATTTAAAACAAGGACAAAGTAGGGTTGATTATGATGTATTAGATTTTTGTGAATTGCCTATGTAGTTATTGAGATAATTAAAGCATTTTGATGACCAAGCTTTGACATCAAGCTGATGTATTTTATTTGCTTATTCAGGATTAAATTGCAAGGCCTCCAACACAGTCTCCAGAAATCTAAGGGAAGATTGATATTCCAATTCTAAATGCAAACCCTCCAAAGTCTTTATTAGGCTAATGATAAGCTTACTTTAATATCTTTATTCAAAATATCAGCCAATGTATTTGGCTTGTAACCATAAACTTATGGAAAATCAGGGGCTTCAAACTCGATAAGAAGTAGAGTGTTTTAAATGACGATTAAACAAGAAATCATGTCTTCAAACATATTGAGAAAATTTTCTAATAAAGATAACTTTTCAGCTTTAGGCTTTAGATCTTAAATTAAATATCATATAAACTTGCCATATTTTCCATGAATTTCATTTCATTATATTGGCTATAGTAATCAAGATACAGCAATTTATTTTTTTCTATTATTTAATAGTAGCTCTAATTAGCTTCACTTGGAACTATTGAAAGTGGAGGTTTCGAAATTGTGGATTAGTGCATCTTATACAAAGATCCATTGTCATGCTCTAATTGTTGTACAGAGTAATAGTTTTAAGTATTCTGTGGAAAAATTTTCTTCATTTTAGTTTTCATATAAAAATATTATTATATTTATTTCCAAAATGAGATAAGATTATTTTTTATCATTTTTTTTTCCTATCATATTGTAATTAAGTTCTGATAATTTAATAAAAAGTCTTGGAATTTATCACCAAAATGCATTAATTGATTTAATAATAAGAATATCTAAGAATGCAAAGAAGATTTTATTTTTAAAAATATGAGAAGTTATCGAATCCAGATGGTCTTTTATAAAGACTAAATAGCGAAACTAAAGGACCAAAATTTATAGATTTCATTCTTAATAATGTGAGAATTGTCGAAAAAAATAAAATGATTGAAGGTTATAAGTAAAGAGTCTCGAAATCACATGATCCAGTTAGACAAATTAAAATGGATAGGCAAACTCTCTTAGAAGAATATTATAAGTTTTTAACCAATACAGAAGATGGGGCTTATAAAAACAATATAAATACCCCACAAAAAAATTAATGTTTATCCAAAATACTTTCATTTAAGCACCAGGTTATTAATCCCTTTTGATCAAACTTATCGGTTGTTTAAATAAGCATCATTATAGTTATTAAATGTCCGATTCATTAGTTCAAAATATTAAATATGAGATAATACTTGTTAAAAAATTTGAGAGCAAATATATATTTATTACATTGTTTAATCTGTTTAGAATCTTTTTGACTATGGCTAAGAAAATAAGTGTAGAGCCGAAAGTTTAAACCATCTCCAATTCTCCAATATTATATATATAATAAACATTTTTAATTATTTCAACTTTTCTAGTTGATTATTTTACATTTACAAAATCCTCTAATTCTGAGATTAGTAGGTCTTTTGTATTTTATATTTATTTGATTTTAATTTCAAAAGAGAATTTATGATTAAATGATAAAACACCCAAGCAAATGCTTATAATTTATAATTTGAAACAATAAAAAATTATAAACTACTTTTAGAACTACTTTTCTAAACACTAACCTAAATTTCTAACTTTTGGTTAAAAAAATCATACTCTTTCCAATTTAGATATAAATTTAAGAGTGAATTATATTAAAATATAATTCGTATTAATTTAGCTCCATTCTGTTAAAATCAAAACATATTATCTTGAAAAAAATCAATCAATTTCGATCTTCCATGGGTTAATTATTAATCTTTTGGAAAATATAAGTTTCTCTGCTATTATGAAACATATAAATGTTGTTAAAGACTATTGTAAAGTTCCATATCATTTTTTTATTATGTTTAGAATTAAAAAAGGATTCATCTTGTTTTTCATATTCTATTGATGAACATGTTAAATTGGGATTAATAAATCTTAAAGGAAAGATGCCTCTTGACTTAGATTCTTTTCTTAGAAGATGCTGGGAAGAGATAAAAAGTAAAGGAAACTCTAGAACTTGATATTTAGTAATTTATGTAAAAAATAAATTAAATGTTTATACCTGATTAACGAAATTTAGGTGGAAGATAAATTATATGTAATATGGTTTTGAATCACAGACTCTCATTAAATATAATGGATGATAAGTCAGCGATTTCTCCAATTTAGACTAAAATGCATACTCCTCGTTAAGGATGCTACACTGATAGGCAAAGTTAAAATAAGCCATCACTCTTTTTCAGAAGAATACCAACAAGCAATTATTAGAAGTATAAAGAATTGCTTTATAAGAAACCTCTTTCATTTCCTAAAAATTAGAATAAAAATGAGTGCTACACTGAAATAAAAATAATAGATTGGAACGTTATTGAGAAAGAAATAAAGAAATACGAAAAGGAATTTTATAAATTAAATCTGCCTGCATTTTTAAAGTCTTTTGCAAGATAAATGAATATTAAAAAAGAATATGACTTCGCTACTCTAATTGAAATGATTTTGAATTTTTATCCAAACGTAAAGCAAGATGACCTTATAGAGATTGCATCAGATATCATCGTAGGCTAGCTTTGATAATTAATTTTGTTTTATAGTAAGTGGTACTGAGTATACATCTTATTCTTAATATACAATATTGTTTTCATGGCATAAAAGACTAAATTCCTCTGAGAATATTTAAAAAACTCAAAAAATGTTAGTCAAGATATACAATCCATTTCTAAAATACTTTCTAATATTTATAGAGCAGCCTATTGATTTGAATTTATTTGTTATTTTTAATTGTTAAAAAAATATAACAATAAAAACATAATAATCTATAAATTTGCATCTTAATAATATTTATTAGCCTTTTGATGATAGCAGAAGTCCAAGAGAATGGAAAATTCGTGATAAACAACTATCCTTCTTTATTAAACTTATATAATACTATAAGTTCCATTATTGTTTTGCTAATACAGGAAGCTTAGCATGGCAATTTTGTTTGATGAAGATTAGATATTTATTTTGCATATATATTTTTCACATTTTCCATAGGATATTAAAAATGATATAATTTTCTTATTTTAAATCTCATTTATTCTATTTGAGAACCTAATAATTATTATCATGAATTAGTAGTTTGCTCAAAATAATCTTGAAACACTTGAAGAAACCTACACAGGGTTTAAAATGAGGTACTCTTGTGAAGAATATGACGTAATAAATAGGCATCTATGTAGGAATTTTCTTGCATAAGAATTAATAATGAATTAGAGTATTGCGCTCGTAAATATAAATTGGGAACCATAAATAACCCTAGATTTCAGGCTTTGAGAAGAATTAAACTTTACAATATCTTGCCTGTGTTTGACATCTATTTCGACTCATAAACAATTGTGGCATAAGATGTAGAAAGATTTTCTTTGGAGAATAATATTAATGACTTGAATGAAGAGCAAAAAATGTATCTTGCTGCCATAGTCAGCATTAGTAAGTAAATTACTAATTTCTAGCATTGCAGGAATTAGCATATAGAGGATTTCCATTTATAGTATAGGAGAGAAGTGTTATAATATTGGAAAACCATATATGTCTATCCTTATAGGACTTTTGCTTTGATAGAGAAGTAAGCGAATAGGAAAGTTTTGATAGTTATAAAAAATTGAGTAAGAGTTGAAATTTATGATTAGTGATTAAATTATTTGGGGATTTCCTTGAAATAAACTTCGAGAACTCAACTAATTATTTCCTATAACTAAACCAAGTATATCTCGGCCCAAGTGAAAATATGCCTTATGTTGAGTTGTTGGATAGGATATTCGAATTCACAAATGTTGACACTCTTGCTTCAGCAGCATCAAATTCATATGTCTACGAATTTGATACTCCAGAATTTATGAAAACAATTCCCAATATCAGTTAGCGAACAGTTCTTAAATCAGTAAAATTGGATTTAAATGACACTAATTCAGAATACATTTTGACCTCTTCTTAAAGAGAATTAGAAATAATGGAAAATTTCAAAAAGTATGAGCCCTTAGTCGCTTGTTATGCGTATTTTAGAATTCAAAAATAACTTTATATCTTTATGGAAAGATATCCTTAAGTGCTTTCTAATATGCTTGATTACATTGATGAAGAGAGACATTGCATTCAAATATGTTGGTAACTAGTAGTGGGTAATTAATTATATCATTATATTACTCTAGCTCTTAAATACCTCCATTAACATTAAATAATTCATAGAGATCTGAAACCAGGAAATTTATTTCTATCCCATGAGAATTTGGAAAGAGCAAGACTTTTAATAGCAGACTTTGATAGATCTAGATTATCATAATGGTTGACGCAATCAATCACTTAATAGAAAGATACGGGTAAAATTGATATTGATTATAAGAAAACAAACAAGATTAAATCAGTAAATTAAATGAACTTACACCAAAATCAGTATTGGGAGCTACTCCATCTTATGATCCTCCAGAAGCTGGTACCACTGATTATGATTCGAGTGCAGATATTTGGCAGGTCGGAATGATAAGTATATAGCAATTTATATTCTTAGTGTTTTAAATTGCCAACAAGGGTGAATACCCAATAAGAATGACTACTCAAAATTTTTCTAAGGAAGAGTACCAAAACAATTTCACCAAAGAAAAAATTAAGAATTAATTAAGTAAATACAATGTTAATGAATAATTTATCGAGATAATTGCTAAGTGTTTGTCTTTTAATAGAAAAGATAGACCCACTTCTCACTAATTAATCAATGAATTATAATTATGTTTTGAAGAGATTACTCCAGATGCTGAAGAAACTTTGATTTCAACTCATAATTTAAGTCAAATTGAAAGATACAGTTAATTAATTTCTTCAACAAGAACTTTAAGAATGCTTAACTCTTAAGAATTATGATTTCATATGCATTATTAAATATAAATAGAATACACTATCTAAATGACTTTTTATTTTAAATAATTAATAGTAATCAAATTCTTTTCAGCCATTTCTTTTAATCGTTTTCCTTTTTCTGTTGAATTTGTGTCAATTTGTTTTTCTTTTCAGCATCATCATTCACATTCTTATATATTGTTAGCTATATACTTAATTATTTCCTTTTAAGACATTTCCATCTTATTTTATAGCATAAATGCCTGTAAGTAATTTTGCTCTTTTAAAATATTCATCATAGTTTTCCATGAAGAGTTTGCCTGCTTCTTCATTTAGTGAGCTCTCAGGGAATGGAACAATCAATAGACATTTAATCACTTCAAAAATATTCTTTAACGACCATTGAAGAGGATTCCAATCTTTCTTTAGTGTATTTACGCAGATTTCTCCCTTTTCTGAGACATTTGGATGAAATATTTTGGTATTGAATAAGCCTAACTTAGATTTATTATTACCTTTAGGAGCAATTTATGGGAATTGGGGTGGTAAAATTAATTTGCATCTAAAAACTCCTCCTTAAAATGGAGTATCAACTAAAGTATTTTCAATTTTTAATACCTGGACCTTCGATATCTGCTTAAATATCAAAAACATCTTATTCATTGAATATCACATGAACTCCTAATGCAATGTTTTTACAATTTACCATCAATTGGTTATTTCATAATATTTTGCAATTGCTTTGCTATTATTGGTCCCAACTAAGGATTAATTTAGGGCTCTTGAATCTATCAAACGAATATCACAATTTTCAATTACCATTCCAATTATTTAATAAGTTAACTTGAGAAATGTTATTTTAAATTATATACTTTAAATCGTTACAAATAAGCTTAGAATTAAGTGAATACAACAACAGAAAAATGTAAAAATGTCACTAACCTTATAGGTTAAACTTAAAGTGGGTATGATTAAAACGAATCATTATATATCAAAACTAAGTTGATAATTGTTAAATATTATTCTAATTCATAAAGAAAATAAACTAAAAAATAAGTAAAAATTCAAAAGAAGATATGAGTTTTAAGATTAAGTAAATTGAATAATATATGGCTTCACTCAATGTGATAACGAAGTATTCTGAAAAAATTTGAATCAATTTATCACAAGTATTCATTCAATAGAATTTAAGCAATTTCTATTGTCGAACAACAATTGATATATCGTTTAGAAATTTGACCAATCTTGTCTTAAAATTTGACATTAAGTCTTAATCATATCATTATTTTGGTGAATGTACTAAAAGCCAACAGCAAAGTTTTGCAAGAAAACTCTTTGAGAGCATCATCTTAAGTTAAATTTGAGAAGGTTTAACCTTAAGTAGATAAGGTATCCAATTCAGAAGAAGTTCAATAGTATCAACAGAGATGAAATCTCTACAATTATAATGGAAGATTAGCCTATAATTTATAGAGAAACTACTGATGAGAACTTATGAAATGGATAATAAAAAGAATCAGTAAGTAGATGCATCAGTTTAGTGAACTCATTGTAATAGATTTTCACCAAAATCAATAATTAGTTTGAAATTAAATATAGTATTAAATTTTCAAGGCTTTTAATCATCTAAAATAATGTCCGGGTAATTTTAATAGTTAAAAAGTGTTATGAAAATTGATATCAGTAATAGAGAACAGAGAATTTGTCTTTAATTTTATTTAGTATTTAAAGTAGCACTCTAGGTTTATTTATTAAATTAGACAATAAATCTACTGAAGAATGGAATTTTTAGTTATTAATACAAAGTTCATTTCCTTGAATACTTTAATTTAAGTTATAGATAATTAAATAACAATTATTTTCAAACTATTATTGTGAAGCAAAATATACAAAACTCTACAGGCTGCACTAGAACAGAATATTTGGATGACAATCAGACAATCAATATGAGAGATGAAAATATGAGAATAATAACTATTTATTAATAAATTATATAAAAAAAGATTTAAAATGATTAGTGGAGCATTCCGAAGATCATTTATAGGCAGAGCTCACTTTGGTCTTGTTTCAGAATATAATAGTAGAGTCAATTAGAAGTTGTACAAGGGAGTACAAGTATCTGAAGCACCACAATTCTTCACTACATCTGCAAGACCAGGAAATTTCGGAGATCATATTGATTTCAAAGTTCAAATGGATAATTGGTTTGATGAGAATAGGTACATATTGTTTCGATATTTAATTTAGAGTTCATAATGAACACGAGACTGAAATTAAAAGAACATAAATTTATGCATTGAATGCTGTCTATTATGGTGGATTACTCTCCTTTGCAAGATTGTTTGCAGTTGGAATTATTGGCAGATTAGATGGTTGGAAGAGATATGACAGAGACACATACCTTGAGATGGAGTAATAATTAACATTTAGTGCATAGCATCGGAGATTTACCACCAGGTGAAGTCATGTAAATCGTATGGAATGGTACACCAGTATTCATTAGAAGATTGACTTAATAAGAAATTAAGGATGAGGATAATTTACCAAAAGAAACAATTTTAGATCCAAGGTGAATTCTTAAATTTAATTGTTAGTTCTGAAGTTGTTCTTACTAATTGTGGAAACACTAAAGTCTTGGTTGTTAGTGCATTGTGTACTCATTTAGGATGCATTCCAATCCCATATTTAGGTGCTTATAATGTAAATATCATCCCTCAATATTATAGGGTTGGGTCTGCATTTGTCATGGTTCAGTTTATGACAAATATGCAAGAGTGAGACAAGGACCTGCATTGTAAAATTTACCATTCATTAATAACTCAATTTATGATGATGTTATCGTCTGCATCGAAGAAATGAAATTCCCAAGAGAACCAAGTTAAAGATATTGGACTTGAAACAGCAATACATATATATTATATTAAATAACACAACAATCAATATTCAAAAATCAATTAAATTTTAGTTTTGGGACGATTATTATTACTATTATGGTTGTTATTGACTCTGTTGCGGCTGTTAAAATTATGCAAAAGCTTATGAAATAACTGGCTGATTTTGATTCTACTATTGAGGACTAGCATTAAGTTATTGTGAGGATGATGTGGATTAATTCTAATTATTTTTGATGTCCCAACTAATTCTGGTTGCTTTAATTAAGATGCGACTATTGAATAATGGAATCTAGGCTGTGTCTGTAGGTAAATCAAGCCAGACTGTATTGTGACTTGTTTTGTATCTAAATCTAAAGATATATTCTCCTTAAAGTGGGAAGCTAGTCTTAATATCTTTGAGGGTGATTTGATCAACTTGTTTACCTATTCTTGTAATTAATATATTCAATTACCCGAATGCATTAGGAATTTCAACATCATCATTGTCCTGTGGCACCACATAGTAGATTAGGGTAAATTATTTCATTATTTATAATTATTTGCAAATATAATAATCAATTGTAAGCATATATTACTGAGTTGTTGAGAACTTTTAATAACCTTTAATATAGCTTCTTATAAGTCCTTTCGCTAATAGTCTTTCTTCTTGCTCTATAGCCAATATTCCTACTTCTGATATTGACTTCTGTTTAATTTGGACATAATAATTATCACTTAATTTTCAAATTAACCTTGCTAATAATTCATATCCAAAATTATTTTCCATGCTCATAGTTCTTGCTTGGATTTTAAATGTGCCGGATTGATCTTCTATACCTGGGAAAAATACACTTTTCTATCTAATCTCCTAGCTCTTAAGAATCCTAGATCCAAAAGTATTAAGTCTATGTGTTGCCATCGATACTTTTATATCATCTCTGCAATAAAAAATCTAATTATTCATCTAACTTTAGCATAATTATTTAACCATTATTATAATTTCCCTTATTATGCCGAACTCCTCCTATGGCATTGATTTCATCAAATAATATGATAAAAGCCTTCATAGTCCTTCTAAAACAGGATTCTACAAAAGCATTTAACAACTTCTGTTAAATTCTTTTATTAATATTTTCATCCCCCTTTGTCAATATTTGTAATATCAGGCTTATCTTAAACTGTCAGCATTATTACTGAAGTAGACTTGATTAAAAATTTTTGTGCATCTTAACACAATGTTAAAGCACACTTGTTAATTTCACATTCAAATGTATACTGCATCTAATCTGATACAAAATACTAAAAATACAATAATCCTATCTCACTTTCTTTTATTCCTTCTAATTTAATAATAGTTATCACACAGTTTATTACTTCTTCTAGTTATTTAATCTTTTCAGAATAAGGTCCCGATCCATACTGCTTAACAAATCAACATCATTTTAATCTAAATGTATTGTTATTGTTTCCTTTCACCTAAAATTGATTTGGACGATCTAAATACTCTGTCAGACCAAAATATTAAAATACTACAATACTCATCTGAATTTTTAATTTTAATAGTGTATTATTATAAATGTCACTACATTCTATACTAATTTTTGAAGAAATCAACTTTATAAACTCATAGAATTTAAGCCTAAAATTTGAGTGATCACTTAAAATAAATAATAATTTTTATTATGAATTTAGTCGACCAAATACAAAAGTAATTCCAAGAACTCTCTAAAGTATTCCTAAATTGTAATTATTCTATTAACGTTTATTAGGTCTATTTGAAGTATCAATCAATTTAGACCAAAATAATCAGCAACTCTTGCGATTAGAACAAATTATTAAATAAGCCGCGATCGACATTTTAGAAGAATTTCCTTTATAGAAAGAAATTAATCAACAGCATAAATAAACAAAGCCTAATTAGCAATCGATTTAGATTAGAATAAAGGGAAAAGTTGAAAAATAAAATTAGAATCTAAATACTTAAATAGAAAATGCTAAAACCTTAAAAACTCAAGTGTCCTAAGAAGATAGTAAAATGGAATAGTTGATACCCTAAATAACATTGAAACAACCTTTTGATTAGACTTGCTTTCTATGTTAAAATACAAATAATTTAAAACAATAAACAAGTAAGATAATTAATGATAATCAATATTTCTATCACATGGAATGCTTTACCAAAGCGAAATTTAATCATTTAAGTATCGATAAAATGTTAGAAATTTTTAAATCGAAAATTTGTAAAATTTGCAATAAACATGGGGCATATTATTAATGTGAAAATTGCGAATTATGGTATCACTATAGTTGTATGTCAGAATTATATCAGAATACTAAAGAATGTATTGATTGTCCTTGTAAACCCATTGATATCTTCTAAGCATAAGAAATTGATCTCTAAGTAGAAGATGTTCAAAGCAAGAAAAAGATAAAAATTGATCATATATCACAAAACACAGATTTATTTTCTGACATCTCTTTTAAAAGGGAATTAAAATCAATGTGATTTATAAAACTAATAATATTGTTTAACTATTGTTAGATTATATTTTAAGTTATATTCAAGATCTTGTTTGACTAATATGCCGAATAGACTAAGAAGCTACCTTCTTAATTTTTCTTTTTTTTAATTTTATTGGTATTTTCTTTATCTTCTTCAATTTGGCCACAACTGATTCTAAATTAAATCCTGTATCATAAAATTCCATATCTGTTTATGCATCTATTTGAAATTCTTTGGCAATCATTAATTAAGCAATTTCTATTTCTATTAACAATACTTAATCTACATCATAAGATTTTGTTTAGTATGAAGAATAGGATTATAGTTAAATTGATTATTATTACATTTGCTATTATTATTGCTGTTAAGTTATTTATTATTATACTTGCTATTATGGAGTTGGTTATAGAATGTTGAATTCTTCCTCAATGATTTCACCTTAATCCATTTTGATTTAATTTATTATCACGGTTCCTCTTTTAACACTTTATTTAATTTTTCTATCGATTGGATTGGAATCTCTTTCTTGCGTTCCACAAGTTTTGTATTAAGCGTTTTTTTGGAGAGAAGTTCTAGTTTGCCTTTTTTTTGACTTATTTGATTTGTCCTCGTTATTATTCTATAGATCCGATTCTTTCCGTTTTGATTCCCTTTTAATTAACAATAAATTCTGTGAACGAATCCTTTTGTCTGATTCCAATAAAGAGTTTGAGTCGCTTCCTTCCTATTCTGAATCTTATTGCATTTGGAACTTATTAGAGACAATGAATTCAGAATTAGGTCCCAATTCATTCAAATAACCTTTTTAAGCACAGAAATTGAATGCTGAAGCCTAGAAATTTCTCAATTGTCCAAAAGTGTTCTATTTATTAATAATTAATTTACATTACATTATGAATTTTGTCATTCTTTCTTATTCTACCTATAGATCTTCTTTGTTATTTTTCGCCATGATCGTTCTTTTTAAATAATCTCAGGTAATTAGGAGTATAAAATACAAAAGGACATCGAATAAAAGTATGATTTTATCGACATAATTCACATCCTCCTAATTTAACCCTCCCATTGAATTCAATCTAATGTTTTACATAATAGAAATGTTCTCTGTCTCTTTGATTATATTTTAATAGATCCAAAAGATCATCATATGTAATGTAAGCCAATTTATAAAATTTAACCGCTCTTGTTGAAAATAAAGCAGGATGTTAAGAAATAAATGACTTTTCATCGATAGCTTAATTTCGCTGATATATTTTAATAATTTTATTGTTGCTAATATAAGCTTCAACTTCGCCTTTTAAAATAAAGTATATTCGATCGACTTTTTATCTACTAATGATGAATATATTACCCTTCAATAGAGATGATCTCTTCTGGTACAAAGGTTTACTCCTTGACCAAAATGCATAACTTTTCGATAAATTATTAAGAAAAGTTTTATCTGATTAATTTTGAATTCAATAAAATGTTCTTATAAAAGTCTATTTTAACCTCTTTATTGAGATTTCCTGATAGATGAATCATTAACTTTTCGCATTCTGATTCCATATCTCTTTCCTATTTGAGATAATACTCAAAAAACTTCTTCACTTTGACCTATAAATCTTTGTTTAAACCTCGTTTTTTTAGGAATGAATCTATCATTGTCATTCTATCTCTAAGATAGTTTTTATTTTCGCTCATTTAAGCAAAAATAGCTCCTATACTAGAAATAGTGTAACCAAAAATTATTGAACTCAATAATGTAACTAAAATTACAAAAACCTTTTCATATTAGGTTACCTCAAAATTATGAAAAATAATTACTGGAATTATGTCTCCATATCCTATTGTTAAAGTTGTTATACAAGCCCAATAGAAACTTGTGATATATCTTGTTTACCAATTATCGTCTTATAATTATGCCCTCTGTATCCAAGTATTATTTTCAAATTCCATTTCTTAAATTGCAATAAAATGCCAAAAGCAAGCTATGACATGAGATGCAAACAAAAATGTCGACATTAGAGAAATAATATCAACTGTCGAGGCAAAATTAACTCTTAGATTAAGTGTTTCAACGATATTTTCAAAAATATGCATAACCTAAACAATAATGAAATACATTTACTCTTGATACTCTAAATAATAGCACAAATTCTATGTATGGAATATTTTATCTACCAATCATAAAGGGGATTATCACTATGAAGTCCAAAATAAATTTTCCTTTTAGGTAATGCTTAAATATTTATCCTCGATTCAAAACAAGCACTCCTCTGGAATAATAGGCAACATTAAAGTTCAACAAAATTTCAAACAAAAACACATACTAAGGCAAAGTGTCAAGGAATATATCAACACCATCCACCACCGTTATATCAAAAGAGATCTTAAGTGGTATGTAAAATATGTTGATCAACAGAATTAAAAATACTACAACATCCCATTATAATTTTAGTACATTATCTGGTTTTATTGGCTTAATAACAGAAGAGAATACGCTCAAGAAACTCATATATACTTTTAGTTTTGTTTGGAATAATTGCTATTATAATATTTAATAATAACCCATGATCCTCCTTTTTCTCTGGCTCTTATTAGTTTGTGGGTTAAATAGAAATTAAAATCAGCTGCTTAATCCCCAATTACTTTGAATTGTCTATGATCTAGATATCTGAGTTTAAATTTATCAGAATTAGTTAATAAGTACGTAACAAACCTGGCTACAAGAACTATTATGTTGAGTGCTCTTTCTTTCCAAATCCGGTTTTTAAAGCCTTATTTGTTTTCAAACTCATCAGAATCATCTTATGAGAGGATACTCTACTCACTTGGATCGTTGGAAATCTTTATTTTTTCAAGCATATGAAATTGAGATTGCTTAGTTTTAAAATTTGTCAAGAATTCATCATCCTCATTCTGTAGATTTCTTTTGCTTATTAAGACTAATGAATTTGCTACACGAGGACTTGAACAAAGGTCTTCATTATGATCGAGGACAGACATTAATTTAAAAATTAAAAAATGTATTTAGTTTTTATAGTTGAAAAAAGTTTGAGATAACATAGAAAAATAAGAATGGATAATCGTTTATCGCAATTCAACCCTACTAATTTAGTTATAACATCATATAAATAGATTTCGTTAGAAAAAAAATAATTTCAAATTAATAAAATCATCATTATCAAGATATTTTAATATTTATCTTAATTTAGAGATTTAAAAACTGTATAAAATAAAGATGTTCTCAAAAAGATAGTTAAAGCATTAGAAAAATGAAGAATTTATTAATTTATTTTACATCTTGCATGTTCTTAAAACTATTAGTTCACATAAGAAAAACTTTTGATTTTGCTTTATTTATATAATAAGAATTTAATAAATAAATTTCATTTAATTTGAGAATAAAAATAAAAAGTAGGACCTACTTGGATTCGAACCAAGGTCTTGAGGGTTAAAGCCTCAGGTACTAACCACTATACGATAGATCCTATAGTTATTTTCTTTGGTTTGAAATACTATTTCTACACATTGTCTTATGAATTTCATTATATAATCAAAAATATAATTGGGCTCTAGAAATTATAAAAATTAAAAATTAGGCTGAAAATTTTAATAAAATTTGATCAAAATGCAGAAAATCATTTTGTATTCATTTTTTTATAATTTCTTTAGAAAAAAGATTTTGATATTAACCTTGAGCTATCAATATTGGATTTCTCTCGGTCTGATTTAGGACTCATATCAGTTTTTAAGTGAAACTTACTAGGTGAAGTTTTGGAAACGTTATTAGGTGACTGATTTCTACTATTATGAAATAACAAAGGCTTTAATTTTAATGGCTCCTTTCTAATATGGACATTAAATCTATTCCCATTTACAAGTATTTTATTAATCTCTGGTTATAAAAAGGGATGTTTTAAAGCTTGTGCTGCTGAAAATCGAATTTAAGGGTCTATCTCGATCAACCCTTTTAAGAAATAAATCCCACTTTTTGATATAGATGAAGTATCAGAAAAGTCAATATGTCCTAGGAAATTTTTGACAATAATTTCTTTTGTTGTATTTGATTTAAAGGGATCTTTACCAAACATCAATTAATAGCCTAATATACCCACACTATATATGTCTACTTTCAGTCCGTATTATTATTTTCTTAATATTTCAGGGGCGACACAACCAGGAGTACCACAATATCTGAATAAATAATTATTTTCACTATTTGCTTTTTCAGCCAAGCCAAAGTCAATTAGACAAAGAGATTCATAATTATTTTATTATCTTAACATTATATTGCATTTTTTAATGTCTCTGTGAAATATTCCAAAACTATGCATATAATCAAGTCCTCCTAAAATAGATTTCATTATTATTTTAATTTAATCTTCATCAAGTTTTCTTTCTTATATATTACTATCCAAATCACCTCCTAATAATAGCTCCTAAATTAAAATAATTTATGATTTTGACTCAAATACTCCTAAATATTTGACAATATTAGGATGATTGAATAGTTTTAAATATTATATTTCAAACAATAAAGATTGTTTTACCTAATTATCTGTTTCAAGTTAAGCTTTATCAAATACTTTTATTGCGTAATTGATATCATCTATTTTAGATCGAACTTAATAAACCTAAAACTAAATATTATTATTACATTTGCTGTTGACCCTCTACCAATTAGTTTTAAGATTTAATAATTGCATGTAAAGTCTAATGAGATGCATTCTTTCATCAATACACTTATCCAATTTTATATTTGTCCATAAAGCTCGATTTTGTTTTCTTATTTCTCCAATGATACTCCTATAATTTCTTAGTTCGAATTCCTTAGAATTGTTAAAAAAGCATTAGAGAACAAAATGAATTTCTAATTATAACAACAATGGTACGTTTTTAGAATATTTAATATGTTACTTCCCAATTGAAATAGTTTTTTCTTTCGTAATTTCCAATCGCTTAATTGTCAAACAAGCAGTAGACATCGATGAAAAACTTACGTTTGTAACCCAAAATTCTGTATCAGTAGATAACAATGAATTTTGAATATCAAAATATTAAGGATATTGCTTATTTCTGATAAACATAAATGTTAATAATTAACTTTTTTTAATAATTTTCATATTATACTGAGAAATAGGAGATATTTATTGAACTAAAAAATTACGTAATTAATTTATGTTATTCTCTAGTTGTAATAACGACAACCATTCTTCTTAAATAATAAAAAATATAAAATATATATAATTAACTCAAAAAAATACTTTATAAAAACAAAGTATTAATCGTCTAAAATTCGACTAAGGTCATTTTGTAATCCTAATATCAAAAATATTCATATAAAATCTAAACATTCTGAAGCAATAGTTATAAATTTAATATTTAATTATCAAAAATTATTCAGCATGAAACAATCAAATTTGTAACGATTTTTGAATGTCAAGTATAGATCTAGAATCTAATAAAATGAGAATTATAAATTTTTAGTTTAAGAAGCATCAAAATTTATTTTTTAAACAAATTCATCCTGAATAACAAATTTATTCAATAAAATTTTAATGATTAAATTTATAGTAACAATAAGTCATTTGAGCTAGTTGATTATTCATTCCTGGTTTATGTATCAATGTGTATTGACATTTTATTCCGGGATCATAGTAGAAACATTATGGAATCAGGTAAAGTACTTAACAAACTTTTCAAATTGGGCTATGTTCACATTCTTAATACCTTTTGTTATATTTGATTTCAAAAATTACAATGTTTTGAGAATTTAAGATAGGTATCCATAGATTGTGACTCTATTGTTCTAAGGAATCAATCCTATTATATTTTTGGTAATGGCAACTTATTAAAGTTTCATAATACTTGATCCTAATCTATTAGTATTGGATGGATTTCATCCGACATAATGGCAATTGGTAATCCTTGCATATTTACATCTAGGAAATTGGCTGTTATTGTAAACTTTAATATATTTTTAGGCAAATAGAGTATATCCTATATGAGCATAAGCGAGTACCTAAACTTCAACGTTATGGATTTTTTTTCGCCTATACATTTATTTATTTATTTATATATGGTAAATTCAGGTTGTATAATTAGGTTGTTATTTTTTATTGAGGGGAAAACATGTTTACGGCTTTTAAAAAAATTTAAGCATTCCACTAGTTTTTATGATAAACATCAATTAATTTTTAATGATATTATTTACGGATTATGCTTACGAAAAAGTGACAAGATCAAAATTTTTCAAGAAGTTTATCCTTGAAAATTATTAAATAAATAATTAAACCAAAAATGAAAAGTAAAATCAATGAATATAAAATTATTATATTTCATACAATATTTTATTTAAAATGCTTGTAAAGTTGGAATTATAGGTTAAGGTATTGCAACCTTGTTTTTGATTAGATTTATTAATTGATAAACAGAATTTATCAAGAGTTAATTGAAGAAGTCAATAATTTGAATATCTCACAGTATTATTTTTAGCAAATAAATATTAATTTCATTTGTCTCTAAAATGGTTATTTTTAAAACAAGAAAGTTAATTCAATTATTTTCTTTATCAAAAAATAAGATGTAAACAATTTGTTACTAACCCATATTCGCAATTAGTTTTATTTTCAATAGTTAAACTAATTCTTTCCTATTTTCATTCTTTTAACACTCGAGTTTTCAAAAGAATAAAACATTTTACATTATTTGGTAGTAATTATACATCTTTTTGAATAAAGTGTTAATAGTATATGATTTAGAAAGAGATATTAATCCTAAGGTTCTGAAAATAATGAGAATTAGCTATTTTTTAAAAAGTAATGTAGTTTTTGATGAATATGAAATTTATTGTAATAAATTATAACTAAAAAAATAATTATAGTCAATTTTCAAAATTATGCATTTCTATTTGTTATCTTATATTCGATTTTGATAGAACATGATCATTTGTTGTTGCTGCATACACATCATATGCTATTCCCTGAAATTAAGGTAATTTTTACTTTAAATTCCTTATACGCTTAAAAAGTGAAGTACACCGAAACAATGTAAAAAGTCAAAGAAATTGCTTAGAGCAAAAACTGATTTCTACCATCGTTTGATAACTATTCAAGGTTGACCTTATTTTAGATATCAGTCATAAAATTAACCACAATCAAAAAAGTGTTCATTAGACAAAAAAATATGTAAATCACACAATTACAATAATTCAATTATGCCTAAGCACACCTAGTTATAAGTTTTAATTATACCATAAAATAAAAGCTGATGTGAATTCTGCCACACCTGCCCACATATCATAATACAGTTTTCCTAATGCCAAGCAGATTTGTAAGAAAATTATAAAGAAAATTATTCTCCTTAACACTTTTGCTTTCTCTGTTGTGGGAGGCACAATATCACCAACGCATAATATCATTGTTATTTATTAATATAATAAATTATAAACAATAAAAATGGAATATTTATAAAATATTCAATGGTTTAACTTAATATCGCCTTTCTTATTAAATCTTATTAAGTTAAATAATAATCTCTATGTAGTGATTTACTAAGCAATTTTTTGAAATCACCTTCTTGTTATTTATATAGATATATAATGCAATCTTCAAAGCATTCTAAATACTATTATATTGGTATACATTATTTCTATATTGAAATATTATCACTTCATTTGAATTAGTTGATATCCTACCTAAGGGCTGTCTAAACGTGATCAAGAATATATATTTTGATCCACAACGTTAAACAATTTAATTAAGATATTAAATAGTATTATATATATTTATAAATTGAAACTATTCATAGTTAAATTCATTTTATCTCTATCCATTTTTAGAAGTCAATAGCTTTCTGGTTTGAGTCAATTAAGGTAAATAATACTTGTTTAGAATAATATCTTTAGTGGGAAAAACGAAGTGTCATTTTAGGATTTACAATGTTTCTTATTTTTGAGACATTGGTCTAAAGTTAATTTATTCCACATTCTGTAACTAAGAAATTTATATAGATACTTTTTAGCTGATTAGATAATTATTAGTGTAGAATTCATTTTTAAAATTAATATGTTATTAAAAAACAAATACACATTTTGGGTTTCAACTCAAAGAACGCAGACAAAGATAGATAAGGATAACTACAATGACAATCTTTATAAAGTGTGTATGATATTAGAATAATTTAAATTTAGGTAATTTCGAAACAGCAGAGTAATTCTGGATGTACTACTAATGGATAGCTAAGCCATCAACTATTCCAGAAGGATGCCAAATTTTATTATTTTAAGAAGAAATCTAACCAATGTGGGAAGATAAGGCAAATCAGAATGGAGGAAGATTTGTATTTAGATGCAAAAATAATGTTGATCGAGTTTGGGAAAACATACTCTTGAGTTATATAGGAAATTAATGTACATACAATGAATTTGTCTGTGGAGTGGTTGTTAATCAAAAGAGATCATTTACTTAAGTTTCTATATGGGTGAAGAATATGGCCTCGTATTAAAACTAAGAAGACAAAATAACATAATGGGTTAAAGAGATGTTCGGAATCAATGAATTAGAATTTGTATAGCATCCAAAAAGTTGAAATTATTTATTAAAATAAAATGAATTCTTTCCGTAAAAGTAACACTAACAACATCAGCAGACGGGAGTCTTTAGAAACTACTCCAAATGCATTTAATGCAGAATTGCTGAATTTGTAATTTGGAAATAAGAAGAAAGAGGTAGACACTAGCATATATTTATAGGTCATAAATGAATACGTTGTTAAACGAAAAGCAGAATTATTGGAGGAAATGCAATAAGAATAAATTCGTTAGGAATATGATAGAAAAACTGATATTTAAAAGTTAAAAGCATTATTAGCCAATATCAAATATCAAAATGATCTGATGAAGTTAAATTTAAAAAAATACGATTAAATCAATGCAGAAGAATAGAAATTCACTGTGATCCATCAAAATGATTTGGTGGTTGTTAATAATTAAATAGATGCTGAATAAGAATAAAATTAGGCATTATAGCAACAGATTTAATTAATAGGACATTCATTAAGAAAAAATTAAAAATACAACAATACGCTCATTGAATAATTGCAATTATTTACGCAAAAATAACCTCAGATATATTTAAAGGAGTTTCAAAATTAGCAAGCCTTTGATGCAGCAAAAAAGTAAAATACAATGATAAAACAGGCGTTACAGGAAGAAAAAGAATGGTAAATGAAGTACTTATATGAAAATACTTCAAGTTATGAGCACAAAAACTAAATTGTCAAGTAATCGAAAATTAAAATATATTAGGGAGAATTTAGAAAGTTTATGCTAATAAGAAGAAAGATTACAATACCTATAGTAATAATTGATTTTAACCGAATAATAAATTTAGGATATTGATCTAGAGATATCTACTAAGTTCAATAAGATTGAGGAATGTGCAGAATTTTTAGATGAATTGGATGATTTCGATAAAATCATCTTAATTTTTGTGATGGAGGATCCTAAAGATTTTGAACTTCCTGAAATTTTGGAAAATGCAAGAAATTAATTATAGAAACCAAAGAATAGAATGCAAATTGCTGATAGTGAATAGGAATACATTGATAGAGCTAGATTCAGTAGTGTAAGTTCAAGAATGAAAATCTTCTTTAAATTCCACCACAATAATTTATAAAAATCTATTGATGATTTGATTTAAGTATATCGCAAATCATAATTTAATGAAATGACTTTAAAAAATAGGTATGAAGATTTATTAGATTAAAAAGCAAAATTAAAACAAACTTTAGAAGATTTAAATTCCTTGGAATTCTATGCAATGGATGACATATTGTTTGAGAGAGACGATCAACATATGAATATTGAAGAATTAAATGTAGAGGCAGCTTTAGTCTCTAAAAATTAATAAATTCGATTAGTGGAGAATAATGCCTAATTTGTAATGAGAATGTACAGTATGCTAACAAATGTATTATTTAGAATGATTAATTCACTTTTAAACATAAAAGAAGTATTGAAACTTGTCCCTCAGAATTATTTAATTAAGAGTATGAATTTGTTAATTATTAGTTTTTATTTAAAATGGACATACAATAAATTATATTCAAAATTAACTACCATTCATGATTAATTGGAAAGTCAATTTAAAATTAAAATAGTTGTTAAGGATCCTGTTATTCGTAATTCAAATCAATTATTGAATGCTATTTATGATCACCTCGAAGATCGTCCAGCAAAAAGGAAAACCTTGATCCCCATTACTCAGAAATAGAGTCTCTCAGAAATTTTAGGCACAGTATTGAACAAACAAGAATTAAAATCAGTTTCTGATGCAATAGTTAAGGATCCAATTCTGGCTTAATTCTTCTCTATTACTGATTTATAAAACATGGTTTCATAACTTGATAATTACACTTTGGACAGCTTGTTGAAAAAGATAAAAACTGACGGATATGAAATAGCATTAACTACTGCAACTAGATAATTAAAATTTTTATTAAATTTTATAGAAGAAGCTGTCTTTGACTGTAAGAATATATAAGAATAGCAAAGTTCAGCTAAACTCCTTTAACAAAAGTATAAGTTATAAGATTTAATGGAGAAGCATATGAACAGTTATGAGTTTAAGCCAAAAGAATGGAAAAGAGATGTTATTGAAAGTAAAATAAAATAACTAAAACCTTTGAATGGATAACCTTTTGAAGAATAACCATCCCCGATTACTGAAATGAGAATCTAATAATAATTAACTACTTAACCACCAACTCCAAAGATATAACCAATAAGAACTTGCAGAACAGAATAGTCACCAAATGAAATTAAACGGTTTATCTTCACTATCGATTCTCAAATACCAAACTGTTCATAATCATAGGCTAACTAAAAGTAATCTGACCCTATATTTATCCATTTGCATCATATGAATAGGAAGATAAAGAATTTGAATAGATCTCAAACTTAGCAAAAAGCAAACCCTCCTCATCAATTTGATGTTCTATTCAGTAAAAAGAGTGTAGAGTTATCTCGGGATTCAATTACAAATTTGCAATTAAAGTCAACACCTATATAGCAGAATAAAGGCATTTTAAGAACAGCTTCAAAATGCCCAAAATTGTTAAACAATACTAATAATAGCACTAATTTAATTTCAGCAAGGTCGAAATGTAATACAAAATCATCAAATGACTAGAAATTGGAATTACCTTAATCTATTAGCAGATCACAATTATCATCAACATATGGAAGTGCTAATAAAAAATTATAAGATTTCTTTCATATGACAAGCATTAGAAAAAAATGAAAATGTTTATATTATACTTATTCATATATTAATTAATGATTTACTCTCATCATCCAATTCATCATCTTCATTGACATCTATTTAACTAGCCTTCTTTTTGCACATAAAAATAAATATCATCAATGATGATAAACCTAAAAATGAAGCATTAGCTAAAAAGAATATTACTGCAAACATGGGATATCCCAAAGAAATTCTATTTAAATTAATACTATTTATACTTATTGTAAAATGTGGACAAATTAGTCATCTAACAAATAAATTTTGCTTCTACTTTACTCACAGCTTCTAAGGTGCATAATGATTACTATCTTGTTCGAATATCATAATAATGTTGATTGCCAAAAGTGGCATATTAGGGGCATAGTGTCATTAATTGATTGCAAACTACCAAAATGCTAATGTTTAAAATGGCAGCTACTATAAACAAAGAGGAAGGTTAAGTTTATTCTTTTTTGATTTCAAATCCTTTTAAAAAAATGATTCCACACTTGATAATCCCATATAAAGTGCAAATAAAGATATAAAGAGTGAAGATGAAAAAGAACAAATAATCTAATGGGAAGTAATAAGAGGAATAAACATATAATGTATCGATTGGATTCAAAAAGGTTTTTTCCTAGATTAAATACCCACATTTAAATCCACATGATGAATTTGTAATCTATCAAATTTAATCAGTTTAATACTTTGTCATAAGTAGTAATTGCCAATGAACTAAATATTAGAACAGAAAAGCATAAGCAAATCATTCCAATAATTATTCTAAAAGGAGATATTATTTTAAAAATAGTCTATAAGGATTTCGTCTAAGTTTCCAATTCTATAATTTTTTCGTTCTTTAGATTTAAGAACCTTTCTTTTCTTTTTAAATTAGTCAATGCCTATTGAATTAAATTTATTTTTACTCTTTAATCCCCTTTAGAAATTTTGGAAGAACTCTTTTAATACTTTTCTTAGATTGCTCGGTATTTTTCTCTTAATTTGGCTAAATCATTATCTACTTATGATTTTTCTTCTTCCAAAGACCTGGCCCCTTTAATCAATTAAAATGGCAAAGCGGTTAATCCATATGAACCATAAATCACCCATAAGCAAAAACCAAATGTCAATATGATTGAGATGCAAAATGATATTGCCTATTCCCCTAAATGATCAACATCAAACATGGTTTTCACCCATTCTAATTTTTCAGAAGTACTGTAATTCACTTCAGGATTAAACACTAGTCCAGAAATTAATAAAACACAAATAAACCCTATAAAATATACAGTTTATTTGGCTGATCTAATTATTTTTGAGGATAGACGTTTTTCACTTAAATCTAAGTCAAAATCGTTATCGTAATTCAATGCTCTTTCTTCTGAATAAAAGTAATTAAATGGTAGGATTACAAAAGTGATAAATAATAATCCAATATATAGATCTAAAAGGATCGATGTCATTCTTACATATAAATACCTCCCTTATAAAGTACTTATTGATTGGTTGATGAAGTGTGGAGATTACATCATTGGGATGAGATGTCACAAATACATCAATTGGTACCATTAATATGCAAATCATGGATACAGTGAAACTCAAACAAATTGAGTTAATTGCGAAGTTATACGACTCAGCAGGGTCTATATAGTATTTCACTATTATTCTGGATAAAAAGTATAGTCCCTAAATAAAAATTATGAGAATACTAGAATCAAAGCAATATAAAGAAACCACGCAAAATACATTTTATGAATAAAATAATATCAAAACGAAAATAAATTATCAATTATCATGTTATTTCAGAGATAATCACTCCCAGCTTTAAATGCAATCTGTTATCATTCAAACAATGAAGAATGTGAATTATAACTGAGACCTTTGTACTTATTAATTAGAGAAAATCAAATTGATGTCTAATAAGAAAACATTACTTTAGTCGGTTTGTTCAAGCTCTTAAAAGTATGCTTTAACATTTTCATAGATCTGGAAATTAGATATACCATTTTCAATTTTAGCTAAGTTAATGTTAAATGCAAATAAATATTGCAACTAGTAATTGAATTAAATGATCAATTAACATTCTTTTCATCAATTAATGCATAATCCACAATTATAAATAATTTATAGAAAGAAGCCTAAATCAGACGTGTCCTAATTAATAGGAAATAATGCTTACTTATAAAATTGTTAATTCTCTACTCCTTAGACAATAGTTGGATTATTCTCTAGACTTGGAGAACTAATATAGAGAAAGTAAATTTATCTCAAAATCAATAATGAAAATTTAGATGCTAAAGATAAGTATAGCTATATTATTAAAATGATGCAAAATACACCCAGGGATCTGAAAATCAATCCTGTAGACAATGTAACTGAGAAATAGGACAGCTTATTAATAGGAAATTAATATTTTAGTACTTAATCAAAAGTCGATAGCATTTTATCTTTAGAAGATAATGAAGAAAATGATGATTAATTTCCTCAAATTAATAAACCTATTAAATAGAAGTTTCAAAAATTATAGAATGTCTTAGATTTGAACGATTAATAATTTAAGATGAATCATAGAATGAGAAAAATGCATACAACTATGATGAAGCATATGATTTAACTTAAATAAAATTAAAATGTGAATAAGATAAATAAATTAATACAGCAAACATAAGGGAAAATTGTAATTAAATTACCTGAAATATGATTATTATTGTAATTATACATAAATACTATAAATTATAAAAGTAAAATTAATTTAACCTGGCTAATGATGAAAGGTGTTATGAAGAGCACATATCAAAATTTCTTAAAATTATCAAAGAGTAATTATTAATCAAAATAATACAAAATCAAAATGAGTTGTACTTTCTCAGTATTCTGCTTATAGAAAGAATAAATGAAATGATACTTCTTAGTAACTTATAATCTACATCATAAAATGGATAAATTAGAATAAATAACTCCAAAATCTTATAAATACCCATGTATATCCAAATATGATAATTAGAAATGATAGTGATATTGATATGATATATAAACTTAAGTTGAAATATTTCAAAAAGGGAATCAATAAATTTGGTGTATAATCAGTAAATTATTTAATAAATATGAAAGAATCAAAAAAATCCAACTTAAGAGATAAATTACTCTCTTAACCGCTCATTAATTCTCTCTTCATCTACCGTGCTTAATGAATAATAGATAGACTCTTTGTGTTTTATGCATTATAGGATCAAAAGGAATTTCATGAAAATTTTCTATTTATTTATTCAACAACATATTTAATGATACACGGATTATTCTTAATATATATATAAGTTTTCAATTTAACAATTTAGATACACCATATATTGTTGATTTATAGTTTAATCAATACCCATTATGAAATAGTCCTTACATTGATATTAACTAATCAAATTTTGTTAGGAAACAAAAAACCCTAATATCTAGATTTAAATAATCGAATCAAAAAGAATAATAGCAATTAAACAGTCATCCTCTGTCTAAAGATATTTAGACCTGTATTTCTAGATGTAATTGATATATATGTTCCAAATAATAGAAGTAATTAATTTTGTTCATCCAAATGTATTTAAAGGGAAAAAAAATTGAATTTTATGAATCATTCATATTAAGGATATCTATATAATTCTTCGCCAAACACATATGAATAGTTTTCTTAATTTTATCAAGTTAAATGTATGCATATAAATTTGTGAAATAAATATAAACAATAACAAAATCATAAACTATGGTCATACTTAAACATTGACTGAAGTAGGAGGAATTTATTCATCTTCATTATTTTGAGATTTGAATCTAATATGTTTAAATTGATAATTACTTTTTATATTGTGCTGCTTTAATATCCAACATTGAAAGAAATACTTTCTTCTTTTTTGGAAGTTCATGTGGCTATGAAGAACAATTATTTTCCGTTTTAGGTTATTGCATCCCTTTTTTCTCGAATTTTTTTTGTGATTTTATTTTTTTTTTTTATTCTTTCGGTTGAATCGGATTTGTGTCATCCTGTTTGGGCAATTAGGAATTCGATAATTCTAATTCTTCTTATTTTTAAATTGAGATGTTTGTATTAGGGATGGCTTGACTGAATGAAGCTCTAATGAATTTTAATATCAAATACTTCAGCATCTGATTATAAATTAACATCTGTTAAAGGATCAATTGTTGTTAAAGAATTAGGCTTTGGTCAAAGTAATTTAAGCAATTCATTGAAATATAAGGAATTATTTAAAGAAAACAAGATTTGAAGATTTGGTTTAATAGCAAATAATTATGCGTCATGGATTATTTGTGGTAATCCTTACAAATGATCTTGCATCATAATAATTAATAAACTTTTATAATAATTATATTATTTTATTAATTATTATAATTAAGATCGTCATTAGATATAATTGTTAACTACGACAATTATTATTATTAAATCAATAATAATAAATTAAAATATTTTCTTACTAGCGTCAAATTTTGGCTTTGGTGAATGAAATCTAAATGTTTCTTCCATCCACATTTTCGTTATGCATAAGTGCCACAACTTCAAAAGTTTGCTTTCGAGTTTCAATTTTGATTAAACACATAAATTTAAATTGTGAGTTCAATACTTTTACAGTCTATTATTATTTAAATTACTTCAACAAAACAATAATTTTGAGAAGATATCCCACATCATTTCAGAATTGGAGGAAACTTTTTTCAAAATTAAAATATGAGGAATTTAGCTGCGAGGAAATAAAATCTAGTTATTTTCTGCATCAAATTTAAGTGTAATATAGTCCTGTTCTACATATAAGGTATTCAGACCAACTAACTTTTCAATTGAATAATTTGCAGCGAAGATTATTATTAAAGAATTTCTAAATTCTGACAATTTGATATACAAAATATGCCTAATACTAAAGCAAGTTAAATATTTATATTGTAAAATACCCAAATTGCTAAAGATATTGTATAATTTATGAACATTCAATTCTTTTCCAAAAATTTCATTTAAGCATACTGTTTTTGTTGATTTAATTTTATTTTGACTTAGAATAGTTTTTAACTTAGAGGCAGTGTAATAACACTGTGTGGTTTAGAGTCTCCTTTTTGTAAGATTGTGTTTAATAAAAGAAAATATAATATTATCATTTATTGATGCGGATTGCTTATTTTCGAACCTGCTTGAAGTAGTATCTTCAACAGTCTCATAAGATCCTAAATGAGCAATGGGCAACAATTTGTTATTTTAATAGTAAGAATATTTCATAAAAATTTGATGATAGTTGATCTAATGTATTTTTGGTATTTTTTGCGGCATCATTCGTAGCCATCTCCATCAAGACTCGTCATTCCATTAATGATTGACTCAAAATTTTTACATTAATCACAAGTACATACCAGAAAAAATTACAGAAATTTCCTACAGGCTAATCGACATACTAAAATATTCTGGGAGTTAATAATTTTAGTAAGAATAAAAGGTGAAATATGTAGAGAATCAACATTTACCCTTATTTATTAAATAATTTTCATTTTTATTTTTGATTTTTGCATGCTAATATCTTTAAAAATAAATCACATTTTTAAATAATATCAACAAATCTTGGGTATAAATATTTTAATATCTCTAATAGGTTCACTAAATGGATCAATCAATTTTTCTTTGAGTAAAAAGGGATTTCAAAATTGTTAAATTTCAAGGAGTGTGATATGATTTATGTTATAATTAAGATCGACACGAAATATTTTGTAAAAATACAAAATATAGAGTTAAATTATAATTTATTTGCTTTGGAGATGCTTATAATTAGTGATTAAAGAATTGTAAAAAAACATTGAATTTATAAACAAGAATTTAAAAATAATTTTGAAACACCAACAAATGATTAGCATTAAAAACCCAATAGGCCCTAATAGTAAGAGTATAAAATGAAATTATTAATCTACTGATTTATTTGTTTATCATGCGATATTTTAGTTTATGAACCCTAAATGTATGGAAATAATTTGGACCATAAATTTCAAGGTAGTATCTATTATATAATATATTTTAAAAATAAAATAACTATTCAAAGTTCTAAATTCATACATTTTCTCAACATTTCTATTAATTAAAAGTACCCCAAAATTAATTCTCTAACTTCTTTACATTTTTAATCCTTTTTGTTACATTCAAGGTATAAGTTGGTAATGTAATCCTTTTGTGATTCGTAGAATTTTCTTAGGTTTTATTTCACAATGCAATAAAATTTGCTCTAGATATTAACTAACTTTTGATGAAATTAAAAACGCAGTATTCATCAAGAGTTATGTTTTGTTATTCTTATATCGTTTTTTGATTGAAAAATTTATCAATATTTTTTGGTTATTTTAAATTTTTTTAAGTTAATTTTAGTTTTTGATGATGATTCTTTAGTTTGATAAATTATTTTACATGTTCCTTTTTGATTTCTAAATGAAATAAGTATTACAAAAGGAATCATACAACCATTCTTATATTTCTTTGTAGAATTAACACTGCGTTAGAATGATAAAGTGCTTTGCAAATAACCAAATGTTTAGCGAAGTTCAAGGATAATAGCATACATTTGACCAACTAAAATTGATTAATCAAATTTACTATGAGACACAATTTGTAAAGAAAGTTTACATAATGGTTATTGTTTTTAATTTCTGTAAAAATTTCCAAACTAATTCAAGGCTCAAACTCAATTAATATATTACATCTTACAGAAATTAAATCTTTATTAAATGATACAATCTAAAGTAATTATTTCATTTATTACATCAAATTAATAGTCCTTTTAAATTCTATGATGATCGCTGATTAAGTCTGATTACATAATTCTTTTATTTTTTGATAATCACAAGATCTTAATTTAATTTAACTGATTTGATGATAATTGAGTACTTTTTTCTGAATTTTTTCTCAAAAAGATCAAGGTTATTGTGAATACTGATAAATTGTGAAGAAACATTTTGTCTTGCTTAATATTAATCAAATAAATTTTAAGATCTGAGAGTTATATCAGTTCACACAACATAAGGGCCAATTGGTTTACTGATAATTCAATTAACATCATCAACTAGTTTAATTGCAGATTAAGGTTTGATTAAATTTAATGAGATATTCAAATAGCTGAGAATATTGATTAAAATTAAATTTACATAATATAATAATAATTAAATGAAGAAAGGTTTTTATTTTCTTCGAAAAATTGATACTTTTGGAATTAAATTTACTCCTGCTATAAACAACAAAATGAATTTTAGTTATAAAACTATTTTGGGAGGAATATTCTCTTTGATCATTTATTCACTTAGTGCAGCATATTTTGTTTATGAAATGTACAGATGGATGAATATGGATATGGTTCCAATTGTTACAACTGAAATTCATAGTTTTAATAATGATATCGAAAATCTCTTGGATGAATCTAATGCATAGATCGAATTTGAAATCTTCAATACAGCAAATGGAAATGAATCAATTAATCCATTTAATTAAACACAACTCGTCTTGACTCCTATATTAAAGAATTATTCGAATGGAAAAGAATAGGCTGTAGGATATAATTTTTCTTAATATGTGTCTGAAAATATATTTTCTCCATAATTTAGACTTAATTCGAAAAGTGAATATTAAATTTCTTTTGCAAGATGTAATCAAGAAATGCTACTTGAAGGTTAAATTTGCGCAGGCTAAGATATTATGAATAACTTTTTTAATTAAAGGGGAAACGAATTGTAAATTAACGTAATACTGAAAATAGTTGATCCAAGGACATTCACTGAAAAGTAAATTAAAAAAACATATGGTATTATTTTAGAGGAAATAGAATGCTAAATCACTAAAATAAGCATGGAATATACACATTATTAAATATTCAAAGATTTTATCTTTCCCACCCCAATTAATAAAATTTTTGTGAGTGAAACAGTAGAATAAACAACATATGGAACAAAGGATTATTGTTCAAAAAGATTTGTAGAAGAAAGTTATGCTTTGTTATGGATAACAACATCTTAGGTTGCATATGTTTAAAGAATGCAATATCCTGAAATTGGAGATATATTAGCTAATATTGGATCTATTATAGAGGTTTTATTCTTAATTGAGTTCATCATACATAAATTCAATGAAAGTTGTCTTATAAATTTTATGCAAGAGTAAATTCTTTCATTTTATTATCCAGAATTACAGTAGATTTAATTGAAAAAAAATTGGTTTGGTAATATTAAGAGTTGCTCTTTACGCTCTCAAGTTATAGATCCTAAAAGTTTTATTAAATTCAAAAACAAGATTACCAGTTCATTGAATTGTAAATTTTGTTATTTAAATTTAATTTATGAAATTTCAAGAATGCAATTTATTTTGCAATCAATAATGATAAAAGAAGACTTTTATCAATCACATTAGATCGGCATAAAATTAAATCTGAAAAAGGATTATGAAAATGATGCATTGTTTCATTTATAGGCTGATGATGAAGAGGAATTCTTAGATTCAACAAAAATATAGAACAATAAAAAATTAACTTATAAAGACTCCTTATTATTATCTATTAACAGCCGAAAAATATATATGGAGGAAGATTATATCGATTAAGAATTATTTTCTGATAGAAATTTCTTCGATATTAACAGAATTAGTAGAACTAAAATTTGAAAAAAATTTGTACATAATTATTAAATATTATAACAATTAATAAGAATCTTATTTTAAATAGTAAATCAATATAATATTTATTATTTGATTGTTTTTGAGTCAACACTGATTTATTTTCTTTTTTATTAGCTTTTTATTGTCCAAATTCAAGCTCATCTATTTGTTGATAATCTATCCTATACGAATGTCAAGAATTTTTGAAAATTTTAAATGCTGAATATAATTATAAGAATTAATTTTATCATGTATTATTGAAAGAGGAATATCAAATAATTTCTAAAATCTTTTTTGAATTTTAATTAGGAGCTGCTATTCTTCTGCTAACTGTAAAATATGCATTGATATTCTTATAGAAAAATAATGAAATATAACCACATGATGTATCAGAATCCCAATAAGATCAACCAAATCTAGAATAATTTTCAACCATTATATCCTTCTTTACAACCACTGTTTGTAATTATCCTTAGTGTCCTAAAAAGTACATTTGCTAGCAATGCTATAAATGATGTTTTATTGATCTGCCAATTATTTCTACTGTGACAAGTAGACATATACATTCGAAATTGTGCAGCCCTTAATTTTCAGAAAGGAGTCTTCACTTGCATCTGCAGCTGAAAATGGATGTATTCCACATTTTGATGAAAATTCTACCGCATAGGTAAATTCACAGAGGATTTTGTTATCCCCAATTCCCTATTATAAATGAAATTCTTCTTTTAGGAGATGTACTGGATAACCAACCTTTTGAGAGTATAATTGGACATCAGATATTTTGTGATCCATTCTATAAGTAATGTACTGAAATTGGATTCCGTACATGTTATTCTATTTTTCTGGATTTAAATTACACGGAGCATCATCATCTCTTGCAGTTGATGTTTAAAATATTGCTCAAAATATTCTCAAATTTATCATTTTGCATAATGTTTGCTCTATTTGCACAGCTATGAACACTTTTATCTTATTTACCTTGCTTTTAACCTAGTGTAATGCATATTTCATATGATGCTTGTTCTTAGGGTTCTTAAACTGCCCGCAGTATGGATGTAATAATTGATGTCCAAAATGCAGATTCTACTTATGGTTTATAGTCATATGATCGAGGGGATTTAACTACTTAATTAAAGGGTGCATTGCATAAGATCAATTCAAATTGTATAAAAGATGATTTACTACTTTATGATACAACTAAATTTTTATTAAGAATTATGAGCAATTATCATTCTAATACTACTATCATTTAGAATTATTATTATGGTAAGTATTTAAGATGCATCAGGCACACTTTATGTATGTGTATAAGGATACATCCCAAATAGAGTTGAAAACTTTAAAGCTGACCTTAAACAATAAAACAAAAGAGATTTTCTGATACTACTCTCCTATGAAAGTTGACATTCCTCTTGTAAACTTATTGTAAGGCTACCTATTTCTCCTGTATCCATTCTATAAACATCTCGTACATTCACATAGTTTAATTTTTTCTTTTATGCACTTAAAATCTTATTACAAATTAGGCGACTTCCAATTTACTATCCATTTTTAGGATTTTATTTATATTGAACATCACCTTGTGTTTGGAGTAGCATTAAAAAATAATTTTACTCTAGACTCTAATCTTTCATGTCCATCCTCTACATAAAGTTCATAATCATAGTTAATTTGAACCGCTTTGAAAACTTGTTAAACCTTACTTCATATGTAATAGGATGCATGTTTCATGAAATTTTGGTTACCAGCCGCATTCCCTACGAAAGATAGTGGTGCTTGTTACACTTTTTCTTTATGGTCTTCTTAGAAAAAATGAGTTGGGACAATTTAAATCAATTATGCCCTCATATAGCAAATACGATGATACTAAGAATCATTCTCAGCCTCCTGTTTATACAATCCTAGCAGTCAAATTCTAGATTAAATTGTATTATCAGTTGGGTACAAAATGTCTTCTGCAATATTATCCTTCATCACTATCTTTAATTTATACTTAATATAAACCTGGGCATCTTGTGCAGTTTTCTTTAATTATTAGAGTTATAAATGGATCTCGCATGCTATATGTATTAGCAGATCAAGTTGAAATTGGGCTAAAATAACTGACGATGATGGCTTATGTACTTGTAATACTTGAAACTCTTTTGTTTCCTATTATCTCGAAGAAAAGCATTGGAAATACTCTCATAGTATATAATATGCTGATGACTAGGCTGGGGCATTATAATTGTGATCATTTCCTTAATGAAGTATCAAATTTTTATACTGATAGTGGTGATCCATGATTCCTAATATGAATTTAATGTTGCATGAACCACAATTTAGAATATAATTGCGCTACTTGGCTCATATGCTGAAAAATCAGTTTATATTAAAACTACTAACAATGTTTGCAAAGGATCTAGATCTTAGTTGAGTCTCTTGTATTATTGCAAATCTCGTTGTTGTTGTAACCTTGCACCTTCTTGTGTATTTGATGTTAATCTGCTAAAATGCACTACAGAAATTCATCATTATTATAGCAGGAGCCAAATAAAGTACATACAATGAATATGGAGATAATGCAATGTTAACTGCCCTAACTTTTTCTTCAAAAAAGATGGTCTACAAGAAACGTCTGCTGGTGGCTATGCAATATTTGTTAGTAACCAGATTTTTGGTCTTTTTTAAATTTTTTTTCCTTTCCCTATTGCTTCAATATTTGTGGATACAGACTTTAGTCCATTAAAAAGTGCATCTCAGCAATTCTAAATGTATCCTTCCTTATATGATGATGGGATATCATGCTTTCTCGCCATTTCTTTAATACTGATTGACACTATGCTATTTTTGAAAACTCTTTACTGAGGGCAGATCATGCAATAATTGGTACATACACTACTCTCAAATTATTTAATTTAGTGGTCCCATAAATCTTGTAAGTAAGGCTTTCTCGGAGTACATGATTTGCAAGTACTTCTGACCATTCACATTAAATAAATACCCAGGCTTTGTGCCAAACAATGATCAAGCACCTTACACTAAGCCAAATACTTTGTCTAGAATATATGCTTTCTGCTCCTATTCCTCATAAAATTATCGCTGGCTATTCCATAGATAGCTTATCAGTATTCGAATATCCTCCAATCATAATCAATGTTATCTCTTAATGCAATTTATTATTTTAAAGCATTTTCAATTTTTCTTTTATAGGCAGTCCTTCTAGAGACAGATGATACTATTTGAAATTAATTTATTACTGACATGCTTCTTTATTAATAATGTTGTGTTAATTTTTATGACGCTTGCAAAATATTTTGATTTGTTCCACACTAGTGGAATTACTTTTACATGCATTCCCCAAGCATTGCATCAATCTAAATATATTACTCTTTTGTTACCAACCTATTAATGAAGTCAATATGACTCTCACCTTTTACTCATATTTCCTTTCTTCAACTATAGCACCTTCTAAAGTGATTTGAACTTCTTTACATTTTATTTAGCTACCAGATCATATTGTTGTGGATAGATTTTACAATCCTTCTAAAATCCTGATGCTTCTATTTATGGTACAACAAGTTATTTTATCTGTTTAAAATCTCATGCTGCCTATTCTTATAATTCTTCTAACTCTGATCTTTCTAAATGTACACCCCTCTATCTTAAATAAATTTTCTAACAATGTTAGTTCTCGTCTTACATGCCAAGCTGAAGCAAACTCACACTTGATTTGTAAGATAGATATCCCACTTTGAAACTACTTGTTAGCAGTAGTTGCAAAGGACGCTGTGCTTCTTGTTTCCAATGTCCATCTCTTGAAGCTGTATATTAGGATCAAAGCTCTTAAGCTACTATCACGATTGGACACTACATCAACACCAACGATTAAAAATACAGATATTTGTTCAACTCTTTGTCCTAAATTCTTTCTATCAGCCACCTAATCTCATCATTTATTTCTGGTTATTTCAGAGATATAGCCATTCTACAAACTGTACTAATTTCCCAAGTATACCATTTTTGTAATACCATATGTGTTGATACTGTTTGTTAATTTATCAAGCCTTTATATTATAATTCTACTTGTAAGTTGTAGAATAAACAGTAATTTAAATTCATTATCTCTTTATTATATAAGAGACGTTCATTAGAACAGCTATCTTTGGAACTAACTATTCATATACAATTGACTTTTTATAAAACTTTATAATGTTTGTTATTCAATAGGTCAATGCTCCAATACATATACGATTTGAGCAAATTAGATTTTAAGATAAGTAAATTAAAATCTTGATGTGCAATAATATTTGCTAAGAAATTTGATTGAATTGAGTGTGAATCCTTCACAGATTTTTCTTTGTAGCCTCAAATAACCTTTAAATTCTATGTCTGTTTCAAAATGTTCTTAACAAGCTACGCTGTTATTACATCATTAATTATAATATGGTTTTTTTTTTCTGAATTTACAACTCGCTCTTTGAGAGGTCCTGCTTAAGAATAGATTTCATCATCGCTTCTACTACATAATTTGATCTAGGCCAATATAAAATTTAATTTCATTGATATTTCATACAGAGAGAATGACTGGTTTAAAGTATGTTTTGAAGAATATGTATGCTATAACAGTCAATATACTAGGATTCCCTGAGCTCAACTTGCTCTGATTGGTGTAGAGTTTGAAATAACCTAATGTATTTCTCTATCACCTACTAAATGTATTTACTATTAGAAATTGAGCTTCATCTGCTTTTCAAAATATTTTGGATAAAAGTTCTCCAAAACCCTGTTGTCCATCTTGCTGGACTTCTTGAGCTTCTTGCTTACCTTGAATACGTATTGTAATTATATGGCTTCTTGTGTCTTACAGCGTATAATACATGTTGAGATTTTTTAGCTACTGAGCTTCTGACAATCGTTGTCAATGTTTAGATTTCTTCTTAAGTAAGACCTTAACCATAGGAACATCCTTTTTATCGAAATACTCTTTACAAAATATGCATGTATTACTTTATCCAACTTTTACTTCATACACTGAGGACGGCCAAAATGTTGTATAATATCACTAAGCACCATTTATTTGATAACTTTTGTTGTAACAATAAATTAAAAATTCTGACAGCAACTTATTTGTCCAACATTAGTCTCTTCGAGTCTCATTTATGCTCTTTGAACCTGCAAATCCCATTATAACCAGCCACCTCCATCTATATTCCAAGTTCTGCTGATTTTCCTCTTAGACGACTTTATTAGCCTTTTAATTTAGTGTCACTACATATGGATAAAAAGTGTTTCATTATTCAGAAAATCCCATTTATTACCACTTCATCTGTTTGCCTTCGTTCATCTTAATATCATCCAAATGCCAAACCGTCTTTATTACAACTGTCGAATCGTCCTAAGAATACTATTAAAATTAATACTTCTCAGTAATCCAACCTTGTAATTTTAGAAATTGACAATATTGCATTGCTCAAAATAATTATTATATTTCAAATTCGAAAATATATTTAGCAACATAGATGATCCAGTGCAAAACGTGTTGACAACTATACTGTGAACCTTGCCACCCTTCAGCAGTATAATTACTGCTTATAAGAACTAAATGGCTGCCATTTGTGTCAATCTTGTTTACTTTTTTTGGAACTATTTTGATTTAGATGTAGTTATATCAAGCTGCATATATGTAAAGATACTTAGTAAGAATAGTATAGATTCCTTTATACATACATATCAGAATGTGAAGACAAACATATGATTTTAAAAATTATATATTGAAAAATATTAAAACAATTGCAGCTGCTGATCAATCAAACCTTTAGTCTGAATGTAATGTGCATTATATTCATTTAAGGGATCTAAATCATTTTAAAAGGAACTGAGCGTTTGTATAATCTTTGCTGTTAAAGCCATTCTAATATTTTTGGGCTTTAGAATAAGGAGTGATTGTTGTTTCACTTTTCTGTGCTGAAAAACATCTTTGGCTCACAAATAGATTCTTTAGTAACAGAATGATGTTTCAAACCTTTTATTAAAAAGTTTTTGATTATTTCAATGCTTCTCTTATTTCTTTCTCAATTATCTGGATATTCCTAGCTTAATTACTTTTATGGAGGCTATTCTTGTTAGATTTTGATCATACTTTATTAGAGCAGATTAAAGTGTAATTGTTGCTTGTATTTAAAAATAGGTCTTGTGATGTTAACTTTTAGGAAAGAAGGTGTCATATTTACTACAGGCTGTACTTGCATGAGCATCTTATAAGTGCGTTCCTTTATCTTTCTTATATGAGATTTTCAAATATTCTGTAAGAAGAATAGCCCATCTACACGTCTAATATCTTTACATATGTTAG